CTGGGCTTGCCGTTCTCGTCAAATTAGCGTTGTAATACTAATGCTATTATATTTTTCTAGATGGTACAGGCGATACTTTTTCAGGTTTCCATAAATTCCAAGTATAACCATATTTTCTAGCGGATTAAAGGGCAACGAAAACATACTAGATTAACGTCAACTAACCCAGGTTTTTGATGGCATTTTCGGCGGATTTCCGGTCGACGCTTGGGGACATTTGAAGCCCAAAAATCGCGGGGTTTTATAATTTTTATGGCAAAAACCGACACCTTTATCGTATCTAACAAGAAAAGCTTTTTTCGAGGTTCGTGAACGCCAGTTTTCTGCTTTAAGAACGTCAATGTAGCGATTTCGCGCAAACAAACTACCTAGCATTTTTCAAAATTTGAATTTATATCTGATGACATTTTTCTTAGGGCGTTTTCCCGATGCATACCTCATGAAAATATGGTGGTTTATTCCTAACAATACCCCTAGAAAGTTTCCTACATTTCTCGCGCCAATTCCCCGTCTCCTTTCAAGGTCTGGGGTTGGGCAAAACTTTCGTGCCGTTCCCCGGCACCCATTTTCTTGTGGTTGATTTATGGGGTTGGTGGCAAGGGGGTTGAAGGGTCCGTCCGGCCGGACCTGCGAAGCCATCGGCTGTTCCCCGGCCAAAATGCTATGCTTTTGGGTTGCGGCCAGGCTTCATGCTGTAACAGCTCTCTGTCGCCCCGCGCTCTCGACCATCGCTCCTTGATCTCGACCCTTTTTGCGATGATCTATCGCACCTCGGGGAGGGTGGGGATTTTGTCGATAAAGCCGGGGTTTGATGGGCCTAATTTTTCGGGTTTAAGCGTTTTAATACAGGCACCAGATACCTTACCTTAACCAGGTCCTAGCGTTACGTCACTTTCTATGTTTGGTATTTGGTTTTCTATGTCCTCAAAAAAACTTGCGGCGCTTCTTCAAACCTTTCTATAACTTTTGCTTCACGTATCCACTCTCATTTTCGAAGCTTCGTACGTCCTCAAAAATTATAGCGGATTTTGAAAAATTTCTAGAACGGAAGCTTCATTTTCCAGTCCCGTCATTCTAGGGCTTAAACGCAATCCCCTCAAAAAAGCTCGGCCTCACACGCAAACAATGGCCCCTACTTGCCGCTCCTCGAAACCCCAGGAATCCTCTTCGGAGCCCCAGTTTTTCATGGTATTTCTCTACGCATCGGATCCATTTTATGATTTTGCCTATTGTCGCCGCGGCCGATCCATTTTCTCGGCGTGGGAAAGCGTAATCCGGTGTTGACGGGGCTTCGTGGTTGAACAATGCATTCGAATAATTCTGATGAATTTTCCATTTTGGTTACAAGCTACTTTGGTATTTTATAAGGTTAAGACAAGTTTAGGTACTTTTCTGAAAAAATGGACGAAGTGCTGCTTCTAAGTTCACGGTAATCCGCTCGCACATAATCCGCAAGGGCATAGGAAAGTCGCGTAGCGCAAGCTTGACTACGCAGGGATACTTTGAACGTAGTAATTATGCGCGTTCTATGCATCTATTCGCTATCTGCAGCTCAAACTGATTGTGAGACTTAATCGAAAGCTAATCGAGTCGAAACCCAAGCATATGCAAGTGAGAAATCTTGGTCCAAACCTTGAGATTCCACCGCCCCTAAATCATCAGAAAGTGATCCACCCCGTGTAGCTTTCCTCGTAAACCAACCCTGTCTCTCTAATTGGCTGTTTGGTGCCTGCAGTCGTCTCGTTTTGCCATGACTTCCCGCCGTGAAGCAGCAACATCCGATCCACATTCGGAGCAGTGAAGTGCTTGGGGAAAAGGGATCCACTTTAGGCCGGCTGGCTGCATGCCAGTGGAAGTCCGGTTCTTCATCTTGTTCTCTCTCTCTCTTGGTATGCAATACTCGGGATGGATACCAGGGTTGGGGGATCGTTCGATTTTCGCGCCTTTCCCCCCTGGATGTCTTGTCATGACTCTCCTCTTGCCAACCACACCCCTCCCGGGTCGTGGCGATGTCTAAAAAAGTGGGTGGATCGTGTTTTTGGGTACGATAGTTACTAATTACGTTGGCTAACTGAATGCCCATACTTTGGCTGCAGAGTTCTAATACACAGAGGTTGAATTGACTAGAAAACATGTCGAAAAACTTAGATTTTTGTCTTTAAAAAGTTTGCCACTAAATACCTCAATGTGGACTCAATTTTTCCGCTTGAAAATAAGATTTTCATTACAGCCAGCTCTAATGAGGTTTTGCTTTGGAATGACTATAAGCGGAACTAAAATTACCTCAATTCTATATTTCAAAAATAAAGCGATTGAACCCGTTCTTGATCATACTTTAAATGTTTCAACTCGAATTAAATGGCTGGATTTAGAGATTAGTTAAAGCTAAATTTTTATTATATAATCGATATTTAGTTATTTTCCGGTTTCGCTAATGATAAAATTCTAGCATTTCCTGTTTAATGAAAAAAACTAGTTACCTTTTCGATCTTCACACAAATAGATGTTGTAAAAATTTAATTCACTATTAAACCTACGTTTTATTCTATATTCAATTATCTAATAACAAATCTAATCAAATCGAATCTAATACCCGCTCTAAATCTATACAAATAGATTTGTCACCATCCGGATTACGGCCATAAATATCCAATTTTTTTTTCTCGACTACACAACTGTTCAATTTGTTGAGTCAGCTGGTCAGTCCCAATGGCCGGCAGCGTCCTAAAAAGTGCCCTTTCTCGGATCACTACCCACCCGCATTTTTCTTGCGGTCCCTGATTCATCCATCTCCGCCGTCGATCCTTGCCCGGCCACCGAATTTTGAAATGCTCGCCCCGCGTTTTTATGCGGAAAACATTTGCCGAGCTGCTGTGTCGGAATCGGAAATTCGGTGGGTTGGGCGTGAATAGTAAAGATATTCATGTCTGGGAGGGTGTTCGATTTTCGATAGTTTCTATATGGGTTTCCCTTTCTTCTCAAGATTCCCTATTTTTCAATATTGTATTGCTGATTTATTGCACGGGAATTTTTTCATATAAATCGTTACAAAATAGGGTTTGTCAAACGCCGCGAAGATCCTGTTTTTTTACAATCTAGTTTACCTGATTCTTCTTCTCACATGACTATTCCAAAACTATTCCAATAATTTTAAAGTACCTTAAAGTATTTTTAGGTGGATTTTGAGTCCAAAATAATTTATATGAAGGGAAATACTGCCTAATTCATGATTTGTTGTTCAATTCATGACGGTTGTTAGAACAGTTCTTTAAATGTACATAAATTTTCAGATAATTTTACGGTAAAGGGAGTGTAGGTTAGATTGGATACTGTATACTCCTGACACTTTTCATCTCAAATCGATTCTCAATGTCCGGGTGGTTTCCATTTTTCCCATTTACACCCCGTGACGGATCGAGGGCCCTTCAGGAGGGCCCGCCGCCGGCCATTTTATGTGGTGCTAGGCTGGCGCCGTGAAATATTTAGCGCAAATTTTTGGGCACGGGTTGGGGTGTAGATAGTAATACGGACAAAATTTCATGCTTATTCCTGTATTTTTGGCTATTTAATACACTCGAAATCCGCTTAATTTTATGCAAATTGGCCCAGGATGCATGAATAATTTTTTGATCTGATAATTTCAGCTTGATTTTCCGATTCTTACTCTGCACAGTTCATATTTTTTTATATAAGAAGTAGCTTACCGCACTATTTAATTGCTGTAAATTAGAAATTAAGCCTGAATTGACTTTTTCGCTTTTCCGGCCAAATTCTAATTTTTTGATCAGCTATATGCTACTAGATAATTTAACAAATTTTATAGTTTAAACCGTAGGCCTCCATGCTTCGATTTTTTACTTTATACACCCTTGTTAAGTCGTCGTGTTTCCCTTTTTCCACCACCTGTTTACCAACCCAACCCCACCACCACCCAGCCGGCAAACAATTAGCACGGTTTTCGGGGAGTAGAAGGCCCAGCCAGACTAGCCGACTCTCGCCTACCCTCCCGACCAGTCGGCTTACATTCCCGGCAGTTTCAAATACCTATATTTCACTCACCCGCTTGGCTCGTCAACGCGTGAAAATCTGCGCAGAATATAGCAGCGTGAAAATCGAATTCGGGCCCTGCTGCTCGGCTCGTCGCGAATTCGCTCTAGCTGCCGGCTGATTACTGGAACTGAGGGCGGCGGGCGGGCTTGCCCAATTTTGCGGTTTTTAGGGAGGGCACACAACGGAGCGTTTGGGTGCTTGGAACGCTGAACAACACTATATAACTGTTTTTATTTTTAATAGATGTTTTTCTATCACGGTTAAGTATGATTGTTGCCCCGCTCTCTCGAGGGGGCTCCAAAAATTAGAGTATACTCATAATTGTTCGTGTGCACGGAAATCTTTAGTAAAAGGCGAAAGATTTTCTCGGTCAAATGCACACGAACCAGAGGTAACTGAAGAGCAAGTTGGTGGATGATATGGCGGGACAGTGGGCCAGGCGGGGGGCGAGTGGGATTGGCAGGTTGCGGTCAGTCAAAGGGTCAAATGAATTTTGCAACAATTCGCAATGATTTCGACTAACTCTCCGATGAGGTAGCAATTAAACGACAAGCATTTATGAGATTTTATTCTTTACCACTAAACCGATCCACTTCAATCCTTTATTGCAGCATTTTGACGGATATAGGCTTTGATATAGACAATGCACCTTACCGTTTCTGATTTATGCAAGGATTCCGGCCTTCCTTCGTCATTGCAAACCCTCGCTATCTGACCCCTGCAACCGCGTGAACCCCTTGAAAAAGCGGGGGGGACTATTTGCAGAACGGCCTGCCGGGGTGATAAGCTTTTGCCGGATTTTTCACGTTTGTTGCTTCTTAAATTGTTTCTGCCATAAAGGAAATCGACATTGCATAATAGTATCGATTTATTGATTGTAGATGCCTTGATTCCATTTTTATTTTCGATTTTTGTATCTCTATCTCTTGAACAAATTCTACTTGCAGGGTATGAACCACGAGGATGAGCCTTACCCTCTTCACAAGGCCGCCTTTTTCAACGACACCCGAAAGGTGTATAACTTGATTAAGAAAGGTATGTATTACGGTATCCTTAATCTACTTAATGGCCAATCATAATCATATTTTTGATGGTATAATAATTATTGTATGTCACATTTAAGGTGCCGATCTCTATCAACAAGATGCGCACGGCAATACCGCGCTTCATATTGCGACCATGCTTGGGCATAGAGGTAATTTTTCACTAGCAAGTTGGAGGCTATTAAGTAGTAGTATAACATTTAATAGATACCTATAATCAATTCAAATTATAGAAGTTACCGCCCTTCTCTTGGTTCACAATTCCCCGGTGAAAACGAAAAATGGTGACGGCTGGAATTGTCTGATGGAAGCGGTCAGCTATGGGGATCGGCAAATTAGTAAGTTTTGTTTAGTATAGTTCTTATTGACTAATAACCTACTCGTCTTTACGTTATAAAATAAAGAGTTTTTAGTCACCGAAATGTTGCGAAAGCTAAAATCCCAACAACGCGAGACGCTCCGCTCCCGGCGGCCGCACATCGCAAAGGTGCTGCGTGATCTCGGCGATTTCTACCTGGAGCTGAAATGGGACTTTCATTCGTGGAGTGAGTCTTTAAAAGTATAATAGTGTAATTAGGTATATTCTATACCTTAAATTATATTCCTTACTTTTTCAGTCCCCCTTCTCTCCCGTATGCTACCCTCTGACGTGTGCCGGATACACAAACGAGGCACGAAATTGAGGATGGATACCACTTTGGTGGATTTTAATGAAAAGTTAGTTTTTTATAATAGTTTAAGGTTTAATCGATATACAAAGAATATTTAGAAAGCAAAATTCAAGCGAAAATTATGTTTTTAGGTCCTGGGAACGCGGGGATATCACCTTCCTCTTCGACGCTGAAGCCGAAACCCCGGAGCAGCAACTCGTTGTGTTGGATAATAAATTAAAGGTATAAAACTTATACTTTTTAGTGTATGTAAGATAAGTTAGCTCAAAACAATTTTTTTAGGTCTACCAACGAATCCGCCATGAAGAATCAGAATGCGAGGTCGATGAGGAGATTGACGTTTTAATGTCCTCAGATATTGTATCCGCGTCGGTACGTTACGATACTAAATACGTTACAGTTTTCGGGGTTTTTAGATGTCCACCAAAACCATCTCTTTCTCTCAAGCCCTGAGTGGCTGGGTGTTCCGGCACAACAGGGAAGAGCAAATCGGCGAGTACCACACGAATTTCTACGTGGTCGAGGGCATGAATTTGATAACAAGAAAAAGGTATAGAACGCTATCTTGGAAAAAATATTATCGTTATTTAGAAGAGAACACCTCTCCGCCGACGACATTAAAAAGAACAAGTCGTTTATGCAGAGTTTAGCTACCGGAAACGCGGTGGCGGATGATGATTTCAAGGTATGACGCTGGGGAGGCTAGCAGAGATTATCTAGGAAATTTTTCCAGCTTGATGCTCAGTTAAATCTACCTGTTTCTAGAGCTTACAACACCGCAAAAGTCTCCCACCACCCGGAAGAGTGCCAACAACCTGGGAAGAATATGCATCAGCCGCTGCGGGTCTGGCTCCTCCCTTGGGTCGACCTCAGGTTGTCAAGTTCAACCAAAAGCAGTTCAAGGCGCTGGTTGGCATGGTGGGTGCATTAATAGGCATCATGGGCTTGATATACTTAATTATTAAAAAACCTTAGACCGCAAGAAAATCAACCAAATCTAATTTTTTAGAGTGAAGACTTCCCGTTGGATGTCGATATTTTGCTTGACATCCTGGAGATCCTGGCCCCATTCAAGCACATCCATAAACTACGCAGATTCTGTGAAGCGAGATTGCCTCCGGGATTCCCTGTACGGGTCGGTAGGTAGTTTAAATTTATTGTAATTTGTTGCCCCGCTCTCACGAGGGGGACTCCAAAAATTTGCAACTGTAAGGCAAACTCACCGAAGTCATTGGGGATACGCTTGAAAAGCGCCGTCGAGTCCGGGGGTTGCTTGTAGACTCACGCCCCACCCGCCCCCCACCTGGCCCACTGCCCCATCTAATCACCCAGCCCTCCCTTCCCTCCTTACCTCTGGTTCGTGTGCATTTGTCCGAGAAAATCTTTCGCCTTTTACTAAAGATTTCCGTGCACACGAACAATTATGAGTATTAAATAATTTTTGGAGCCCCCTCGAGAGAGCGGGGCAACACATTTGAATCCAGAACTTTTATTAAATCCATACTTTCAGAAATCCCGCTTCTTCCCACAATCTCGGCCAAGGTGACATTCCAAAAATTCGCTTTTGTCGAAGAAATCTCGGAGAAACTCTACCGCATCCCGGCATCTTACCGAGAGGATAATACCCGGTTCCCGGATTTGTAAATTTATACAAAACTTTTATTATTTAGCGTTTTTAAAGAGTTTTATTGTTTTTATGCAAATTAGTAGTTTTCCACATTCCCAGATCTAATATGACCAAAAATCCCCAAAAAGGCTTACGTAAAATGGACTTAAACAATTCCCCCTTTGCTCATCTATTATTCTTCTCTTCCAAATTGGGTCTACGGGTATCTTGCGGTTAGTTTTTATATGTTTTTGTCCTCTTAACTTCCTTCAATTACCATGGCTAATCCATCGATCACTTTTCTACGCTTTCTGATTCGATTTTAGCGTCTTTCATGGGTTTTTTGGCTCAAAATCTACTCCAAAACAACGCAAATAAATTTTTTAACGCATGTAATGCATGTCAAAATACATTTATTGCTCTACACACAAAAATTCATACTATAATATGTCAAGAAATCGTATGTTAATATGGAGCGTTGGATGATGTTTGGGAAGATGTTAGAATCGGTGATCGGAAATTGGTGAGAAATGGCGCTAAAAATTGGATTTTTTTGGACAAATTGTACTCATTTAGATTTCGAAATTCAATCCAATTTTTAATACGAAATATACAAAATTTACAGCATTATTTAAGACACAAGATAATATACAGAATCTCCTAGTCTACCAGTAAAGATCAGAAAAGGGATGGGTGGGCCCGGGAAAATGCAAATTTCCCGGGTGGCAAAACTCATTGAGCAAGTGGCATTTCGATAAGTGAACCGCGCCCGCGGAAACGCTCGGCTCTCACCGGCTAGCTAGCAAATACCATTTGGGGAATGGAAGGAGAGAGAGGAGAGAGAGAGAGAGAAAGAGAGGGCGAGAGAGAGCGAGAGATCTGAGCTTGAGCCTAGCCCAAGCTTGAGATCAAGCTGAAGTCAAGCCTAAGGCTAAGCCTACGTGTAAGCCTAAGCCCAAGACCAAGGTTTAGTCAGTCCTAAGCCAAGGCTAAGCCTATTCCTAAGCCTAAGCTCAAGCTCCTTCTCAGTCTCAGACTCAAGCCCAAACTCAACCTCAGCTCCCCTTTTTCCTCAATCCCCGTATTTACACAAATTACTTAATAAAGCCAAGCAGCTTGAGAGGAAGCGCTTCGCGGGCTGTGCGTCATGTTGAACTGGGGCAAGCTAGTTCAAGACCAAAAAAAACATCGGATAAAGTGGAAATTCCGGGGAGCAAGTGATTAGGATAAAGTGGATTTGTGGTGATAGTATTGCGATGTACTTCGTTAAGTTGATTTTTGAGGAATCGATACCCAGGCTAGGCAATGGAAGGGTTTAGGGTGGTGATTTCTTCCGCGTCCTCCTCCGGTCCCTGCGTGCCTGCCCGGGATTCCTGAAAACGAGCCGATCCGTACCATACAAACCTAGATTACATTATTTTCAGACCAATCTATGTATCTTAATTCAATTTTAGAATTGTTCGACTTTTTTTGGAGTTTTATCGAATGGCGTTAAAGGGATTTTGTAAAAACTTCGAATATATCGAAAAAAGCGCATGTAAAAATCGTTTTTATCGCACACTTCTTGCATTAAATTGGCTTTTTTTGGCTAGGAATAAGTCTTCACGATTTTATGGAGAAGGTAATAGACCAAAATTGAGAATACCGATCCGGCTTATGACTTTAAGGAAAGCTAGCAAAGATCGTTGTGGAAATCCGTCAAGAGCGGTCCGGAGAGCGCCCTGCCCACTAGCCCCCCACCTGGCCCACTGTCCCCTATAATCACCTCTCCCCACCCATCCCTCCTTACCTCTGGTTCGTGTGCATTTGACCGAGAAAATCTTTCGCCTTTTACTAAAGATTTCCGTGCACGCGAACAATTATGAGTATTAAATAATTTTTGGAGCCCCCTCGAGAGAGCGGGGCAAAATTTGGATAAAATTTACTTGGTATCATATTTTCAAATTTGATAGGTATATCTCTTCCTACCTCAGCGATAGTTCCAATGCCAAGATGGCCAAACATAATCTCTGATGGCTTGGCGGCCATCGTGGAGACCATTATCGAACGTCTGGCCGTCAGCATGCGAGCTGAAAATCAGGAAATACATTTTAGTAAGTTTTCGCTGGTTACAGAATTTTACTGCGTATCTTAATGTAAGTTCTTAATGGTATAATCAGCCTAATCCCTTACCTGTTGCCATCTTAATTTTTTCCTTGTTCTTCCTCTCGTCGGCATCGACGAACCAGCAGCAGAGGTACCGTTTGAGGAGGTCGCGGAAGAGCTGCAAAAATGGCTAAATTTTTCTTGTTTTGGAGATTTTACTTTGCGAATAGAATTTTTGGAAGGTATAAATATTGTTTTTCAAGAGTTTTGTGGTTTCCGAAGCCCTAGAATTTTTTCTCAGCAGAATTCGTCCCCAAATCCGGCGAGTTCGGAAAAAATGAGTGGGCGAGGGGTCGAGCGGAAATTACACGTGGCGTTGGGATTTTCGGTAATCTGAGCTCGGCTTGTTTTCTTTGGTTTTGGCGGAGGGCCAAAGAATATTTCGAGCTTTTTCGAAGCCTAAGCTGAACTAAACCTAAGCTACGCCTAAGCCAAGTCGAAGCTAAGCCTAATCTAAGCCTAATTAAGCCTAAGCCAAGCCTAGGTGACAGTACGAACCCCCATGGCTTCACAATCAGCATCGAACCCCTAATTTGCACCTAAAACCCCACCGCTGCCGTATTCCTCGTGATCAAAATTTGCCCCCATCATCTTGAAATTTTTCAAACCCCTAGTGGGAAAGCGTCAGGTGGCGATGAGTTGCTGCGTCAGGGCCAACATCTGCCCTCTGCCATGCCATGCCCCGGGGCAAGCGTTTTTTAGAAGATGGAGCACATATCAGCACAAAGATTGGTTTGGGCAGTGTCACAAGTATGGTTTTAGACGCAGTTTTTTAAGGAAAAACACCCTTGAATCTTCCCTTCAATTTTTCATCGTTTTTGAGGGAAACACGGTAATAAATTGTTAGCGTCCGATAGCTTAGGTCTAAAATGGCTTGAAAGGCTTCGAAAAGGTTACAGTCAGCTGGAGAATTGCAAAATTCTTAGAAACTAGCCTTGAGAAATCGCTACAGTTAAAATGGCTAGAGGCGAAAATAAAATAAATTCGTCACGGTACCTTCTTGCATACTGTAGCAGCCAAATCCTAATTTAAATATTGGCCAAAAATGCGGCAGTTACGCTGCCGCATTTGTCGTTTTATTCTGTAAAAATCGGGCTAAATTATCGCGTTTCAGAAACTGCAAAATTCAAATTTTTGAGCTTTAAAAAACCCCCGAGTTACCGTAGTTTCCGTCGCGCTATTTTTCGGTTTCAAAAATCTCTTCTAAAGAAGAAAAGCGTGGAGACGGTTCCGGTAGCCTAGGATATGGCCAACTCAAAAGTGTGGCCCCCGAGAAAAGCAATAAGAATGAAGAGACAAGGGTGGCATCCGAGGGGCTTTTTGAAGGGGCCCACGCCTCCTCCTCCGCACGCACATCTCCATGGCCACCGACAATGCCACCAAGGGCGGGCCAGCCCCCATGTTGTATACAGAATTAGAAGACGAAGAAGAAGGAGAAGAAAAGGAAGACCCGCGAGTCTCAATCAATTGCCGGAGGGATACGGTAGCGAGGAAGGCGCGTTTAAGGCGGGAAGATACGGGGTTTGAGCAAAATCTTGGCATCTTGGAATATTCGCTAGAAAGCAAAAATCTGCCATCACGATCCTTTTAAAAAAGAAAGCTTGGAATTATTTGGTTCGCAGAAGAGCTTAATGGGACCGGAAAGCGCAGAAATCGACCCTTTCACCTGACTGGGTCTCGACAGCTACGCCGCTTGGCAAAAACCGATATTTCGGTCATAACAAATTTTTGCCGAAGTCTAAGCCTGAGCCAAAATAGCGGAACCAGCAAAAATGGCAGAAAATGGCAAAGATATAAAAAACCGCTTCGCGGTCCTTCCGAAGTCAGAGCGTTTGGTTTTAGAGGGAGCGTGACAGCAGATTCTCTCGAAATTTTGCCAATTTTTTATGCAACGTGTTAAATTCCAAGGAGAAAAAGTATAAAAAATCTAACCCAACCCAACCCAAGCCCATCCCACCAATGGCCTCCTCCCAATTTCCGGAAAAGCCTCGATTTCGGCATTGGGAACGGGCGACGGAAAGAGAAAGGATACCAAGGCCCCCATCTCGTTGCGGCCCAGTTTTGAGGGAAGTGTATGGAATCGGAAATGTCCCGAAAAGATGGAGGCGAAGTGGCGGCTCCGCCGGACACTTCCCCCCCCCCTTTTGGCCTACCGCTCCTCCTTCCCCTCCTCCTCTTGCAGTGTGAACAGATGGGGTGGGCCCTCTACTGGGCCCTCCCGAAAAGAGGGCCACTAAACGCCAAATTCTGCCAATATTCCACATACTGGTGGTTTTTGGGCCACGACTGGGCCCTCTTTGGCCCTTCCCGGGGCCTCGGGGCCGCCGAGTAAACAAGTTTTTAGCATTGCCCTTCCGCGCCAAAAGAGATGAAGGAGTTCGCTCGGGAGGAGCGCTTTGGAATTTTCTCGCTGGGGTAAATTATGGGGTCTATTTTGGGATCAAGGAGTGGTAAATTGCCACTGGTAAATGAAGGGCTGAAAATTATTGCACCGGCAGGCTGGCAGTGGTAACTTGGGAACTGCCATTTTTGGAGTTTGGAAGACTCCTGGATCTCTCTCTGGCTATCTCTCGCTCGCTCACTCTCTCGCTATCTCTCTCTCGCTCTCTCGGCAAGCCATTCTGCCCAATTTTCTTTCCTAAAGATTCTCTGCTAGCGCGCCCAATCAGAATTGCAGGATTTCTCAAAGAGCGGTCAAGCAGATGAACATTCTTAAAAAAATCTCTGCTAGCACTTCCTAAAGGGTCACTGCTCGCCTGCCTTCAATATTACATCAAAACTACCGCTAAAATTGCTAGAAAACGTCAACATTTACGAAATTTCCATCAGCGTTGCTGTGGAAAGTGAAAAGTAAGGGGAGAATGGCAGTGTATGTATGTGGGTCTCCTCCGCCCCCTTTGAGGGTGAAATGGCGTATCGTTTTCAACGGCCCTTCCGATAGGGAGAGAGAGAGAGAGAGAGAGAGAGAGAGAGAGAGAAGGCCTCGGATTTTCTTTCACCGGCCCTGGGGCCCTCCGCTCGGGGACCCAAGGAGGCCACCGAGGGCAGAAGGCTGCAGTTTCCTGGCTTGGGTCTGGAGCACCATACATCAGAAAAAGCACAAAAGTATTCTTTTTGGGTCCCAAGACCTTTAAAGGTAAAAATGACTGCTTTACAGCGATTTCAAAAGTCTATCGAATACAAATTCTTACCTGCGGAGATGCACAGATGACGATCACCACCATCCATCCGAACAGGATGGCCAAGCCGAAGCCGAAAACTCGAAAAGATTCCTTGTCCATCCAGGGGTGAGAAAGCGCCTTTGCAACGGCTGGCTAGCCGATGGCCATAGGCCCAACAGGGAGTAGTAGCTGCAAAGGTGTACTTTACTTTAATTTTGTAAATACTGTAACCTGAAAAAGAAAGTAAAAAATTTTGTTGCAAAGACTGTAAAAAGACATCTCGTAAAAAATTAAAAATAAATAAAATAGATCAAGAAACGACAATTAAAGTCCAGAACTCCATAAGAGAGAAGACTGCCGAGGCTTAGGTTAGCCTCTGCTTAAGCTAAACCTAAGCCCAGGCCTAAGCCTGCGTCTAAGCTAAGCCTGGGCCTACGCCTAACCCTAAGCCTAAGCCTAAGCTAATTCCCAATTCTAAGTATAAACCTAGGCCTAAATCCAAGCCCACACCTGTCCCTAAGCCCAAGCCCAAGCCTAAGTATGAGCCTGAGCTTTAGTTTGCAACCCAAGTAACCAAAGCTTACAGTGCTTCTCCCACTTAAACCCAGGCTTCCTAGAAAAAGTCACCCAAAAGGCTATACGACCCCGAAAATCTTCGCAACTATCAAAATCCGGGGCCCCCGCGAGCATCAATCTGAGGGCCACGTGTGCCCCCCAGGGCATCCCATCCCATCCCTTCAATGATAAATAATTTCTCCAGCAGCAGCAACCGGAAGGGGAGGCAGAGAAAAAGCAGAAGAAGAAAACGTCGAAAAAGCCAACAGAAACACCCGAGCCACCCCCCGCGAAAGGATACGTTTCGGGTTTCACAAAATACCCGCAAGGGGCGCCCGCATACGTAGTCGAGAACCGGAAAACAGGCGTTGACTCCTGCCTTTTTTGGCTAATCTTTGAGCCGGTCAGCTCGTGGTGCTGAAAATTGAGCGCTGGTGGCCAAATTGGTGGTCTGAGTGCGCAAATCCTGGAAAAACTAGACGAAAAGAAAACAGGAGAAATATAGGTGGCGGCCTCCGTAAAGCGTATGCTTACGGAGTTGGACGTATACAGTGTACACTATACACCTAGTTACGCAAAAAGGTAGTGAAAATACGGATTTTGAGGAAGAGAGCATACAGAATTTTGAGGAAGAGAGCGAGAGGAGAGAGAAAGAGAAGAGAGAGAGAGAGAGAGAGAGAGAGAGAGAGGGATGGGGAGGGCGAGGGAGAGAGCGAGAGCGTGGGAGAGACAAAGAGATAGCGAGAAAGCGGCATGCAGAAGCAGTATGCGAGAAGTATAGTTTGGTTTTCGGCAATCTGGAAATACACCACAAAAAGGGCGTCCGGCTTACTTGCCAACCGCCTTAAAACCCGCACCACCGGAATGCGCAGCGCTGAAAATGCTGAAAATGCTTGGGTCGTCGTCCGGCTGGCGATGGTGGTTGCCCCGGGAAAACGGGCCTAGCGTAATAATCGTGGCAGTCATCCGCGAGGTCGCTGCCTCCCCTACTCCCCAAAAATCAGAACCCTAGACCGGAAATCCAGGGACGGCAAAAAAGGAGAATTCCGTAGATTGAAAATTCTCTGCGAGCGGCAATATTTGTTGAAGCGGAACACATGGGATATGGGGGGGGGGGGGTGGCAGTTCGTGGTCGTTTGTTTTCCGGGAGTGGATAGGGGCTCTCGGAAATGCAACGATTCTTCCGGTGATTGGGCTCCGATGGGTAAATCAGGGGGAAGGTTGGGTAAAAGGTATAATGTAAAAACGTACTTAGTTTCCGGATCGATTCACATCATTATCGTATCATGTCGAAAATCCTCGATCAGCTGGCAAAGCTAAGGGATAAAAAATCCAGGACCAAAATTTTTTGCAACAAGCGAAGGTTTCGGGCACATTAAAAACTTTGATCAGCTATCGTGTGACCAGAAATCATGATTTCAACGTGGATAGAAATGCCCGGTCCTCGAGCTCTCAACTACCCTGGGCCCCTTTCTACACTCCGACCCTGGGTGCTCTCATTAGTTTCTCTTTTTTGGTTATTTTCATCAATTTAAGCCGTCGAGCACCAATTCAATTGCACCGGGCTACAAAGTACAATCGCGGACCTTATGTGGGTAAAAATGTACTCATAAAAACAAGGATTTGCGCAAGATATGATAATATTGGAAGGAAACTCGTGTGGTAGTATCATTAACAGGTATCCTAGTGTCAACCGAGTTACAAGTTACAATTACTTACGAAAATTTCCTTCAGAATCCTATGCATGATCAATCCAGTAGATTATCCTTGCCGAAAAACAGAGGATCGCTCCGCAACCCGAAAAGCACACCAAATCACACCCCGAAAATATACCCCGACGAAAAGTCACTACCCCGAAATCGTTTACCCCGAAAAATAATAGGATTGTTTTTCCCGTAAAATTCCAGTTTTCATTCGGATTTCCTATGAAAATCATGCAAATTACTTCCGGGTAGTGACTTCACCCCGGATTTTACCTTTAGAACGCATTTAAAAGGTTTCGGCCGTCGACGTTTAATCGTGACAAATTGAAAAGGTCATTGCCGAGGCGAACAAGAGCCGAAGGTGCATTTCCGGCATAAAACAGGTGGGAGAAGCCGCTCACTGATAAGACTCAGTCTCAAAAATCCATCGAAAATCAGGACCCGGGGCTCGACAAGCCTACTAATGCCGAGCGGTGCGTACTAAAAGCAGAGCCAAGGAGAGCCCTGGCGCTCTAGCTCTCTAGTGCCCCACGGCACAAAAAAAAGAGTTTGTGAGTGGTGGAAGGGGAAGGAGGGAGGGAAAAGAGCAGGAATACTCCCCCTCCTCTTCCTCCCCTCCTTTCTTTTCCACCATCCGCACATTCCATTGGGAGACCAATTCGTGGAAATAAGCGGGAATTATGGGCTGTCGACGGGTGGGGTGGGTCCCTTCTTTGGCCCCCTCCGGATCTACGTAGCAATTGAGGCCAACCGGAGCGAGAAGGCTCGATACGCACACACGACCCCGTGGCTACGAATATTTTATGATCCCTTAGCTCGAAAAAAGGAGGGCAATGACCTTGGATTTGCAAGAAGCGAGTTAAAATGAATTCGAAGAGTAACCTAAGCCAAAGCCTAAGCCTAGACCTAGCCTAAGGCTATATAAGTCTAAGCCAGACCCAGACCTAAGCTAAGCCTAAGGATAAACCTAAGCCAAAAGTTAAGCCCAGGCTCAGTAGAGCCCAAGTCTACGCTAAGCAAGCCTAAGTAAGCCTAAGGCTTAACCTAAGCTTGGTCAAAGCCGAATCCAAAGCCTAAGCATGAGCTAAGCCTAAGCCCCAACCTAAGCCTAAGTATAAGCCAAAGCTAAACCTGAGTTAAGCCTACGGATAAGCCTAAAACTAAAATTAGGCCTAGGCTAAGCAAAAACCTAAGGCTTAGTCAACGCTGAATAAGCCTAAGCAAGCACCATCGTCCGATCTTTGGCAACACCCGCGATCCATCCCCCGAACCGCCGTGGTGGTTTATGGTAATTACTCTCCCTTGGGCCCTTCCCCACCACCCAAGAAGGGGCCAAAACAGAGCATAGGCCGCCAAAAAACACGCAGACACAAATGCCGCCGAGGCGCCAAGGAATTGCCGGCGGCGCCGCCGGCAATTTCCATTAATAAAGGCAATGCTGGGCCCAGGAGCCTGGGGCTGTGGCCGCGGAGAGGAATGGCGCCTCAGGGGACCGATCGGGGGCCCCAGCCTTAGGACCCAACAGGGCCCATCCCCTCCACCACCACCCCGACAACAACCATCATTTTGACGGAGATCCACGGGTCCACTGGGGGGGCTCCAGCGGACCCAATGTGAATGGACAGAGCGGACAGATAGAGCGGACAGCTTGATCCTCATCCTCGGGGATATCCGAGTCTCTCTCGCTCTCTCTCTCTCTCTCTCTCGCCGGGGGCTCACACTCACACAATTACCCTCAAAACACACACCAGCATATCTTCCACCACTGAGAAATGGCCAGAGAAATGCAGGTCGGGAATTTTATGGGGATTTTGGGTTCGGGAATGAAGACTAATGTGTGCTTTTTGACGTTTAGACCTGAACTTCAGGGCTGTTCGGATGGCAATTGAACCCACTTCGGGAGCCTAAGCTAAGCTAAACCTAAGCTTAAGCTAAACCTAAGCCTAAGCATAAGCTAAGCTCGCGTACCTTAGCCTTTTGGCCTTTACAAATTTTTGGAAGCCAGAAAATTTGCTCCAACGAATGTATTTTTTTTCAATATAAATTTATTTCTGACGCTTTTTACCAAAACATCACGAAGCACTGCTCCGGTGGCTTAAAAACCCATAAAAAGCCGGTATGCCGGATCCGTATTGTTTGTTTATTGTTGGAGCTATCATGCGGCGCCATTTTCCTTTCCCGCTCCTTTCCCCCCAGCTGGTGTCGGTTGGCAACTATTGATCCCGTTTTTCACGCGGTATTCCAGAGAAATCATCGTACTTGCTATCTATTAATAGCTATACTTGTTTCTAAGATTACTACCCCTAATAGTTTCATTAATTTTCCGTAATAAAATACCATATTAAGCGGACTAGGAATGGAATGGGACGTTGTTGCCTTTACAGTTCGATATAATCAACCGCGGAAGGATGAGATTGAGCATAGTAAACTTTTTACGAGAGTATTGTATTTTATGCTTTTTCGTAAGTGATAACATACTTTAACAATTTTCCGGTATTCTTTGAACGGAAATTGTCCGATGGAATAACATAGCGTAATTGGTTACGCTAGGAAAATATCTAGGTTTTGTGATATTGCTTCGTAGGATATCTTGGATTAAAAAGAGCAAAGAATGTAAGATCACGGCGTATTATGTGATGTTAAGTTTATAACTACCTTAAAAATCAATTGAAAAGATGATTTTTAGCTGTAAAATGGCTGCAAAAATGTGGCGTTTTCTCGACCGATCTACTGCTTGTAATTGAAGACCCATGTGCGGATATTGGATCTGGAGGATCGACGCTGAATGCCTTATTGATTTTGGTAAGAAAAGCAGCAAATAATGTAAAAAATAACATTAAAACAGGCCGAACAACTCTGTTCGTCTCGCGGCTATACCGTGCTCACCGAAGATGTCCTCCGTGGGGCCAGGATTTTGATTTTGCATTCGGTAACTTTTTAAGAAAGCTTTTCGAGTTTTAATATAGTTTTAAGCTACTTACTTAAATCTTAATATAACTTTAAAAACTGATATAGAAAGGGTATGAATCTTTTTCAAAAAGGCAAAGAACGGTAGGTCCGAAAAGCTCCAAATTTCGAGGCAGAAAGTTAAGAAAATGAAGGGAAAGAGTGAATTTTGGTGAGCTCGCTGGGTGCTATAACGCTCGAAAACAACTGTCAAAATCTTCACATTCAGGGCCCGTCATCCACGGAATTCCCGCTGGGCCCAGCTTTTTCCTCCCAGGGATCCCTCCGAAGACTCGAAAATGGAAATTTTGTTGCTGATATGCCAATCGTGCAGTTGTTCGAGAATGTGAACTGGTAAGGAGCAGGAATACATTTTCTTAGCAAAAAGCTGGTCTTGTTATTGCGTACCCCCGAGACGCTAGTTGGCCTCACCCACTCGCCCCCCACCTGGCCCACTGTCCCCTATAATCACCTAGCCGCTCCCTCGATAGCTACCTCTGGTTCGTGTGCATTTGACCGAGAAAATCTTTCGCCTTTTACTAAAGATTTCCGTGCACACGAACAATTAGGAGTATTACCGAATTTTTGGAGCCCCCTCGAGAGAGCGGGGCAAAAATGGATATTCAAATCAAATTAAAATTTCGGAAATATACCTTTAGCTACCCTTTAGTCTAGCTCGAGGCCATGATCCTCTTACATGGGTGCTCGGTACAGAAGCTTATTGGAAACTGGACAAGAATTGGGCCGCGCTGAAGCCTGATGCTTTATCAAATCATCATATCACGGCTTTTACACTCCAGGTTTGAAGCTTTCAAAGTATCATATTTAAGGGTTGGAAAGAGCCAAAGCCCTTCAGTTCTGAAACTTTAGGCCGACGACGAGTTGGCTCGTAGCCACGGCGTCTACGATTGTGATCAACACAACTTTGTGATAGACATCCATTTCCGGGACCCACCACTTCGGAGCTTTCATATGTAATCAGGAACTTACTTAGAACGTACTTACCTAGGGTTTAGCCTATGCATAGGTTAGATACAGGCGTATACGTAGCATAGAACGTACTTACCTGGGTTTAGCCTACACTTAGATTAGACTTAGGCTTACGCGTAGGCAAACTGGATTCATTTTCCAGGTTGTGTCTCTCGGCTATTGGTATGCCTCCCGCCATATCCACCGCCCTCCTCTCACTCCATACCACATATCCAATCTCCTCCTCAACTTATTACGGGCTTGACACGGGCGCCATTGGATTTAAGGTATAGCTTCTCACCCTGCCAGAGCGCTATGTCCGTCCTTGCAGCTCTCTCTATTTTTCGACTTCATCCTAGCCGGCTGCTCCTCGCTAGAGCAATTCCTAGCTATGCCAATTGTCGAAGGGAAATGTGATACGCATCCGGTAAGCCTCTGCGTGAGCCTTACGTTCAAAAACTTTAGGATCTAGTCAAAATGGCACGCCGTATGGTGCACCAAAAATTAGGCGGATATCGTACCCGAGTTGGTAAGCCGCACTTGAAAACTTATATATCCAAAAACTCCAATTTAGAATTCTTACCCATCGCTCTTTTCCATTATTTTGGTGATGATGGCAGAACCAAACAGAATTACTTGGATTATTGTTGTAAGCCGGAACATATGGGGTAATTTTTCTGCCGGACAAGCTCATGTAGTTTTTCCTTGGCAGAATGGATTTCATTGATCTGTTTGCCCACGGTTTTGAAGAACTGCTGCGCCAAGCTAATCAAATTGACGCAGAGGTAATGGTATACATTTTATGAAAATTGTTTTACAGGTACCCTCATTCCATGCGTATCTATCCCCAATGGCAAAAGCTGGTCTGAAGTGGAGCTCGAGATGTTTAGACGTTTTCAAGAAATGTAAAAACTTATCTTTAATATGATTCCCATGCCATTAGTTGCCATCGAAAGTGACCTCAAGTATGTTAGCCGAATTTTGACGCTATGTGCCACCTATCTATCCTTGTTAGCCGAAGGGAAAGGAGGAGTACGGTAGGGAGAGTTTCAAAAATTATCAAAACTGTTCAGATCGGGCCCGGCCGCAAACAGCGAATTTATCCCGGCACTGGAAATGCTCAAAGTAAAAATTTCAGCTTAAATTCCAAATTTCCCTTCTTAGAATCCAAATAAGCAAACTGAGGGCCTAGAAAAACTCTTTGAAGTTACGACCGGATGGATAGACGAGAAAACCAGGATGATAAGAGCTGGTAACGCTCTTCAGAAGAAAAGTAAGAACTCGTTTTAGCCCGCCATCTCGAGGCGGCCGCCCAGGTGTTCGCAACCCGGAGGATTAAGGAAATTTGCATGCCGGTAAGTTGGTAGATAGTGTCGTAAAATTGCTAATTTTCGCTAGGTAGCAACAAAATATGTAGAGTGACAGTAACCTTGCAAAAACGGAGTCTTCCAGATGATTCCGATCCTGTCTTCCGCCGTGAAGAAGCCAGAGTTTAAGAAAGTTACGGTCAGCGCCTGCGCTCGCGTGGATTTGTATGGAGGATGGTAACGGAATCACGTTATCTCAATATTACAAAAAATCAGGCTAGACACCCCGCCAATCACCCTAGACATTGCAAAAAGCGCTGTTGTGAATATGGCGATAGCCGTGGACGGCAGGGTATGTAGTTCGCTCTATACCTTATGCCTTAAGCAAATGGCGCCGTGTTTTTATACCCTAGCCGCATTTCAGAAACCACTACACGCCTCTGTAGAACGACTCTTCGATATCAGTGGTTTGATCGTCGAAATATCTGGAGAAGAACAGCTCATCTTCGCCTCCGTCGAATCAATCTTCGAGTCACACGACAAGCCAAATAGGCCTGGTAATCAATCAGAGTTTTTATAAATTCATCAATAATTTTCCAGGGAGTTTGATTTGCGCGTGTCTTGTAGCTACTGGCCTATTCAATAGTCCAAAAACCCTATCTGACATCCTACAAACCCATTACGGTATCACAACAACTGGTCTGAAAATTGCGTGCAAAAGTGAGCTGCCTCACGGCTCAGGTGAGTGGTGGTATAAGTTAATACCCACAGTCCTAGGCTTGGGTACGAGTAGTATACTCGCTGGAGCGCTGTTAGCAGCGATATGGAGCAGTTTAGGAGTGGAATATACGCTAGATCACATCAATCATACCGTAATCCAAAGTTCGCCTTGTGACAATTGTTCTAGGTGCTTTACATTGAGCAACTTCTGACGACAGGTGGCGGCTGGCAAGACTCGATTGGAGGCCTCAGCCCTGGCCTGAAAATCACGCACTTTCAGACAGGTAACTGCTTATTGAAGCCTAGAACTTTGCATACTTTTTAGAAGCTCCTGATGGCAAGCACTTTTTGACAAGAACCATAGACTTGCCAGAGAAGCTCCGTAATGAAATGCAAAATCGTTTTGCCCTGGTGTACACCGGGAAGACAAGGTTGGCAAAGAACTTGTTGCAGGTAAGGAGTACAGTTACGGTGCGATACAGTTACCGTAGCTGTTAGGAGATACAGTTAGTTAAGAGAGTTACAAATTTCAGGAGGTAATCCGAAGCTGGGAAACCCATGATGGAGAAGCAGTCGAAGCGATTCGAACTATGCAAAGAAATGTGGATTTGACAGCTGAGAAATTAGCTGAAGGTTAGTTTTTAACCGTTTTGAAAAGACTCTAAATGTATACCCTAATGGATACATCCCACTTAATTTTGAGCTTTCATATCAATAAGTTTTTAGGCACCTTCCCAGTCACTTTTATCGCCGAGTATTTCCAGGCCAAGAAAAAATTGGCCGCTGGTTGCGAACCCAATACGGTCGGAAAATTCATCAAAGAGGCATGGGATAAGAAATTGGTTTGTAAAATTAATTATTTCAAAAGCAAAGAACCAGATTGAAATTGCGTGGCCAGCCGGCGCGGGTGGTGGAGGCTTTTTCTATGTATGGCTGCAGGAGCGTGCCTCGATTACCGGTTTGGCAGAGTTTTTGGAGGCAAAAAGACATAAGGTACGACAATCTAGCTTTCATAAACATTTTTGTTTAGTACCCAGGCTTCGCCGTTTCCCGAGCTGCTATTGAAGTTGATCCCATGCGCATAGGGTTTGAGTAAAAATGTTCGGACTGCCGTTTGCACCCTTTATCAAGTGAATACACGTATTTTGTTGTTAGGTCCAAGTGGTTAGCGTCAGTGTAAAGAAAACATCTTTCACGATATAGCACACAAAGACGGCTTCGATCGACTCCTAGGCTACGTTTTCCTAAGGCACTATTTCAGGTGAAACCGAGCCAAAATCACCTGAGCTGACTCCAAAAATCGTCAATGAGCTCACGCATCTTCTCGAACTGTTCTATCCCATCTTCTTCAATAAAACTTGGCCGAATACCTGAAAAAATTCATCTTAGGTGAATGCGAGCACACCTTTGGTTCGGTTGAACCCTTCGTAATAATCGCTAATTTCTAATAGTATTGGTAGAATATCGGCGAGTTGCATGGGTACAAACCCCAGAAACGTAGCCCTTTCTGCGGAGTATACAATTTCAAAATCCTTGGTGATGAAGGTGCCGCGGAGATTAGAAAGGTAAAATTCGAACAGCAATGCCTCAACACCATCTGGCAGCATGACCAATTCGAAAAAGAAGACCCAGTCTTTTTCTTTGGATTGGATCTTGCGGACCAGCTCGGTAATCGGCTCGTATAGTAAATTCTCGAAGGCCAGCCTTCGCCATCGCGCAGCGTATTGCAAGGCGCTGGCCAACAATGTGTAGGCTTCAAGGAAATCGATTTGTTCGCTTGTCGCACATTGGTGATAGTGGATACGGAATTTCATTTCGGTTGTTTCAGGAAATCCGCCTGCGACCTGACAACCATCTCCTCGACATTCATGTGCAGGAGGAATTCCGTAGAGAAAGACATAATATCCCGCGAACGGAGGCGCAGGAAATGCGCGCACTTTTTCTACTGCGTCCTTAAACTTTAGCATAGGCCGCTGCGACGTCATCAGGTTGTCAAGGGTAATTTCTAGGTACCGCGTGGCGCCCAAATGGTTTGCCCCCTCCGCCTGCGTACGCTGATTCAATAGTTTTCTCTTAAAGGACGTCCGAGCTTCAATTAAGGCTCTGCGAACTTGTTCGCTGTTCAAGTGCTCCATCTCATTAGTGTAATAGTATGGTAGTTTAGTCTTCGTGAAACGGTTATCGTGAAGACGAGTTTCGGTACAATCTTTCCTTAGAAACACGCCAATATGGTTCAAGTGGAGCCAGGCATAGCGCGAACCCCCAAGCGCTACGACTTGATAAATGAGTCTCTTTAGAAAAAGCTTTCCCAGTTCTTCCACATTCTTGATCACCCGATCGAGCGATGCCAAAATCTCGCCATTGGGAAGGGTTGCCTGATCGGTTTCGGTCAACATCTTAACTCCAAAGTTAATGGAGCGATTCTGTTGCCACGAGTCGACCCCAGATAGTAGATGAAATGAATCACGAAGTGCCACCGGTTTGTCCCCCACATCAATCTTGAGATCATCTGAGGTATAGAATTTTTCTATCTCTTCGGCAAGTTCGTATTGCTCCTCAAGCTCGAGCTTGGATAAGAGTGCAAGAAATTGATCGCAGATATACTTCCTGATCTTGTTAAAGTCTTTCGTCTCTACTCGCGGGATCCGCATCTCACTAATGCTCACAAAATCTGGGTCCGCCGAATCATCAATGAAAGGCAGCTCTGATAATTCTATTTCGCGGTTTTCGAAATAGGTCGTGGCCGCTAGTTTCTCTTTTAATTCCTGCAGCAGAATTTTCCGAGAATCAACCTTTTGTTGTTTTGGTTCCGTCGTGGTATTGGTTGTGGCATAGCCGAAAAAAGAATTTGTTACGGCCGGAGGTTGCATTTGATCGAACTGCATAAGAGCTCGATTCTTTTGTCCATCCAATCCAATAGGTAGCACAAGCCTTTTTTGATGCGGATTTGGATCTGGTTTGATGTCAAAGCCGGCGAACTCCTAAAGGACTTAAATTCGACTGCGTGTTTTTTATTGCACCTTTGTCATAGTTTTACAGAGTTTCAGCGCAGCTTCCACACCAAACCGCTCACTTAACTTCTCTTGCGTGCATCTATAATATTATTATTGAGGGCACATACAGTTCCCCTACCCTACCACGAGCTCCCTTACGGTATTCAAATATGGAAGCTTATCCTCAAATATACGATCAACCGCTTGACTTCCGGGAGCACTAAACCACATACACGGCAACCGTTTGAGACTTACCTTCGATTAATCATATCCAGCACCACCCATCCGGCTCCATAGATATCACATTTATGAGCGTCCTAGACAGGCTTGAGCCAATCTATAAAGCTTTAAGCTAACCTGATCATCAATCACTTCCTCCCTGAGAACCTCCGGCGCCATATAGCCGTGAGTCCCGCCTCGCCGGCTCGAACCGGCCTTCAAATCACGCACTATACCGAAATCGCCCAGTTTGACGATGTAGTCATTGCCCGAGAGAAACAAGCTAAAACCATAAAACTCCTTGACTGCTCTTACTTTTCCGGCTTCACATCCTGATGCACAATTTTCATATCTTTAACGTATTCGAGAGCCCTGAACAGCTCGGTGGCCCATTTTGCAATCGTTGCAACCGAATATATTAAAGTGTGATCTTTCAAAACTAAAAGACGTCTCGGTAATCTAAGAGAACTACCGTCTAGCAGCGAACCGTGCTCGCAGTATTCCATAAATAGTAAAAACTCCTCGCGGTCGACCACAGGATAGTGACTTGGGCAGTCATAATACCGGACTATATTTTCATGCGAGAGTTCCTAAAGAGATACCTAGACAACTGAATAAAAAGCTATATGCCTTCAGGGTTCGCAGCTCTTGTAAATAGCCGGCATAATCATCTGCCCGTAAAGCCTTCTTCATAACCATCGGCCTATATGGTCGTTTTCTTGCCGCTCAAATCAGACTTACGGATCACCAGAAATCAGCCACACTTCACCTTGTCCACCTCTGCCTAGCGATTTCTTCTCCATGCTGAAATTTGGAAAATAGCGTTGGCCTTTGAATGAAACTCTAAAAGCAAGAATGACAGGGCCCAACTGATGCAAGCAAGATCGAGATAGCAGTGCTGGGAAGCCATTACCTTGCACAAGAAATTGCGCTATCGATTTATTGCCTCTGCCGGCAATACAACGGCTGTTTTTGATGTGACAACTGTTAGGTATATTTATTCAAACAGTTCTCTTAATTTTTAATTGCTACTTGTCTGGTTGCGCTCTTTTCGAGCTGCGCGTGACGGGTTGGATTATTTAAAGACAGTTACAGCGAAGCGGCTTTTCAACCCTCGTTGACGAAAATAAATTTTTAATATCGCCAAAGGAAAACACGGAAATTTGGCAAAATTGCCATTTGTCGCCTTATAGTAAAACTTTTATTGGACCATTTCGGAAGAGGTGTATACACGCTGGGTATTTTCGAGCCTTATTTCCATCGTGCATCATCAAGACACAGAACAACCCGTGGAACTCGGCGATATACTCGGTTCGGCTGTCCTAAAAAAATTGGGGTAGGGCATTTCCGATTTACGTGATCCGCTTCCAAAAATCGCCAACAAGCCGTTCCATCACTTTGTCATGGGCATTTATTTCCGCATTTGAAAACGCAAATCCACCTATGAATGCTCCCGCAAGTTGTCTAGTTAACAGAATGTAAGCTCACCCCCGGTTCTATCGTAGTCGTTGTAATAATCTAGCATAGCCTGCAGAATAGGCAAAATATCGCCAAGTTTCACGGGTACAAATCGCAAAAATCTGGCTCTCTCCGCCGAATAGGCAAGTTGAAAATCCTTGGTAATGAAGCTTGCGCGGTTCATAGTCAGGTAGAACTCGAACAATAACGCCTCACCGCCATCGTGCAATTTTGTCAACTCGAAAAAGAAGACCCATTTCCTCTCTTTAGCCTGAATCTCGGTGACCAGCTCGGAGATCAACTCGTACAGCCACAACTCGCAGGTTCGCCATCGCATTGCGTACTGCATGGCGCTTGAGAGCAATGTATAGGTTTCAATATAATCTATCTGATCGCTGTTCGCACAGTCATGGTAGTTATGGCGGAATTTGCCTTCGACTGCTTCCGGAAAACCTCCTGCGACCTGACAATCGCTGCGACACTCATGTGCTGGAGGTATGCCGTAGAGAAAGACATATCCCGGAAAAGGTTGTCCCGGAACTGCGGCCAATTTTGCTAACAGCTCATCGAGATCAAATGACCGCCGATTTGACATCAGCAGGTCACTGAGCGTTAGCCTTACAAAGTGCTTGGGTCCAAGGTATTCATGCTCTTGGGTCGAGGCCCGCTGATTCCGCAGCTTCCTTTCAAAGTATGTTCGAGCTTCCATTAGGGCTCTGCGAATCTGCTCGCTATTCAGGGGTTCTCGCTCTTTGGTGAAATGGTAAGGCATTTTCGTGAGGTTTGTGCGGGTATCGTGAAGTCGGGTCTCGCTGCAATCTTTTCGCAGGAAAATCCCAAGATCTTTCAGATGGAACCAGGCATAGCGCGAGCCGTCCAGGATCACGATTCGATAGGTGAGCCTTTCGATGAACAGCTTTCCTAACTCCTCAATGTTCTTGATGTTCTGGTCGAGAAGTTTCAAGATTGCCCAATGAGGAAGGGTGGCACGATCTGTCTCGACTAGCCATTGCACACCAAAATCTTGAGCAAGTCCTTGTTGCCACGAGTCTAACCCAATTAAGGCTACAAATCGCTCATACAGATCTGGGTGAGTTTCATCCAATTTCGTATGGCCTTGCTTCTTCCAGTATACCTCCATCTCTTGGGCACAATGGTATTGATCCACAATTTCGAGGTTACACAAAATGGCGAGAACTTGATCACACAGTTGTCTTCTGATCTTGTCAAAGTTTTTGCGGTCAGCTCGAGCCACCCGTATGTCCCGCATGATCACAAACTCCGGATCAGTCGGATCCTCGGTGTAATGCAGATCTGAGAATCCTAGCGAATAGTTTTCGAACGTGGTACTTATCCCGAGCTTTTCTTTCAAATCGAGCAGCAGCCTTTCTCGTGGATCGATCATCACCTGTTCGACGACAGGAAGCGGTCCGGAGATACAGAAAGAATTGATAGATAATGCTGCTGCAGGAGGTTGAATGTATTCAAACGGCGCTGGAGCCTCCCGCTTCTGCCCATCCAATCCAATAGGCGGAACAAGCAGCTTTCGATGCGGATTGGGGTCTGGCTTGATCTCGAAGCCATTGAACTCCTGAAATACCAAATTGGCTTTTCGGTTTATTTGATCTGCTTTATTATATGATATAAATAATGCTTATCGAATTGATCTGTTGAACCTACCGTCGCCATTACTTTGCAAAGCCCTAACGATTTCTCGACGCCAAATCGTTCCTTGACATTTTCTTTCGTGCATCTGGCAAAGGATGGAAGTAGTAATCTAGAATCTGTTCGCCTACCCGTCTACCAGCTTCATCATGGTATCCAAATATGGAAGCTTATTCGCAAATATCCCGTCAATATCTTTATTTCCAGGGTTACTAAAGCGTTGCCTTTGATAATCGAGTTTCTAATTAAAACCTTCGATTTATCATATCGAGCACCACCCAACCACCCCCATAAATATCACATTTGTAAGCATCCTAAAGAATTTATAGTTCTCAAAATTTTTTCGAAACCTCAAGACTGGTCTCTTCCTCATTGAGCACCTCCGGTGCCATATACCCTTTGGTTCCGCCTCGCAAGTTAGAACCGTCTTTCAGGTCACGAACTATCCCAAAATCACCCAATTTGACGATGTAGTCATCGCCGTGTACAAATAAGCTGAAACTATCGAATCCCCGCTATTGAACCTACTTATCCGGTTTGACATCCTGATGTACGATGCGCTTGCTTTTAATATACTCAAGGGCCGTGAACAGCTCCGTGGCCCATTTTGCAATTGTCGCAACCGAATAAACTAATTCCTTATTTCCCAAGACTAAAAAGCTCTCTAAAGTGTTCTGAAAAAGCACTACCTTTTAACATGGAACCATGCTCACAGTACTCCATAAAAAGCAAAAATTCCTCACGGTTGATTTCTGGATGATTATCTGGGCAGTCGTAATATCTGACGACATTTTCATGCGAAAGTTCCTAAAGATCGCGATAGATTGCTTTAATGTAATTGCCTTCAATATTCGGAGTTCCTTCAAATAATTGGCATAATCATGCGTTAGTAGGGCTTTCTTCATAACGAGTGGCCTATTTCGGGAAATAATTTTCGAGCAACAACTCACGGATCGCCTTCGAGGAGCCAGACTTCGCCTTGTCCCCCTTCTCCCAGCCTTTTCATGTTTTGTAGTAAAGTTAATTGAACGGTTTTAGCCTCAAAATTGTAGGTCGGTAAATAGTACTGAGTGTTGTTGAAATTACAAAGGTCTGCTTGGTGAAACACTAGATAGCGAGGTGGCCAATCCCTTGCAGCAGAAAATTCGCTATTGTTCGGCATTTGATCTCGGGGACGAGAAAATTTCCGGATCCATTGGAATCGGGTCGAAATGCCTGTGATCCACTACACCAAAACTTTATCAACAAAAACACACCTACAATTCATAGAGCAACAATACATCAATAACGGTGGAACACTAGCACTACGAAAAATTAATGGCTTCATTTTTTCTCTTTGCCCTCCTCAAGCTCGGCCTGGATCCCGAGGAATTCTTGCCTAAAACAGGAATTATGACAATAAAACGGAAATGCACCTGTATTTCTTCCTCAGCTCTTTGGTCTTTTCTTTTTGCTCCTCGTCAGGGTAACCGGCTCGTTTGTCGATGTAATCGCTTTGTTGCAAGCCTAAAAAAAACAAAATCTTTCGGATTTTACAATATGAGTACCGTATAGTTCTTCCAGAGACATCAACCTCGACCAATGTGGGTACAGCCGTCTTCCGGTCGGCGCCAACTCATCCGACCATTCACGCTTCGCCCTGGAAAAGCTAATAAAGCAACCAGTTATCTAATAAACCTCGATATCGTGTCCTCAATGTATTTTTCTGGGTCGAAGGCGTGCAGTTCGCTGAGATGGCCCTTCATCCGTTTCACGAACTCTTTTTCAGCCTAAATTTTTGGTTTAGGAATCAACTGAAGCTCCAAGGAACAACCGTTAGCGAAACCAGATATCACAACAAAGCCAGGAAAATAACACAATCACATACCCGCATCTTCTTCTCCCGATGGTATTTCTGGTACTTGAACCAATCCCTCTGAATGCGCTTATTCCGCTTGTGCTTGCGCATCTTGTGACGTCGAATTGTCAGCGCCCGTGGCCCCGCGTACATCGGTGTATTGTGCGATGTCGTCGGCTCTTGAATCTCTGGCTAAAATGGGAACTCTTATCAAGGCATTTCTGACGCAATTACCTTGTTCAGTTCAGGATCCACCTTCACCGTAAAGTGAGATTCCCATGACGGTGCAACTCTTGGCGCATTATCGATAAGAGTGGGCAAACTGAGCACCTATAATTTTACGTAAAAAAATACGTCTTGAACCATACCCTATTCCCTGCGGTTGTCGGGCATGAGAGCGGAATTATGCGATGGAGCCCTGGAGCTGGCCGCCTGCTTTCCGGCTGCTCTTGAAGCGGCAATCGACTGACCGGCAGTGGAAGTGGCACTATCACAGATGAAGACGGCCCTAAAATGCAAAATTTTCGATAAATAGTTGAAATAAACGCACCATGGAACTCGGCCTTTCCGAGTTGAAAGAGCGACAGCCGCTTTGAGAGCAACGTGACCGCCCTGTTCATCTGACGGCCGGAGATCTAAAGAATCGTTTTTCAATGCTTTTTAGTGAGACGGATCAGATAATTGATAAAAATTAAGAATACTAAAATTTTATCAAAAGTTTGAGGTTTTTAGTTTCAGGAGAATTATCCATGGTGGAGCACTCACCGGGTGAAAGTGCGATGTGTACGCTTTCGTACTGCCCGGAAAAAGTCCAACCCGGAAAAAATAGACCGCACCTTCTATTTTTTTAGCTAAAAACAATGTTTTATGCGTTTTTGTTTGTCTTTAAATTATATTTATCATGAAACTGGCTCTTTTGACATGGGGTATGCTATTTTAGAGCCCTTGGACATGCAATAATATGCCGTTTTTCAGGTAGTCGATGTAGATAAATCGCTAGGAAATGGTGAACCGACGCAACTCCCCGCTGAAGCTGTACGGTTACTGCCAGGTTCGCGATTTTTTTGTTCTATTTGAGGAGAAGACCCTCTAAGGGTGCCCGGGCCGATGCCTGATTTAATTACAGACTGGGGGCCCTAGGGAATTTTCCAGGAGATTCACGATCAGAACTATTTTCTAGCCATCCTTTCCATTTTTGCTCGCTGCAAGCACTTTTTCACGTCGGTTCCGCCCACCATTACGAGCACGCGCGGCATGTTGATGGGAACGGCAAACTGTTCTTCGCACAATTCCTCCGCTAGACGGCCTTCACCTTGCATGGGGGTGCCCAATTGATCCCAATCATTTGCGGAGGAGGCAGAGCTAATTCGCGGTCGGCGGGTGGGCTGTCCAAAAATGTTCAACAAGCACCGGGAAGAGGCGCTGGAAAAACTCGTTTTCTTGTACACCCTCCTCGCTCATCTCCCGCGGGGACTCTAAATCTTTATTCGCCCAATCGCCGGCTTTCTTGACTGATATCCAACTCGGGTCATTTTCGGGAGGGGTTCTTCTTTTTAGAAAGTTCTTTCTTGTTTTGGGGAAAGGGGTTGGTCGTATGGGGTTGTTGAATATTCATCTTTTCTTTTACGCCACTCCCAGGCAGGATCGGGAAATCTTTCGATTTTTTTTTGGATTGTCTTCCACAATTTCTTTGGCAGAGTTTTTCATAATTCCTGTCTAGCTTCTAAAACTGATGTGGTTTAGCCATTAATGTCCCATATTTAATGATATTTTTAGTTGTTTTAGAGAGCTATAAATTGTTAATTTTCGTATAATTTTTTTAAACTGCAAGTTTTAGCTTTCAGGGTTTGGCAATCATTCGACCAAAAAAGTTCAAATAATTTTTTCGATACTTTTTCGTGTATTATACCCCGGTTTTTTCATTGACTCAAAAAGACTGACCCTTATGAAAAAGTGACCCTTCGATTCATAAATTAGAAGTTTCGGGTTTAGAAAGCTTGTGGGCTTTTTCTCTTTCTTTATGCGCCCAGAATTGCCTACTTTTCAGATGAGATGACCTCTGCAACGACGGGTAATCATGACCGAAACGGTGATATCGAAATGCTCGCTTTCCCGCCGCAGACGGTATCGTTTCTTTTTTACTCTCACGAATTTTCTCTGAATTCGGGCATTGACCTTGAGCACTTGTTCCAGGTGGGGACGGCCCAAGTACCCGATGTTGACAGGGAAGTAGAGGTGCTGCACAGTGATATCGAGGAGAAGAAATATGAGGTAAATTATTGTTTTCCGTTCGCCGCAACTTTTTACTCCCCCCGAAAGTGATCACCGGAAATTGGGGCTCCCCGGGGGTCGGGGCTTCTTACAAAATTCCGATGTTGGGCCCGGTGTCATGAATAATTTCCTGTCACGGAAACTGCGAAGCCCCACTCGTGGGGTCGGGGCCCAAAATCCGTCTCGTCATCTAATCTTGGGACTGCAAAATGCCGGCACCGGGTTTCGACAATGCCTTCAGAATGACGCGCATATTGCCGACTGGGCTGATCAATTTTATTTTCAAGCAACAAGACGCTACGGTGCAAGAGTCAATTCGGCTGGAATGGGACAAGCGCTGCTATTTTCCGGATGCGAAGCGACAGGTTGGTTGGGAGGTTGTGCTAATTTCTCACTGTTTCGGAGAAGCACTTGTTACTAAAACTGACGTTATGAAAAATTTACCACCCGATAGCGATAGGAAAAGGCCACCCAGACTCAAATAAAATAGCAATGCGATTTTTTTGGAAAATAAAATAGATTGTAAATGAAATTATAAAAATTAACATGATAGTTTTAGATTGACTACGTGCTGGCCTATGAGGACGACGTCGAATTCACCGATTCCTGCGATTCTCCAACCCTCGACAGTTCCGATGAAGAAGACAGCAACAAACCGAACACAACCCAAGTGAGTGCCAGAAATTATACAAAAATTCGAGCTCTTTCGAAAATCCGCTTTTCAGCGCACCAAAATTAATATGCTGAAGAACCAGGGCCGCAGTTTCAGCTGGGTGAGCCCGAGCTCGCTGTCACTAACAGCTTTCAGGCGCTAAAACACAAGGCTTTAGAAAGTTAGGCTGCTTTGGGGGGTTTTATTCCTAGAAAATACGATGTTTTAGAACCCAGCGAATGGCGGCTTCATGTCGTGGAAGCGCAAGAAGAAGGCGCAGATCCAGCTCGAAAAGAAGAGCACGAGGCGTCGCAAGTTTTTGGAAAACCTGGAAACGATGGGGCTGAACTTGGAGCATTGCCAGGCGGAGGTTAGCTCAATTTTGCATTCAAAAATTAATTTGTTTAGCTGGGAAACACGAAATACGTGCTCGTACATGCGCCGTTTGAGCTACTCGAGAAGCAGGCTCAATTGCTGACGGTCAAGCTGCCCGTCAAGAGGAGTGACGTGGACATGGAGGTATAATGTTTGTATATTTTTTTATTGTTGCAAAAACAGCTCACATGGACTAACCGACTAATCCAACTCTAGAAAACGAGAGGTCGAAATCTCTGGGGTTTGCGGGATGCGGTGTTAAAAGTTTGTGTAACCAGATTTTCCGAATGTTGTTATGCCGGATTGTGAATGTTTACTTGTGGATGGCTGCGGAAAAAAACGTTTAAATTACTTCTCAGGCTTTTAAATTTTTTGAATTAATTTTTCGGGCGTTTTGAAAGCAGCCATCCGTTTTAGTCTTTTCAACCTTTCCCTCTTGTCCTTTTCGCTTGACCGCCCGTTTCTGTCTTGTCAATGTCGCATTTTCCTAGAGCTTCTTTAGCTTAAATATAGCTTTTCATGGTCTATATTATTTTTTTTAGGAGCGCAACATCTTGCCCGGATTTGTCGATCGCCTGCTAAATCGGCTGAAAATCTTCGAATTTGACGAGCACACCAACCAACTGCTCAACGAACCCGAATATTTCACGGCGCCCTACTCCTCGGATCGGAGAAAACAGTACATTTTAATTTACTGTAAAACTTCATTTTCCTAGATTTGTCAATTGGGATCGCCCGGATTTGCTGTTTCCCAATGCCGAGCGCTGTCGCATGGTCTACGATTTGCTGATTCGAGCAAGGTAAAAAAGAGACTGTTTCAACCGTTTTTCCTCGCTGCTGTTCTTTAAGAATGACGAAACTACCCGAAAATTTATATCTGCAAAAAAGGCAATGTCAATCTTTTTCAGATATGATTCCCTCATCAACGCGCCGGAAGCCCATTTTCGAGTTGGTATCGAGCGCCTTCTCGCCAATGGAACGTTTAGCGCCGCTTACCCATTACATCAGGTAAATTCCATTACACTCCTTGTTACGGTATCTTCAGGAATTCCGCTCCCGCAGCGAGATCAAAGACGAGGACCGGACCCAACGGGAGCTGCTCTACACCCATTGGGCCAGCTGGAGGAATTTCTGCAAGTATCAGCCGCTGGATCTTGTCAAGTAAGTAATCTTTGTCCCTTTCATTACCGATGGGATTCTAGACGCTATTTCGGTACAAAGGTCGGGCTGTATTTTGCGTGGCTCGGCTACTATACAAGAGCGCTTTATCCGGCAGCGCTGATCGGATTGCTGTCACTGATGTTCGGCATCTACCACGTGACCGGGGATGATGTCAGGTTTGGCATTTTCCAACTTTTGACCTAAATCCGTTCAGCAACGATATCTGTAACGATGACGGCATAGGTGGACGAGAATGGGTTTGCCCGCACTGTGTCTCACACGCGTGCAACTATCAGAAGCTCCAGGGCAGCTGTTTGTACTCGAAGGTATTTATTATAGGGATTCGATAGCTATAAACTAAATTCAGGTATCATTCCTGTTCGACAACACCTCCACCGTCATCTTCGCCGTGTGCATGTCGATATGGGCCACCCTGTTCCTGGAAGGCTGGAAGCGGTACCACGCTGAAGTGGCTTGGAAATGGGGTCTCGTCGATTTTGTGATTGAAGAGGTACGAGCGAAAAAATTTTTAGCCGGAATTTTTAGGAAACCGTACGCCCCGAGTTTCAACTTCGCGTCAAGACCAAGCGGTTCAACCCGATCACCCAACAAGAGGAGCCCTACCTTTCGATGGAGAAGAAAACGAAGAACATTTTTGCCAGTGGCGCCACAGTTCTATTTTTCGTACGTTTTTCATTAATATTTTGAACCGTTTTAGATCTGCCTTGTTCTGGCGGTCGTCTTCGGCATGGTCGTCTACCGCGTGATCGCCTATGAATTCTTGAACTCGCGCGACAACGCCGACCTCGACCAGTTCAGCTTCATCATCGTTTCCGTGACGGCGGCCACCCTGAATATGTTCGTCATCTTGCCGATGAACATGGTGGGCCTTTTGTTGTTTTCTCTGTACGTGAATTTCTTTAGTTTTACAACAAGCTGGCCCATTGGCTGACCAGATGGGAATGTCCGAGGACACAGGCTGATTTCGATAACCAATACACCTTCAAGGTATGAGAAGCTTTTAACGTTAAGAATCTATTTATTTTTATTTTTAGGTCTTCCTCTTCCAATTCGTCAACTACTACTCCTCGCTCTTCTATATCGCCTTCTTCAAGGGAGCGTAAGGAGCCCTAAAAAAAGCTGATCAAGATTGTATTCTAGATTTACGGCCAATCCGAAGCACGCGTACTACGGCTTAACGTTAGAGGTTGGCAGGCTTTTTGCCTAGGAATTTCCGGTTATTGTAATTTTTAGGGCTGCGACTCGGCGGGTTGCTTCGCCGAGCTCGTCATCCAGCTGATCATCATCATGTGCGGCAAGCAGTTCTTCTCGGCGTTCATGGAGACTCTCTACCCGTATGAACAATTAAAAGATCATCTACATCATTTTAGGAAAATCATGAGCAAGATCCGGGAGTATCGTTTCATCGTTCGGGGCGAGGAGTCGAAGCGCGAGCGTATGGAGCGTGAGGCGCAGAAAAGGAGGTTGAGCCGGTAAGCTGCTTCAAAAAGGCACATCAGCTTTTATCACTGCAAAGTCTTTGACTATCGAAAAAATCGTATTTTTTTGGATTAGTGCTTCATTCTCATGTGAAAAATGCTTTAAAAAGGGAAAGCTCATTTTCTCGTGATTAACAAGGCTGTGGCACAAGTGTGACGCTATACACAATATTCACCCGCCTAGATCCCGCTCAACTAGGACCCGGGGTGGCTATTCGAGCCTCAGATTTGCCATCCAGCAAAAGCTTTCGCGGTGGGCCAACTGACTAAAAACTCGCTGACTAGAGCTCGGCTTGGGGTGTCTTCATTTGCTTAGGATACTAAAAATTAACCCATTATAACCCTGATATTCCCTACGTTATAATTTTATAACCTTTATTTTTGCTTGCAGACGACCCCGGCAATTCTTCAAATAATCATCTACCCTATTTTATAAGATTTCAACGACTGGTTTAAATAACTAATCTATTAAAACTTGTGCTCGATAATCCCCAAATTTCAGATGGGAAACCGACTACTACCTCAGCCCAGTCTACGATCAATTTCTCTTCGATGAATACCTGGAAATGGGTAACAATATTTTTAAATTTCCATACCTTGATTTAGTGCTCCAATTCGGCTTCGTGACGCTGTTCGTCGCCGCCTTCCCCCTGGCCCCACTTTTCGCCGTCCTCAACAACATCATGGAGATCCGCCTCGACGCGTACAAGGTTGGATATAATTTTTTTTGCAACATTGATGATTTGGCTCGGATTTTTACGTTTTTAGCTATGCAAAAATATTATCCTACAGTACTCAACTCGTCCGCTCAGCCGTGATAATCCGTAATTTTCCCCTTGAAACTCCTCGTCTTTTTTTCTTTCTGGATTTGCCGTCCTCTTTGGCGTTTTTGCGGTCTAGCTATATATTTTAGTGGTGCGCTAGATTTATTTCGATTTCAGTTCCTCGTCCATGTGCAACGTCCGCTGCCGGCCTTGGCGAAAAATATCGGCATCTGGCTGCCAATCTTGGACGGCATCAGCAAGTGCAGTGTGACGATTAATGTGAGGATTTGGCTACTGAAAGCTTGTCCTAAAATATCTCAGCTGGTATTTCTCAAATGGCCTCTGCTAGCCCGCCCTGAACGGCTCGAACTTGACATCCACGAAAAATAATTGCTTGCCGGTTCTAAACGCCTTGGACTTGACGTCCTGACATTTGAAAGTAGTCTTACGCTCAACTCCTTTTTTTCAGGCGCTCGTCATTGCATTCACCTCCGACTTCGTGCCACGCACGTACTACTTTTTCACGCACGGCTACGACATGGCTGGGTAATTTAATTACACTGCTAAAACATATTTTTTTAGGTATGTTGACTACTCGCTAGCCTACTTCAACACCACCCATTTCCCCGAAAAGACGATGGGTGCATTTTATGCCAGCGCGCAGAACGTGACAATGTGCAGGTCAGGCTACTAAAAATTGACTCAACAATTTCCAAATTAAATTTCAGATACCGCGGCTTTTTCCGGCACCCATGTGCTGGCCCCAACGACACCACGCTGTACAACAACGAACTGTGCTCCGACGACTACGCCCGCAGCCAGGAGTGGTGGCACATTTTTGCGTATCGCCTGCTGTTCGTCGTACTGTTTGAGGTCTGTTGGTGAACGCCTGGAACTTGGCGTCCTGAGTGCAAAGATGGCTAGCTGTATGTAAAGATGCGAAATTCTGTTATTTCCCCATCGATCTCTGATGGTCGGCCCTGAACGCCTTGAACTTGGGCTTAACTTTGGTATCGACAAAAAAGAAATGATAACAAATTTTCAGCACCTCGTCTTTGTGCTGAAGGGCCTGATCGCCTACCTGATCCCCGACATCCCCACCAAGATCTTCATCCAGCAGCAGCGCGAGAAATACCTTGCCCGCCAGGCGCTGATCGCACAGGGCATTGCCTCCGGAAACCAGCACAAGTAGGGATCTATTTTCTTTCTTTATTTTCCGCATAAAAACTAAACACTGTTCTCCAAATTTCCAAATGTTGCTTTAGTGAAAACGACTCTGAGGCGACGGCCTACCAGCCGGGCTCCGATCTCAAACCACCGAAAGGCGTCGCAACAGTACAGACTTTTGCCACCAACCCCGCCAATCCTACAACGGTAAATATGCAAAAAATGCGTATTTTTTTTGCTCAATATGGCGCAGGCGGTGTATTTTTTCAATCGCCTAAATCTGGAAATTTTTGCGGGAATTCCAAGGTATAAAATTCGGGGATTTTGGCCATTTTGTGCAATTTTTTAGGCTTTAAGATGCCTAAAAATTCTGAATGCCATGGGGAAGCTAAAAAGAATTCTTATGCGCGTTTTTAAAGCTTGAAAATACATTTTTGTCGAACGAAGTTCTTTTTTATTTAGACTGAGGAATGGAAGGTTAGAATAGAGGAGTTAAATGCTACTATCTTATTGTTTTTATTTTTACTCGTGCACATGAACTTCATAGAATAAATATAAATGATGCAAAGTGTCCTAGAAAAATCTAACAAGTTTAAAAGAATTTTTTAGGTGGTCCAATTCGCGCCAATCATTGCACATCGCCGCTCGACGACCAGCGAGGGACCCCTCCGCTCCACTCCCTCAAATGAATCATTTGTAACTGCCCAATACGGCAGCAACCATGACATCAACGCCCAAAATGACAAATTTTAGAAGAATTCTATGCCTTATTCCCTTTTGTATTCTTGCTTTGTTAGTGCCTGTGATAGCCTCATTTCTTTTTGCTCAACCGCCATTATCCCAATTTTGCCTTGCCCACCCCGCCCATCGACGACAACAGTATTCAGGTTTTCAGAGATTTCTTGTCACCACCAAGATTCGCACGTTGAATTGTTTGTTTTTTTGTGAATTTCTTGTCATCATCCAGAATTATTGTCAGCCAATCCCCCACTCGCCAAAGCAGCGCGCACTTTGCCATTTTTCGGGTAATAAACGCTTTTTATCAGCAAATTAAACGATACAATCCTCAGCTATGCGTTTCACTGCACGTCACGACTTTATCAGCATTCAAAAGGTTACGAAAATGATGGACGAGAGACCGGAAATGGGGGGATTTTGCCGGGCTTCTGGTTGCCATGGCAGTCCGTGGCTTTACTAGCGCCCTCTATTTCGGGTGACTTCTTTGCAAACGACAGGTGACAATTACTGGAACGTCGAGTTAATGAAACTGTAATTTTGTAAAGTTAGCTTTACTTTGTTAACCTTAAATCTAGTTATTGAGAGGTGAAAATAGAGCTTTGATTTCCCCGGGGACCAGCGCCTTCTTGTTAAACAGACCCGTTGACGCAATATTAACTAATTTAAAGGGACAGTAATCGATTATTGAAGCTGTTTTCCGACTATTTTATGACTTCATTTTTATACTTTTTATGCAGTACCTCTCGCGTCTAATCGAGACGCATCCATCTCCTGCATTTCCAGGATGAATTTCCTCCTCTACGAATTTGATGGGTCGGCCCGGCGGAACCGGAATCAAGAGGCGATGATTAGATCGATGGTAAGCTTCTAGTTTTGCATGATAATTCAAGCGGACGACATTTAGCGTCTAAACCACAATGATCTGTTTACAGAACAGCAGGGACGACTTCATGCAAAAACTGGAAGACGACCGTAAGCGGCGCCGAGAAGATACAGAGAAAGAGAAGAAGATCGTCGTTATCCAATCGTCCTGGCGGCGGCACAAGGCGCGAAAATTGGTAGCAGATCGAGCACGGTATGTAAAATCTTTATTAGGCAAAACTTTTTTGTTTAGTTCCAAATTTGATGCGATAACTGACGCCAAAGACTTCATCGGGATTGCCAATAAAGTATGGATTCCGCCGTTTATTTCCATAGTTTTTTTAAGATTCGTCTACTCTATCTCTGCTACGATCACGCTGTCGATGACGGCCGATTGGTATGAGCCTTTGGATTTAAAATTGCCTTTTTTTGTAGATTTTCCTGTGCGGGGAGACATTGACGGCGCTGCGGGAAAGACGACCCGAGCAACTCAACGCCATTGATCGTTATTTCTTGGCGAAAACGGTGCTACGATTTTTAAAAAAGGTTTGTTGTGTTAGGTCAATTTTTTTACACATTTTAGGCTGGCTCGGACACGAATCTCGTGCCTCCGCTGCGCGTTTTGGGCGAAATTTCGGACCCCAGCTTGGCTTTGAAGCTGTTTAAGGAGGTAATTTGCCAACTTTTTAATCTTTGGAGTAACGATATTGTATAATTTCAGGGTGACTACTTCAAATCGATGCTCCGGCACATTTCCTACTTTACGCCAATGAATTCGTTGTCCATCGACGAGCGGCTGCCTCCAAAATTGGAGTCGATGTGTGAATATCTGCTGCTCCCGATTACGAATGGAGGGACTGGAATGTAATTTTTCAGCCAATTTTTGTTAATTCGTTTTTAGACCAAAATTGCTGTCCGCACTCCTCCAATGTCTCTGCAAGATGAAACCCCTCTTGCCGGCCATCACCGTTGTGTTACCGTATCTTACGCGGGTACTGCCGAAGATACAGATCTCCATTCCTGATCTCGTAAGGCTTCTTGTTGGGTTTAGCAGCCATTTTTTTAGTGTCTTGCCGCTGCCGCTCTGAAAAGTGAAGCCAACAACGAGATGGTTATCTACGCATTTAATGTACTAATGGGCACGATTTCTCTTGGTTAGTGATCGTTTCAGCTTTATAATGTGACTCTCAATCTTTATCGGTTTAAAATAAAATAATAAAAATATAAAAATATAAATAAATGATTTTTAGCCACGGCCACGTCTGAAGAGCGCCTACAAATCTTGGAGATTGTCGCCCATTTTGTGGAAAAGAACGTGCAAAAGCAACAGCCACATGCCAAAAGAGCCGAGCCGATGGATACCGACTCCGGCTCCATCTCTGACCTACAAGCCCTCAGCTTCATCCACCACAAAATCCCCGAACAGCTAGCCAGCCCCGATTTTGTGAACCTGTGCCTGGCTCAAGCCAATAGCCACGAAGCCAGCATCAGCTCGATTGCAAAAATCTTCACGCTCGTAGAGTCGGTAAGAAAATTCAACACTTCTTTGATTATTTTATTTTTTTTAGTTCAATGTTTCCTACCGGCTCTCCTCCAACAAGACGTTCATTCGGGCGCTCTGGAATTACCTACAAACGGCCGGGGTCCAGGGGAAGCTCGGCTTCAAGACATACGCATCGTACCTGCGAAACGGTAAGGATTAGATAATTTTCTGTTATTAAATGAACTTTTAGGCATCAAGCTTGATGAAGCGGCACAAGCTAGCTATCTTCCGGCATTTTCTCTCTTCTCGGCGGTGTTCGGCATTCTCGTGCGGGAGCTGGCCGACGACAAATTTGCCAAGGACAGCCCGGATCTCCCATTTTCTTACGGGGAATTGATTCAAGTTGTTACGGGATTGAGGTGGGCACGCTTACCGTCTTATTTTTGTATTTATCATCTGATTTTGCTAATTTTCTTTTACAAAATGAGCAAATTTCCCTTTTTAGAGACACTGTACTTGGCTTGATCGACTTGGCTTTTCCGGATGATCTGAATACGCGCGAGAAGAATAGAACCGAAGAGGGGAAACGGGAAGCGCAACGATGGGCGGATATCTACGAGAATTTGGTGAGTCATCAATTTTTCTTTACCCAAAAAATTGGTTTCTCAGGTCCAACTTCTACGAACGTTGGAAGAAAAAGATTTGCGCGTTCATTTTCTGCCGGAGGGCATTTGGAGCGACCACAATCGACAGGTAATATTTTTTTGTTTTACAAATTATTTTTGAAAACCTATATGGATTTATGGTTTTTAGATCGTCTTCCAACACGCTACCGTAGAGCCAGCAGTTCCTCGGCGACGAGGCATGCCGCGCCCGCGAAGACCGGCGTTCTCGTTTGTTCAGCATCTTTTTCAGTGAGTGGATTTTCTGAAATAATTTTTTTGCTTTCTTGTTTTTCGGCAAGTCCACCATAATTAATTTTTCAGACGCCCCGGCACCTCATCGGACAGCGATTCCTCTTCCGACGACGATGGCACCAACAAGCCGATTCTTACCCCGACTGACCTTCGCAATCTGAGCATTATGAAGAGCATCCCGTTTGTTGTCACGTTCCGGCAGCGGATCAAGGTAAATTTAAGGGATGCTGTTTTGATGCCTTTTTAGATGTTCGAAGAGATGCTTGAAAATGACAAGGATCAACATGGGATTTCGTCAACGGATCGAGGTAAGCATAAATTAATTTTCGGTTTACGTCCTAGGCCATCCAATGGGCCGTCGAATCGAGGTAACGGTACGCCGACAGAGTTTGTACGAAGACGCCCTGGACGGGTTGAGCCTGCGCAACGCTGCTGACATGCGCTACCCGATGCGAGTACACATGGTCAACTGGGCCGGGCTGGACGAGGCGGGGATTGATGGAGGCGGCATTTTTAGGTGAGAGATACACATACTAGGACCGTGTTTTGATTTACTAACGTTGTTATATCGACAGCTCGTTGCGCCCCAAAAATCCATGAAATACGCCGCCATCTTTCGCATTTAGGGAATTCCTGTCTGAGCTCGTGCGGACAGCGTTCGACCCCGAGCGCGGCTTCTACGTCTACACGTCCGACCGGATGCTCTACCCAAATCCGTTGGCCCCATTGATCTACGAAGATTATAGTCGCCACTACTATTTCCATGGCCGAATCATTGCCAAGGTGAGACGGCTTGCAATGCGCTTAACGCTGGCTTTAGCTACTCTACGAGAAGCAACTGGCCGAGATCCGTTTCGCCGACTTTTTCCTGGCCCAACTACTTGGAGATAAGCGGGAGAAGAACGTGGACATTTATCATATGGTATATTTTTTGGTGTTTCCTTTATAACTTTTTTTTCAGAAATCTTACGATCCGGTGCTCTACGAACAACTCCAAAAACTGAAGTTCTACGACAAGGCCCAATTGGCCGAGCTGGAGCTCGATTTCACCATCATTCTCGAGGAATTCGGCGCTGTAAAGGTATAGAGAGCTTTAAGGTATCGATTCGGGTTTTAGACTGTGGAATTGCTTCCTGGTGGCTCCAAAATGCCGGTGACAATGGACAACCGGCTGCAATACATCCAGCTCTACTGCAATTTCTTGCTTTACAAGAGGGTAGGTATTTTTGTTTATTCTCTTTCTGATGTTTTAAAATTCTAAGATCTAGTTTGATATTTTTAGCTCGAGCGTACCGTCGATTCGATGCGTGCCGGCGTCGCCAATCTCTTCGATATGCAATTTTTGGCAATTTTTAGGTAATTAAGTTTCTTTTAAAAAATTTGGTTTTATTTTAGCCCCAACGAAATCCAGCGCATCGTCTCCGGAGCCGATGTGGATATAGACGTGGAAGATATGAGGCGTTACACCGTTGTCCACACAACAAATCGTACGGATTTTTGTATTTAATTTCATTGTTTTAATTCCAGCCGACGACGATGTGTTTATCGAACGTTTTTGGGACATTGTACGCTCACGATTTGACCCGGAGGAGAAGCGGGCGTTGCTCAAGGTTTCAAGAATTAAGATTTTATTTATATACTCTATTTCTACAGTTTATTACGGGTTGCTCAAGACCGCCGCTCGACGGTTTCAAGAGTATCCATCCTCAGATTGGCATCCAATTGGTAGGCATCCCTGTTATATTTCTTTTTTTTATGTGTTGCCTGATAACCTATTTTTACCAATATTTTTTTTTTAATATTAAAGCTATTATTTATATTTTAGGTCCCCCATCGTGATGCCCTCCCAACGGCTGCTACTTGTATGAATCTGCTCAAACTGCCCATGTACAAGGGCATCGATGAAATGGAATCGAAAATTCGGTGAGATTTTGATTTTACAGTAGCGTTAAAATTCAATGCCAACATTTGTATAAATCACTTTTAGTTATGCGATCAATGCCGGCGCCGGTTTCGAACTGTCCTGAAAAACCGAAGAAAACGACCTACCGGCCCCGATTTGTACACAAATGTTGTAAATCAGTATGATTTTGTTGCGTTGAGCTTTTTCTTCTTCCTCTTGGTGATCCGTATATCATTTTAGTCATCTCGCGCCCATAACTTATTCTACCGGTCGAATAAATGAGTTATCCGTAAAAATACTTTAAAAATCACACGACATTTTTTAAGCAATTTGCTTTCCTAAAGTTAAATTCTACAATTTCGATCGTATAGCCCTGAAATTAGCCGTTTTTGGGCCCTATAAGCCCCTAGCTTCTCTTAAATCATCTCGAGTGTGTTTCCGAGCTTCAGTTAAACATTTTTACGAGAATCTAGACGAACGCGCCGCTCCAAATGACGATAAACGGGGGCCCGCCTGGCATCCGTATCGGGAGCCGGTCTGTCGTTCGGAGGTGTCGTGCGTAGCCCCTCACCTAACGGCCGATCCCCCATTCAGTCAAGTGATATCAAAACCCAACTTTTCCCATCCCCAAAAATGAATTTAGACCCTCAAATAGTAATGATCTCGAATTAGGAATCTTAGAGAACCCGGAAATTCGTAGTAAGTTGCGTCTTATCAAATCATAACAAGTAAAACGTTAAAAATGAGTATTTTGTGTTGATTTTAACTTTAAAAGGGACCAGTAATTAAAATTAGATCGAAATATTTTAGTACTTTTGCGATTAGAGGGGTAGCTTAAGACGGATGTTTTGAAAAAGATTATACCTCCGAACGAGGGGCCAATAAAAAAGTAGCAAAAAGCAATTAGAACATTTTTGGAAATTTTCTCCCTTCGAGGAGTAAAGTATAAACTTTGTTAAGTTTTTGGGCAGAGAGAGCTAAAACTCTTGATTCTCCAAAATTTAGGTGAGCCTGAGCTTTAGGAATGAGTTCTGGTCGGATGATCAGCTTGATTTTAGACACCATACATGTGAGATGGAATTTTTAACTTTTTGAAGAAGCCGAATACAGTTTTTAGCTTCACCACTCGGGAAATTATTGCAGAATCAGCTTGTAAAGCTTTGTGTTGAGCAGCAAGTTGACTTTTGTTTTAGTATTATCACTCAAGAGCGAATTTGCCTCATTTTCTCCCTTCTAAGGATTATTTTACCAGTTTATCCTGGAATTCCCGCTTCAGCCTTACCAATATGCTAAAAGCTTCCTGTTTTGATACAATTTTCCCCAATTCGAGCTTCTCTCAAAATCCGGGTGGCTCCCATTTCTCATTTTCATCCCTCACGCCCCGGGATTGCGCGCCTCCCCCCTTCTGGCAGGCTGTCATTTGGCGCGCGTTGTACGCCACTGCTCGGCCCCGGCCCGGACACTCTACCAATAGCTAGAACAACACTATTTATGCCCTTTTTAATAGATTTATTAACAAAAACGCTCGAATTAGTAGGCTACTGTATGCTAGGAGTGATTATAGTACTCTACAGTAGCCTTTAAAGCGTAAAATTTAGTAATTCTGATTTTCTTCGAGCTTTTGTCTGGAGCTCTAAAAATTAATTAAATTCGTGAGTTGCACTTTTTAATTTTATACGTTCGGTTAATTAGTGGCTTTGAAGGCTCCATAATCCATTTATTCAGTGATAAAGCCGCCAGCTTACGGCTAGAGCTATAAAATTTAATTAACGTTGACTTCGCATTTTAATATTATGTTTTCTTATGTATCATTTTTCTTAAGTGTCCTTAGCCTCATTTAATGAGCGAAAAACGGTTAGCTTTCCAGAAAATGAACTCACTCATGGCTCTCGTTGGCCTCAATGAGGATGGGATGGAAATGCAGGTAATTGCGGGGTGGAATTCCGGATATAATTCCTTTTAGAACGAGGATGTGAAACCGAAGATTGATCCTCTCGTCAAAAAGCCGACCGTGGCCGTCAATAACACAATGGTAAGGATAGTGATGTTTTTATTGAATGTAAATATTCTTGATAGACCCAAAATTTCAAAAATAAAACACTTTCAGCAGGCCGTCGCCAACAAGACGCGATTGATAAAAATCAGCCGCCCACCGTTGAGCCGCGATGTGAAGCCGGTAATTAAATTTTTGGAAAATATTTTTAATGTATGAATTATAGCAAGAGACGACTCGGGCTACACTCAACCGTCTGAAAAGACCGGCCCATGACTTCCGAAACTCGACAGATTCGGGGAGAGCTGCAAGTAAGGGATTATTTTTAGATACTTTTTGGTTGTTGAGATTAATATTATAATTTGCGAGAAATACTTCTAAAACCCTTTTTTTCAGAGACGGTGAGGCTCGGCGTACCGAATCAGCCCAATCAAGCCAAGTCGTTGGCTCCGTTGGCTTCGATGAAGACGGGAACGATCTTGGGAAATGTAAGTTAGCCATTGGCAACTAATTAATTTGCTGGATTTAGACGCGTATGCCCCGGGCCACCTCTTACCACCCTCCAGACATGACTCGACGTGAAGCGAATCCATTGCCAGTTGGAGAGGTGCGTCGAAGGATAAATAGATTTTCAATATTCGATGGTTTTCAGGATGAGCTCAGCGCCGACTATGCAATGCGCCTCCTCGACATCGTACAAGATGACATCGAGCAGACCGAGTCGGCCATCGACCGCTTCAGCTCGCTGCTGAGACGCCAGATGGAGAAGCCGTACCCGAATGCGCCAAAGTATCCGGTTCAAAGTGCATTGTTCCGACGACACGACAACCACCATGTTGCTGGCCCGTCGCAGGTATGTTTTCAGCTCCAATAATTCGGTTTTTAGATGAATTTAATGGATTGTATTCTTTATTTTTATAGTCTTCCCAAGGAGAAACCCGAATTCTACACGGACAGATCTGTCTAGTAACATCATGACACGTGCCTGAATCAGCTTTATATTCCATTTAGCTTCGGTGAAAAAAATGAACAAAACAAACCTAGGAAAGTGCTTGAAATTTGCAAAATGGAAACTCGGTGATTTTGGTCTCAAATGGAATTTTTTAAGTTTATAACAAAAATTTGTACCTTTTTTACGTTTAGGAATAGCAAAAAAAACAGTCTAGAATCGATTTCTTTCTCTATAACAAAATTGGATCCAAAGGAAAAAGCTTCCATTTAGATGAACCCGATGAAGGCAGGCAAGGTTCACTGCTACTTCTGCAGCACGGACATCCCGGCCGCCAATTATCAGCTCCACAAGCAGACCTGCGAGCCGCAGCCATCGAGGAGCCGTTTCCGCTATAAAGCTTGCCCGAAATGCGAGCTTTCGTTTGGTTGGCCCACCGACTGGGCGCACCACACGAAGCGCTGCGGGGCTCAGCCTCCTGCCCGAGCGCAGACTACGCTCAAGGTATCCAGAAGTTTTCTTTTATTTTTGTAAAGTTTTTTGGTTTTTTTTGTGAAAACGGAAATTTGTCACTTATCATTAGTGCGCGAATCCTTTATCCCTGACCGCGCACGCAGGCAGATGTTGCCGCGACGCGCGCGCTTTTGCGCACCTGAACCCTGGGATTTTGATAAAAAGCCATCATTGCGTGTGACCGGCCATGAAACGCAAATTGACATTGCAGAACGTGCTGCCCGACCCAGAGGCTCAATTCAAGGCGGCCCCGATGATCGTTGGAATGGGCACGCGCACGGTATGCCTATTAGCCTACCTTTTGTCAAACTGAAAAGTGTACATTTTGTTTCTATACCTTGAAAAACTTATGGTTATTGTTTATTTAGTGTAGAAAGGGCACTTCTGCATAGCCCGGGTTTTTTGGCTCGCAAATGAAAAAGCGTGCCCGGCAAAATATTCCTTCCCGGCCAAATTTGTTGTTTTGGATACTTGCTCAGTATCTCTTGAAGAACCTATAATTAGCATTAAGCTAACGTTAGAAGCGGATTTTCCGAAGAAAACTTGCTTTTCCAGGCGCCTCCCTTGATGCCAACTGCCGCCCCGACGCCAATCACCTACCACGACTTGCCGGAACCGGGCGAGGCTGGCATGATGTACTGCACCGCCGAGGGATGCACCGGCACTCTCGAGCCCAAGCTGATGAAGCTCAAGGATCAGTTCTTCCGCCGGTACGTTCTAGTGGCTTTAATTTCGGGAAAATTGCGTTGTTTTCAAACTTTTGCTCCATTGTTTTTCTAGATGGGGTTGCACAACATGCCCGTATCGCTATTCTCTGGTGAAGCCCACGGAAACGTCGCTTGTTGCGGTAAGTTTTTAGTTTTACAAGCAAACGATTTTTTTGTTTCCTTAGGCCGTCGACGCATTCCGAAAGCAGAAGAACGCCGACGCGGCCAGCTTTCGCAGCCAGCTGAAGGCGACTAGGGCGAAGGTCGTCGGGCAAACCGTCTCCTCGCTTCGCCGGTCCAAGGACAAGTCAACTTCTGATGATGAGGTTGGCATTTTTGCTTTCGGAAATTACGTTTTAGCCGCCGACCCTCAAATCGTACCCAAGCTCGTCGACGCCGGCGCAGAAGGAGCAGCCCAAGTCCGAGCCGCCCGCCAAGCAGCCAAAGAAGGAGGAGAAGGAAGAGGCTGATGATTACGACAGCGAGGAGGAAGAGCTGCGTGATGTGAGTTTTGTTTCGAACTGACGAAAAACGATTGATTTTCTCAACTGATTTCTAAAAAAGCTAGCAAATGGCACAAAAATCTGGAGATTGTGTCTCTTTTACCTGAATAGCATCGGAATTCAGTCGGTTTCGGCAAAAAACGAGTCTAATCTGACAACAATCGGTAAAAACCTGAAAAAATGGCGAAAATTTTTTTTTAGGTTTCTCACATATTATTTTTTTCTAGGTTGAGCGCCAGCTGCAGCGAATCCAGCGCGAGTCTAGCCGCTCGACAGCCAGCCGTATCTCGCCGACCCCCTCGCAGATGTCCGGCTCGGATGCGCCTTCTCGCTTGTCGAAGGCTTCATCGGAGGAAGCTGCGGTTGCTGGCCAATAGGTTCGTTTCTATGACCTTTCCAAAAACATTTCAAAAAATTACAATTTTTTCGTGTTTGACGGCGTCCGTAAGATAAAATGATATCTTTTATGTTTAAAATCAAGAGTTTTTGGCATTTATGCAGGAAACACGGCCGATTAATTGATTTAGAAGTTTCTTAAAGTACCATGTATACAATTTTTTTAGCGTGCTATCTCGGCCAAGCGATTTCAACTTCACCAACACCCAGGCCAACCTCCACACGAGCTCAACTGAAAAGGCAAGCCCCGCATCTCAACTCGGTGCTCTTTTTCACCCATGTCTCACTATTTTCCTTCCAAATGTATAATCCCCTCTATCACATTCCCGTGTTCCTCTTACTTGCCGCTAGTTCAAATGTCACACGGCCATTTAGCAACACATTTATACACCGCCCGGCCCCCACATCCCTCTTTGTTGTTTGTTGTTTCTTCTCCTTGCATTCATCCTTCATCCTTCACGCTCAGTAGTTGTACGCCGACTCGTAGTCGAACCGGGTCGATTCTGGGCTCACGTAGAAGGCGCTGGAATAAATATTTGTTTTTAGTGGTTATTATTACAAGCGTATAACTGGTTTTTGACAAAATTCGGTACCATTTGGGGGATTGTCGCATATCATTTTATAGCTCGCTGGTTAAAATATTAAAGTTTATTAAGGGATTCCGTTAGAATAATTTAAAAAGCGGTTACTGATGTTTTTCACCTATAGCCGCGTTTAACGAAATTTTCTACCCATTTTACACGGCTATTTCGCGTAGTTTTAGCTTTTTTTAAATTGATACACAAATTTCAGAATAAGGTTAAAGACCTACCGTTTCGGCTGCCGATAGTTGTACAGCGGCTTGTGACTCCCATAAAAATACATTGCCTGCGCCGAGGCGATGAACAGGGCCAAGAACAGCAGGAGGACCTTCATTTAAACTGGAAGAGCTAAAAGAGCGTATTTTTTAGCCTGAACCTGCTAATTAGAATAAATTTTTATAGAGCCAGGGTAAAAAAGATATCCAAAGGCGCGAAAAACGAGAATCGTGAGTAGATCAATTTTCAGGACAATGAAATGGCCTTTAAACAGCCAACACACGTTGTTGCCCGAAGAAATCCGAGATTCCTGAGAGCTCGAACGGCCGCGCTATGGGATAGTTTTCAAAAATTGTGTGCAGGCACTGAATCTAGAATTCTGCACTCCTAAAATAAATGTATAGATTTTTAAATTCCAAGTGCGTCAGCCGCCGGAAGTAACTGGATTAATGTATCCCCTTTTTTTGGTGTTGTCCGTCATAAATTTAGCGATTTTTGCAAATTACGAAACTAGGATTTGACGCCCGAAAAAAACACTAAAATGAATCACGTAATGCGATCAGGGCTACATGGTTGGGGAGCAAATGAAATTTAGGCAAATTAAGTAATTTCAGCGGCAGAACCTTCGGTTGAATTTTAAAGTGAGTCATTTCCACGTTATCTTAGCCTACAAAAATATGCAAGATACTGTACATAGATTATTAGAAGAATACAAAGTAAATTAAAATGGTCTTTCGACCTAAAATAGGCAATTCTGACGGAATCCTAAGTAATAGCCAATATTTAAGTTTTTTTAAAAGTTTATTTAAGTTCTTTCGACAACCAGGATATTAAAAAAGATGAAGATATAGGGTTGTATCGGAATCTAAAGACGTATTTTTCATATTTTTCAAAGAATTAGATGCAAATTGTGATGAGGGCGGGCAGGACGGAAGATGGCTCTTTTGAAAATTAAGGGTTGCATGACAGGTGGTTCTCCAGGGGGTAGGTCGCATCAACAACGCGGCCAGGGAAGCGAGTTATACGACTACAGTAGGCGTGGAATAATCGAAAAATGGAGGGAAAGTATAGAATTGACGACGGAAAGCTTTAGATTTTTGGGGTGGGCGGAATCTTAGGAATTCGTCACGTAGCAAACGGCAAGGCAGGGGAATTCGTTTGCGGATCATTTTTCACGCCCTTGAATTAGCGGGAGCAAAATAGCAATTAGAATACGTTTTTGCTCGGGGTCTTGCTTGGCTTGCGTAGGGTAAGTCAAGCGTAAGTCAAGCCTAAGCCTAAGCCTAAGCCTAAGCCTAAAGCCCAAGCCCAAGCAAAGCCAAATTCAAGCCTAAGCCCAAACGTAAGTAGGCGCACAGGGAATCTAACCAAATGCCCAAGACATCTCTGATACCTAGCCCGTACCTAGCTATTTTTAGTATAACCTACAAGTTCTGGAAATACTAAAGACACTTGCCCATCTGTTGACATCGCCGTTGACGTCCGCCGGTGAGAATGAAGACGTCGAAAAACGGAGCGTGGAGTCCCATATTTGGGTTTCCCACATGGCCGAATACATCCGGGGGAGGGCCCCCGGCACTTACGGACCCATATCGTCATTGTTTCTGGCTGGGCCCCGAGGAGGGCCCTCCGGAAAAACACTGGGACTCCGAGGGCGGATGACTTCCATAAAATTTGATGCCTAGCTCTTGTCCAGAAGTATGAGGCGTTGGTGGCTAGTCGTGAAACTGAATTTGCTCAAGGGAGACGCGAGGCATAGCCCTGGATTTATTGTGTTGTATGCTTAAAAAGCGTTCAATTTTAATAATTCATTGAAGTCATTTAAATTGTAAAACGGCAAACCGGGGGTACAGAGACCTAGGTACCTTCTTGCGTCAACCATCAACAAGTTGTGTTCAAGAGCCTCCCAGATTTGTTAATTGTTGTGCGGCAATAACATGGCTGAACCCGTAAAAGAAAAAAGGCCTGATGGAAGGTAGGATAATAATAATTTTTTTATGACGAAACTAGTTATTTAATTTATTTTTTTTCCCTTTCCCCTCTCAATACAAATTTTTGCCCCGCTCTGTCGAGGGGGCTCCAAAAATTATTTAATACTCATAATTGTTCGTGTGCACGGAAATCTTTAGTAAAAGGCGAAAGATTTTCTCGGTCAAATGCACACGAACCAGAGGTAACGGAAGGGCAAGTTGGGGGATGATATGGCCTGGGACAGTGGGCCAGGTGGGGGGTGAGTGGACGAGGGTTATGGAGCACGCAAAGCGACCACGATAATGATCAAAATTCGACCAAACATAAACCTAAGCCTAATGCGAAAGCTGACGGGTAAGCCATGAAGTTAAGAAGGATCCAGCCGAAGAACCTATGAAGGATAATAACTTCTACTGTAGTAATACTAGTACTAACTCGAGCAAAAGTAGCCGGTCCAACAAAACTACTATAGCTGCGCCCCCCAAAAAAGGTCGTCGCCAACCTAATTATGGGCACAATGAGGCCGAGCGCCTCGTGGTGACTTTAGCCCCTCAATTTCGGTTTTTACTGCCATTTAAGTTCCGGTTTTTAAACGGTTTGAAAATGGCATCGGTAAAATGCGATAAACGCTATTTACGAGAGGCAAAGAGGTATCTGGAGGTTTTAACGAACAGCTGAACCTTGCTAATAAATCAAGCAGAAAACCAATATCGAGAAAATGATCGTATTTTCAGGATACATTGCAGCGATTTATCAGGCTGGATCGACGGAATGAAATTGCCTTCAGACGTTCTAACGCTCAAAAAGTGTGCTGAAAAAGAAAAAAAGAGAAGAAAAGAAAAAGAAACAGGGTTACGGTCACTGGTCTATGTTCTCTTGTTGAGCCATTGCTCACAGGGTTTGTTTTCTCGCGTTTGCAAGTCCGTTCGTTAAATACATAAATCGTAAAGCTCGAACACGTTTTTTTTTGTTTTTGGCCCGCGGTAAATTTTCTCAGGTGCGACAGCACCTTCAAAACCAAATCCATATAAATTTATTGCAAAAAAAGCCGGGCCAAATTCTATACAAAGCGGTGATCGGTATGGGATAGCTGTCTGGGTGGAGGGCCGGGATGATGGCGGGGTGAGCAGTGGTCAAACGTCTCCCATTTCTGCAGAAGCTGCGATGGTCGGCGGGGCGAGAGGGAGAATTGGGCCTGAAAAATGGAAGGTGGAACTTGGTGCTTAAATTTAAGAATTAAAGGGATGGTGACAGCTAGAAAAATCTCGTTTCTCTTACCGGTTCATACTTTGGGTCGATCCGGCTGAACTCGCGGAACATTGAATCGCTGGCCGCGTCAACACTGAAATATTAGTTTTTTTGAATACTATTTCTTAAACTAGAATGTCACAAGCTAAATGGAAAGAAACTAGGCAGCACGAAAATCGACGCTTTTCGTCGACTAGGTCTCGCCAAATACTTTTCGCGACAAACGGCGTTTTCAAGTACATTTAATGGTAGCTTTCGACTGCCTTTTGGGCAATAATCTCTATGTCACTACGGTTTTTTGGAACGGCGCGTAGCTGTCGAGACCTAGTCATATCGATGGGTCGATTCTGTTATTTTCTAGCCCATATAAAACCATATTTTAACCTGTAATCCCGCTGATTCAGCATCGGCCGGGCCCTCGGGGTTAGCTCTATAAAATCCATGATTTAGCTTCCGAAATTGGTGCCTACCCGCACCACTACTATCCACACTCGTCATCTGGGCCATGGCCGCCCGAATTTGCTCGTCGATGCCGTTCGACTCGTTCGAAAATGTGCTCTCGATGCTGTCGAACGCGCCGCCGGGCAGGGTTTTGCGTTGTAGGAGCACCGAGCTAAAAGAGTTCAGGTCATAGTATAATTTTTAAGGGTTAAGGTTTTTGGAGTTTGGCAGGTTAAACTCGTTAAAATCCACTTAAGATACCGATATTTATTTCGCCGATCCTCCACGCTGCTGCCAGTCATCAGTCCTTTGGGGGTGTTCCGCGGGGAGATAAGTATAGCTTCTAAAAAGATGGATGAAACCAAGAAACCATTGTTAATTCATGGAAATGCACCTTACAAAACCCACCTGTATTGCTCTCAAACGAAGTGCTAGCCGACGATGGGTCCTCAATGCCAATCCGCCTCAACTGCTCCAGATGGCTTCTCGCTTCCCAAAGGGTCTGACATTGCTGCCCGATTGCTGTCTTTAATTTAGGGTACCATCATTTTTTTGTCAAGCTCCCTACCTCGGCTATTAATGCCTCTTCGTGTTGTGTTATTTGGCGTTGAAGAATTGCGCGATCTTCCCTTTCACTTTGGCTTCTTCGCTCCGTCCAGCCGGTGCTTCGCTCGTTGGGTCGATCGTCAAAGGATCTGGCCTGGAAATGAGAGATGTGAAGCCTAAGCCTAAGCCTAAGCCTAAGCCTAAGCCTAAGCCTAAGCCTAAGCCTAAGCCTAAGCCTAAGCCTAAGCCTAAGCCTAAGCCTAAGCCTAAGCCTAAGCCTAAGCCTAAGCCTAAGCCTAAGCCTAAGCCTAAGCCTAAGCCTAAGCCAAGCCTAAGCCTAAGCCTAAGCCTAAGCCTAAGCCTAAGCCTAAGCCTAAGCCTAAGCCTAAGCCTAAGCCTAAGCCTAAGCCTAAGCCTAAGCCTAAGCCTAAGCCTAAGCCTAATCCAAGACCAAGCTTAAGCCTAACCCTACCTGTCTCTCGAACGGCTGCCGAACTCCCAGCTGATTCCAGGCCCCGGTATTCGATGGTCGGCGTTGTGTAGGAGGAAATAGAGTATACGGTAGTGTCTAGGGTCCTAGTTGCAATTTAGAAAACTAGGAACACCACCTGGTTCGTGGCACCGTATCTGGAGGTGACCGGATGTTGCTGTGGCTGGATGTCAACCGAGAATCGCTGTGGCATCGGGGGCAATGGCATTGGGTATTCATGCGGATCGTCGTCGAAGCTAAAATATATTAGGAAAATAAGCCTTATAAATAGTTTTAAGATAGTTCCTAAAGTTCACGAAAAATTCAAATTTTCTAACAACCCTGGATCGTTAAAAATTTTTCTACGATTAGGACCATAAGCCGCCTAAGCCTAAGCCTAAGCTAACCAAGCCAAACCTAGCCATAGGCCTGAGCTTTCAAAAAAGACTCACGTCACTTCCGGATTCCACGATTTTGAGTGCAAATGGTCCTTTTCATAGATCTGCCGCCGTTCTTGGGGTAGCGGTGAGGAATTCTAAAATCCACCGATTTTTCGATTAATTTTTTGTTTTTTTGAACACTTAAACGATCATCAGAACCCAGAAAACCCGAGAAAAGACTCTCCCACATCGTGCAAGTTATACCGGAAATAACGGACATTTTATCAGGAAAAGAAAGGGTTTTTGGAAAGGCGAAAATTACCAAAGGGTCGGTAAAACCCGGGAAATTGCAGTACAGTGACGTAAATTTATAGGAAGGATAGTTTTTTGTATTATATATTTGATTTACCTTCTTGGCCACCTTGGCCACCGTCAGCCGGTGGCTCTGAAGAGAACACAATTTTGAGCATATCGCCGAGCTCTGAGGCACTCCCACTCGCCCCCCACCTGGCCCACTGTCCCGCCATATGTTCAATCCCCTCCCTTCCCTCGTTACCTCTGGTTCGTGTGCATTTGTCCGAGAAAATCTTTCGCCTTTTACTAAAGATTTCCGTGCACACGAACAATTATGAGTATTACACAATTTTTGGAGCCCCCTCGAGAGAGCGGGGCAAAAACTTGCATAATTGTTTTAAACGGATTAAACTGTTATTAGTATCGAAATGTAGCTAACCTGTTTCACTGGAGCATTTGGCGTCAGCACGGCTTTGCTGCGTACGAGGGTACTGGCGCGTCGTCGCTCGCATTCTTCGGACAGGCTGACGGCTCGCTGAAAATTTAAAAGCGGTTAAATTTAAATTTCAGGCCTTAAAAATAGGAAAATTTTAAATCTTAAGCTTAGGACAGAGATTAAGCCCAAGGCTAAACCCAGGCCCAAGCGCCAAGCCTAGACCTAAGTTCACATCTTAGCTAAGCCTAAGCTTAAGCATAAGCCAAGTCTAATCCAAGACCTAGCTTAAGTCTAAGCCTAATAGTAAGCCGTATTCTAGCCTCTTCAAACAATATTGCTCCCCATTTTCGGTTCCGTTCCACTCCTATGTATGATCCGTCTCCCGGAACTCGACACGACTGATCCACGATTTTCTGCTTGGTCATCAGATGCACTCGGAAAAGCGTTCCACTTCCTCCCTTATCAGCATTGTCATGAATTTGCCGCACCCCTGTTGACGTAGCCTTGCCAGGTGATTTGGCAGTAATCGGTTACGGTAATTCCCCGGGGTCGGTTGGGCAATATTTTTATCTCTGTTTTTGAAGGAAATTGACTTTTCGGGGGAGCTGGTTATCTTAATTTTTGCAGGCTAGACGGCTTGGGAAATTGGTTCCACCATTTATCCATTTTAGCCAGCTGTAGTATGGTTTTTCGCTTTTACGCATTAATTTTGGCATAAATGTTATGTATTTGGCAGTATTTCGAGCAGTCACCATATCGAAAATTTTTTTCGATCCTTGGAGCTTCTAAAGGGAGTGTGACAGCCAGGATGGCCTAGGCTAAGCCTTCGAACTTTTCGCCCAGCTGCCACCATCCCTTTAAAATTGGAGACTTCTGATCCAGATACCTCCAGATTCCATCAAAACCATACTTTGGCCGGGGTGTTTCCTGAGTGCCAGGGGGAGGTTCTTTAATGGCTAGCTTTTCGCCGCCTCTCTCTCTCTCTTCACCCCTCTTTGCCATTCACCAAGATAAGATAAGGGCCAGTCTATATAAAGACATCAGCAGGGCCCCCAGGCTGAGCCTGATCATCTCAGCGGCCCGAATACTTCTTTATTTTAGCTTTACGTTTTGTTTCTTTTTGTGTTTCTCCCTTTCTCTCTCTCTCTCTCTCTCTCTCTCTCTCTCTTTCTCTCTCTTTGTTTCTTTCAAATATTTCATGGCTTTCTAAACTTTCAACGCCCTTTCCAGCCGTTCCCTCGCCCGGTTATTTACAAGTTTTCCGGGGTGGCGCCGAGCAGCTGATCGCCTGATATGGGGCGCGTGACGGGGGCAATTGAGCACGGTTTTTCTAGGGGGTCGGGTATTTCTGGGCCTCGCTCTCTCTCTCTCTCTGTCTCACTCTCTCCCTCCCACTCTCTCTCTCTCTCTCTCTCTCTCTGACCCTGGGATCATGAAAATACCGTGAAAAACGTTGATTGATGCATTAATGGGGGCAATTTTGAAACGGAATGGCAGTGCTTTGGATAAAATAAAACTTATTTAATTATCTTTTAAAAGTTTAGAAAAACTTAAAAGTTTTTGACAAGTTTTTCTAGTATTTTATTCGTTTATATTTCGTCCAGGCGTGTCTTTTTTTGTGCGTTTTGAGGTAGTCTGATTTTTTTCAGTAGATTTACTCGATTTTGATCCTGTTCCTGGTTTTTAGCGTTAAAGATTGGGAGGCGACTAATCCCATATTTAATTTCGTGAAATTAATTTTATTTCCCTTGCAGGCACATGAAAAAATTACCCGTCGACCCGGTCGACCAAAAAGCCTTTTAGCTTGCAATTTTGCAGCCCCCAACTACTCCACGAACGCCGAGTCACTAATCCAACTAAATCCTGATGACGAACCGTTCCTGAGCCGTCGTGGGACTCCAAATATTGACAATTTACAGGGTTAAACCGCCTAGACGGACGCGTGGTGGTGCGTTGTCTCTGCTTGTTGGCCCCGCGGATTTTGGGGTGAATCAGCTAGTGGCCTCGGTGGGGGTGGAGTGGTCAACGGGGGTTTCCGAATGTTACGAAATGGTGTTGTTAGGCGCGTAGCGCAGTCGTAGTACGTTTTAGATACCCCTTACATATCTTAATTTGCCTTGAGACCATTCATTTCTTCAGAAAAACTCCAAAAACGGCCCTAAATGGGGGTGGCATCGCGCGCATTTTGATTGTAAATTTAATATTTTCAAGGCGTAAAAATTTCTATGAAATTTAATAAGCTTTATCTAGCTGCCCGGTTCCTTTCTAAAATGCGTACCTTGGTCTTAGGAGTAGCCAGTTCAGCTCTCCAAAAACCCGAAAGAGCAAACGCAAATAGTAACTCATTTCAATGAGAGAGAGTGAGAGATAGAGAGAGAGAGAGAGAGAGAGAGAGAGAGAGTCGGAGAGAGAGGAACGTTCGACCACTTTCCTCAGGTGGAGGAGAAACTCGGAAAACCCCTGGAAAAACAAACGGTGAGGGCATGGAAACAGGGATCGTGGCCAGACGGGACCGGGCAGAGGCTCGGCTAGCAGATAGCAAAAGGTGTACTAGATCTATCGGCACGGTTTTGAGGCTACGTTACGATCGAATAGTGGCCGCTTTTTGGTTCCTGGCGCATGGGCGTCACTATCAGGGGGTTGTTATATTTAGCGAGTAGAGCATTCAGTTCAAACTCGTTGTGGGAGGGTTCCTGTCACAGTCCCTTTAGGAATTTATCTTTGTCTCTCAATCCCACGCTCTCTCTATAGCTTTTTCTCTCTCTGCCTCTCTCTCTGTCTCTCTCTCTTTGTATCGCTATCCTTCTCGCTCGGTGTCTCATGCTCTCGGTCTCTCGCTCCTTCTTGCTCTCTCTGGCTTTCGCTGTCTCCGGCGCAAGCCCTCGTGCTCGATCTCGCTGCCTTTCACTCACACTCTCCTGCCCTCCTTCCAGGTGTCTCTCACAGCCTCTCGCTTTTGCTCATACTTTCTCGTACTCACTAAATCCCTCACTCTCTCTTTCTCTCTCACCCTCTCACCCTCGCGTAGATTTCATGACGCCTTTTTCTTTGCCTTTCAAGTCCCTTTAAAATCTATTCCTTACTCTTTTCCGGTCCCATCACTACTCTAACTACAAAATCAAATGTTCACCACCAGCCCCACCGGCTCGATCGGCTGAATGCAAATGCCATATTATGCTCCACGGCGATGAAGCCGAAAAAGCCGATTTGCATGCCAATTGCTCGGCGGGCGTGCGGGAAGCACATTTGAATCGAAAAATATGGGCTGCGGATGGCTGTGCGTAATGTGCTGTACGATCCACTGAGTCATAAATGGACATAGAAATAATTCAGCGTCGTTTGGTGTGGTGTGGAAAACCGTTCAAAAGATATCTTTAAATTCCCCGATCTTACGCCAAAGATCCTAATCTTTTGATCAAGATTTTTCCAACTGGTGCTCATAGCTGATGCTTCTTTTTCTTGGATCCCTATCCTTTCAGCAACACCCCCACGTGAAAAGACAATAATCATCCTCCCGCCCCGCTTTTCCCACATAAAAAGGCGCAACTTTCTCATTTCTTTTCCGGAGTTTTTCGCTGGAAAATTGCCAAGTTTCGAGTCAGAATCGAGTTCCACATACCGAAAAACGATAGTTATAATGTTGATTGATCTTGAAAAAGTTTGTTCCAATTGAACCGGGTTTCCTGGCCGCTCGGATGGAACGGCTAGGCCTGATATGGGAAGAAAATCGCAAGCCAAAATTACAAGGGGACTGGTTAGGAGTTTTCCAAAACACATGTCATGGGGATTTGACGGTGGAAACTGTGATTTTTACATCAGCTGAAAAGTTGAAAAGCGCTCTAAAAAATTGCTAAAGAAAAAGTGTCGTAATCCCTGGATTGATTCTTCCTGGGTACTGGGCTCTTAGCGGGGGTGGGGGGGGGTGGATTTTTAGCGACGAACCAATTTTTCTTCAATAACCCTGAGAGGCTATGTAGCATTTTTCACTTTTTATGCTATGAAAACATCTAAAAGAATTATGACGATTTTTAAACATTTTCGCTCTTCTGCCAAAAACGAATTTAAATGAACAAGAAAGGTAAAACTTTTGAATTATCAAAATTTAAACAATTATATTGTAAAATTTCCTAGCAATTCAAAGCTACAAAACGCTATAAAAATATCCAAAATATACAAAAATTAGCTTTATTCCAAATATCTCCCTTGTTAAGGAACAAGTACCAAAGTTGCCGAAACGGCAAATGCGAAAATTTTAGGGCTTTTTTGAGAAATTATTATATTTATTTAATTTTTTTTGTAAGGAATTTCACGATGTTCGAACCCCTTTAAAGCCAAAACCAAATTTGAATTCGACTACCTGAAATTTCCTGATTTTTAGTATATCACACACGAAACATCAGCACCCATTTCCAATTCCCCGGCCATCCGTTACCGAAGTACTACCCCGGTTTGCCTGTCCTTTCAACGGTCTACACAAAAATTTTCCGCCGGAATCCTATGGACACGCCGTGTGAGCGGGAGGGGGCGCATCATCATTTACCGGGTTACCCATGCGATTCCCCCTCACAGGCCCCCTTTATATACCGGCCAGCCCGAGCTTTTTTCGGTTGTGTTTCTCCCCCGCTTCCCCGGCTCTCGACTCCCTTTTCCGTTTTTCCGGTCTTTTCATGAAATCTGCTCTGACTGTCTGGGGTCTCCACTCTCTCGCCCCTCTCTCCCCTATAAATACCCGAGGTTTCGCGGTGTTCCCCGCTGGCCCGGAGTTTTGCTACAGTACCCCGGGAGGCTCGTTTCCGTTCTTTTTTGTTGTGGGTCGTAGAGTGTCCTTGCATTGTACTCTCTATCCATCTCTGCCTCTTTGTCTCTCTCTCTCTCTCTCTCTCCTCACTCTCTCTCACTCTCTCTATCCCTAGTACTGCCCTTTGAGAACACTTTCCATTATTGCATTGTTTTTAGGGTGTTTGGAGGTGGTATGTGTGAATTTGGTGTTTAGTTAGATAACGGTACTGAAAGGTTATTTCCAGTCTCTCTCTCCCGCCCCCCTCGCTCTCTCCTCTCTCTCCCTTTCTTTTACCCCCCTCCTGATTCTCTGGCCCCTCTCCTCCTCTCTCTCTCCCTCCCTCTTCTCTCCCTTCCCCTCTACCCTCTCTCTCTCTCTCCCCCCCCCCCCCCTTTCCCTCTCTCTCTCTCTCTCATCTCTCCCACTGACTCTTTCTCGCGCTCTCCATCCCCTAAATGTCATTTTAAATTTTTTAATATTGCATCTATGACTCCAACAATAAATTACATCGATTCAATGCTCAATTCCTTTTCCGTTGCCCTTTTTGCGTCATCTTTCCGATTTTCAAATCGCTCTGACTCAGCCACTTTGCTGCCTGTCTGGAGGTGCAACCCGGAATCCGATTTGTTCCCCTTGGAATTTCGTATTCCCAACACACCACTTTTCACGCGGATCCGCTCGAACTTTACAAGCCAGATTTGTGATCAAAATTGGCGGTTCCTGGTGCCGGGAGGCGCCAATTCAGGGAGCCCCGTAATTAGGAACCCTCGTAATTATTGAGTACCCAGGGCTTCGTGTACTAATGATACTACTCATTTAAATCCCGCTGGAGAGTGAGACTGAGAGAGAGAGAGAGAGAGAGAGAGAGAGAGAGAGGAGAGAAAGTTACCTTTTTCCAGCTACCGTAAACCTGAGTCAGCCAGCGGAAATTCGCTTTTCGTGAGATTTTGGCCACTATATGGCAAAATTCGGCTGCGAAATTCCGTGTGAATTTCCGGTTCGTTAATAGATCGTAAAAAGACAGATAAAGTTGCGAGTTGGCGCTATTTAAGCAAACCCAAATTTCGTTCCTCTCTATTTTGCAAAAAAAAGCAGTTTTTTTGAAGTGTGCCCTTTGGACTTCCTGTTTTGAATCCCATCCATGTTTAAACGGTTTTTAAGAGAACGCTATAGTATAAATCCATCGTTTTTTTACTAAAATTTGGCCCTAGTGTATCTGGTAGTATTAGCTTGTATATAGCTCCTAGTCCGCTAGTGGGTCATCCACCAGATGTGCCTTTTTCCGATCTATCTCCCTGACCTCCGTATACAGTACTCTGCTTTTTCTCACACGTGCTAAAAAGTGCTCAGCCCACCGCTCCAGCTGGGCGATGACCCGGCCACTTTTTTGGCCATATGTATTGAAAGCTGCTCGTTGAGACTATCCGAACAAGCACAGCTGGATGTCCCAGACAACCGGCTCTAAAAAATGGGCGGGTCGGCTCACAGTTCAGCCGACAAATTTCGCCCACTCAAATTTTGAGGGGAAGTTAAGCCCAAGCTAAGCCTAAGCGAAGCCTAATCTAAGCCTAAGCTAAGCCTAAGCTAAGCCTAAGCTAAGCCTAAGCTAAGTCTAAGCTAAGCCTAAGCTAAGGCTAAGCTAAGCCGAAGCTAAGCCTAAGCTAAGCCTAAGCCAAGCCTAACCCAAGCCCAAGCTAAGTCGGAGCCAGGTCTAAGCCAAGCCTAAGCCAAGCTTAAGTCAGCCGAAGCCCAGACCGTTTTTCTTGTTTTCCTCAATTATCCCGTCAATATTGTTCACCCTTCCATTTTCTCCCCCACGAGACTTCAATAATATTTATAAATTCTCGGGTCCATAAAAACGTCAAGACAAAAGGTGCGTATTTTTCCGCGGGCCCCTTTTGAAATTCATATCGGCCGTTTACGTCAGAAAAAGACGATTGTTTTGAGGGCTGCCGCTGTCTGTCTGACTTTCTCGGACTGTCGGAGGTATCGTTTTGTCAGCTTACATAAAAATACGCGCTTTTGTAGGCTTTTTAAAATTTTAAAAATATCTCACAATAAATTTTAAGTAGTTCAGTAGCGTTTTCCATATGTGTAAGTTTTTAAATTATCCCGCTCCCAATGGGGCCATTTGGTACGATTAGCTCCTAACAACAATCGAATGCGAACACGTCGCATCGTAAAAATCGTAATATGGAAACAAGGCCTTTCTCTCGGATGGCGGGCAATTAGGATCGGGGCGGACATGACGGGCAGATACACCTCATCGTCTGATGGCATCCCCGATGGGGTAAACATTTACGACATGAAGCTATTGGAATATTGCCATGGAGTGTACAGATCTCGTGGCTTTTCCAGGAAGCATCGGAACCGTGGCCTAAACCAGCTAAGTCTAAGCTAAGCCCGAGCCTAAGCCTGAGTTTAAGCCTGAGACGAACCCCTAAGCCAAGTGAAGCCGAAGACGAAATCTAAGCTAATCCTAAACGAAGCTTCGCTAAACATAGGCCTAAGCCAAGCAAAAAGCTAAGCCCAAGCCTAAGTTAATCCTAAGCTAAGCCTAAAATAAGCGAAATCTAAGCCTGGACGAAGCCAAGCATAAGCTAGGCCTTCGAACCATCTCCTAAGTATCATACTGCTATTTTTAGCTCATCCGCTGAGATTTCGACCCCTCTTTATTCGGCATTAAGACCCATTCAATATGCTAAAAGCCCCTCCCCCCCCCTCCCCACCCAGACGTCACCACACAAAATCCGCCCCGAATCCGAAATTCCGGCGCCGCTGAATACCTGAATTCTCATTTTCGCCGTGTGGTTTTATGTTTTCCCGGGCCTAAATGTTCATTTCTAATGCCAGGGAAGACTAAGCGGAAGTTTGGGTCATTACGGAAGTGACCCGGGCTTCTCGTGCCTTGGCTAATTGGTCTAGAATTGGCGGCTAGGCAAAGTGGTGGCCAAGGGAGACTTTGTGCGTTTTCTCGAACTGCTGTCTAGGAAGCATGGTTCGAAAATTCAGCAGTATCTATGATCATTATGTTCTATGGGTTTTTAAAGGAATATTTGAAATTCCGTCTTTGTCTAGACCTAGTCGCTAGCATGGATTTATTTGCTGCCTTTGCTTTTAAAGGAAGCGCGACACCCTGAAAATTCTCTGACGAGAAGCTAAGAACCAAAAAAATGCCATAGGTTCGTGTCGAGACCTAGTGGAAGGTAGGGGTAGATTCTCGGACTTCCTGGCACCTCTAAAGGGAGATGGACAGCCAGTCAATTGTTCGCTAGACGTTGGAAAACTGTGAATGACGCCGGAAATAGCTGTCCAGACCTAGTCGATTGAAAGGGTCGAATTTCGGACTTTTCAGCCGTTTTAAAGGGAGTGTGTCAGTTAAAAAAAGCGTAGAGCCATAGGAAAAATGCTAAGAATAGGGCGCTTTTTGGGTTTGCGAACTCTTAAAGGGGGTCGGACTGCCAGAAAACATGGTTTTACAACCAGACTGTTCGATGCTGAGATTTGCCGACCCCTTTAAAGTGATCCTTTAACACTTAAGACCCTTTTAAGCCATTTCAAAACTCTGCACTCCCTCAAGTAGTTGCCCCGACCGCGTTGAAATTCGGGCCCTCAAGCGTGCGAGGGTGGTGGTGGTGTCTGTATTTGTTTTGTCTACCATGCTTGTCTTCTCCATCTTTTCATCATCACCATCACCAATCTGTTGCTGCTGTCTCGGGTCGCCAATTTTGTCATGAGTCCTCTCTCCTGCCCGCCAAAAGACCCCCGATGCCATGATTGGGCCAATATAAGGGTGTGCCCCAACGGCTTCTTCAAATATTTGGAAGTATCATACCTTCCGCCTAGCATTTCTGGGCCTTCAATTATATAGTCGTAATTTTGGGTATTTTGGGGCCGTTTTTGGGAGTTGAACTTTCGACGAGCGGCTGACTGGCCTTTGGCATTTCGACGGGTTATTTACGAAGTTCGGGGTCACGCCATTTTAATTATTAAATGGGGTGAATGAATGATCTCATGGCTGATGTGTTTGGGTTTAAAAGGCGAGAGAGAAAGAGAGAGAGAGAAAAGAGAGAGAGAGCGAGAGATAGGGACAGTGAGGGAGATGGAGAGAGACAGTGAGAGAGAGAGAGAGAGAGCGGAAGAGAGAGATATTTAGAGTGAGTGATAGAGCGAGAAAGAGACAGAGAGAGGGAGAGAGAGAGAGAGAGAGAGAGAGAGAGAGAGAACCAACCCTAATCTGGTACCCCCTAGTGGTACGTGGGAGGCGGGGGCACCATGGCGATCAATAACCCCGCCCTGGTATTCCCCCGAGGCTAGCTGGCTCCATTGGCCTTTTATGCTGGTCATTCCGATCGTAAATATTTACCCCGTGCCTCAAAGATCCCACTTAAGTTTAATAATTCTAATTTTTTTATCAAAAGCCGTGCCGTGTTTCATTAACTCGACATGAAATTTGTAGCAAGACTAGCAAGAAGCTGAAAAATTGCGAAATTCATTGTCCTCGTTTTCCCCACCCCCTCTGACTCTTTGAAGTCCAATTGCGCCCGTTTGACTCATCTAGGCTTCGAAATTCTCCGAATCCCAGCGCTTGCTGAGAGCCCTTAGGTACTTTTATCGTCGAATCGAAGTTTTTCACGGTTTTTCGTAACATTTCACGACCCAACACTATTTACGAACCTGGCACGTTTCCGGCTCATGTCTTACCACCTGGTTTGGCTAAATCCAGCGTGTTTATATATCCGGAAATATAGTTCGTTATATTTCCTGATATTTCGTTATCCCCCATCAAAATCAAGCCAATAGTGGCCCGCAGCTGAACTCTGAGACCGCAAAAATAGGATTTCTTGAATGCACCTGCGCGTTTTCTCTGAATTTCTCTGAAAGGGCGAACGAACAGTACCAAGAAATCGAAAAATTCATTAATTTTCGATTTGGCGTGCTTGATTTTCAGCTGTACCTGGGTTCAGCTTGCGAAAACCATAAGTGATATGGCTATTCTTATAGATTTTCACTTCAACAGAATTTTAAAGGGATTAGGAAGCGCAAAATAGACTTTTCTGGCAACTGGACCTTGGCAACCATACTGTGACGAAGGTCGGGTGCCAGAATTTGAATTTTTGGTCAGACGATCGTTATTCAAATCGTTTCGCAACTCTGGCCTTGCCTCGGATGTTTGACTTTCCCATCGTCTAGGCCTTCCTGGTTGACCTTTTAACTTCACCCAAGCGTCGATTGGGAGACCTAGCAGCGTCAAACCATCTTTTTTCGCAATATGCAAATTAGGTCTAGAGCGTCCCAAAATCGAGTAAACTCAATTTAGATTTTCAAGCCTAAATTTTAGCAAAATTTTGAGGGGACCATCGGAATACCTGAGACTATATTAAAGGGGCTGGTAAGGCATGGATCAGTTTTACGGCTATGCATTCTTTATTAATCGTTGGCGCAGCCGCGATACGCAACGCGCGTTTCGGGCCCAGCCTAGATGCTCTGCAGTGTAGACGCTGCGTTTCGCGGCGCAGCGAGACGACAGAGAATCCGTAACAAAAGTCTTTAGCCCTCTCTTGCCGGTCCCTTTAAACCAATTTTTCTATCAGCTGCCTTTTCGTCGTGTGTGGTCTAATTGCGCTGCTCAGCCTTTCGTCAAGCCCGTGGCAGCTCGAAAGCACCTGTGTTCTGCCTAGGGAAAAGCTGTCCACAGGAAGGGGGAATGCCTAATGAGGAGCCCTTCTCCCCTCTGCGTAGCCAGGGGCTATATAAAGGGACCAGGAAGGCAGAGAGGACCGAAAGGGCCTCCACCCCATGCATTTCCGGGTCCTTTGTTGGGGCTTATTCTTTCTTATTCTTCCCGGTTCTAGGCTTGAAAAATAATCGTCGTTACGTCTTCGCATTAATGAGAGGCATTGAGTCTTGATCTCAAGATCTTAGCGTAAAAGGAGCTGGGGGGTGGCAGTATTTAGCTCATGCTCAGCCATAAGTCGTCGCTCTTGCTTACTCACTCCTCTCAACCTCTAGGGCTCTCAATCTCCTTCTCTCTCTCCCTCTCTCTCTCTCTCTCTCTCTCTCTCTCTCTCTCTCTTTGCCGCTAGAAAACTTTTCCATTAATGCGCTGACCTCTTCCACTTTTGAAGGAACCTAGAAGCAAGAACCCTGTTCTCCGGATTTTTGGCAAAAAGCCAAAACCCTTCTGCCGCTCTATTGACTCCATAGCTCCTTTAAAACGTACTTCCCATCTTCCCAGGCCCCCAGGCTCAGTTCCTCCCACTCCTCAATACCTCCATCCATCCATCACCAAATTTTTGGCCGGAAGCCAGCAGGTGCGAACACTCGAGCTGGTGGTGGAGATCCCATAGGTTGTAAAAAACAGCTGTCCCCGTGGATAGTCCTTTTCCGGACTTTTCAGGGGGGGGGACGCTGATCGGTGGGGGCGGGATTCAATGAGAATCCCCCCTCTTCTTCTTCGAGTCTACATCCGGGGTCAAGGTCGTTTGGCGTGAAATTCTCCCCTCTTTTCCCTGTCCCCCTTTTCTTTGGTGTATCGCCAAGAGGGGCTGGGTATATAAAGGCCGAGGAAACACGCCGGGTCAGCGCGTACCTGCGAACTTTTGCGGCGTGTTCGGAGGAGTGTCGTGGAATTTTTGAAATTTTCCTGGCCTATTTTGCCATTTTGATTACAATGGCTACCGTAGTGGGGTATACTGTAACTCGCGTTTCTTAACACTTTCCCTCTTTCTCGCGCTCTTGCTCTCTCTCATTTTCTCTCGCGCTCTCTCACTATCTCGCTCGCTCGCTCTCTCTCACCCTCTCCCTGCTCTCGCTCTCTTTCTCGCTCTCTCTGCTCTCGCTCTCTTTCTCTCTCTCTCTCTCTCTCTCTCTCTCTCTCTCTCGCTATCTCTCTCCCTCTCTTTTTTTGAATCGTACGATACCATAATTTTGTATGGTAAACTAACGTATTCTGGGCCTACAGTAACCAAAATTTTCGTGTTTTGTTTGGAAAAAATTTAGTTTTTTAAAAACCGTAAATTTTTTGTGTTAAATACCGTAACCTGGCTACCATAGGCTAGATCGGGCAAAGAAATTCAAGTGTGTAATCCGAAAAATTATAGAAATCCCCCGTTATCCCGGGAAACGACACCTACCGTAACCCCAAGTACACGTGTCGAATTTTAGCCTAAACCTCTTTCCCACCGACCCTATTGTCGCGACACCAAAAATCAGCGTGGGTCTACCACCACCAGCTGACTGATTGTCTCTGACTGGGGCAACCGTTCATAGGATGGGTGTGGATGGTTGTCCCGGTAAATGATCGATTTCATAGAGCTGAGGCCGAGGGACACGAATGCAGATGCCGAACTGTGGTCAGAAAAGGACACATCGGCTTCTCTCTCGCTGTCTCTGTCTCTCACGCGCACTCTCTCGCCGATCCGATGGTCGACAAACCCTCGGGAAACGTGAATAGCAATTCGGTGACCCCGGGTTACGCAATATAATATTGAAGCCGGGAGCCCCGATTTTTATGCCGATTTTTTAGAGCGAGTGGGCGGGGATGAGCAGGATTTATGGCTTGGTTTTGAGGCTACGAGCATCAACAATTTTTAGCTTTGAGCACGTGTTTTGGAGGAGCAAAGCCTGGGCTTTTTTGGCTACTTTTTTGATATTTTCTAAATCATGCTAAACTGCCAAATTTCTATAAAAGACCCATCGAACTATCCGAACTCGTTTTGATTATTTTTTTGGCAATTTTCCAATTTTTGCTATTTTTCATAAGGTGATAATTATTTCCTATTTTCCAGATATCCATGCAGCCGAGGAGCCGCAGAATTTCTAAAGAATCTCCGGAAATTGCCAGCCGATCGCCCTACTAAAAAAAATTGAAAAATGGATGAAGCCAGCCTATTGGCGTGGATGCGAATCAACGGCGCGGCGCAGCAGCCACAAGTGGTTCGTTCAAGAGTTCAATTTTTTGACTTAAAAACGAATCGTTCGCTTAAGCATAAACAAGCCGCAGGTTAAGCCTGAGTCGAAGCCCAAGCCTAAGACTAAGCCTAAGCCTATGTAGAAGTAGGAGGCCCAAGCCCAAGCCCAAGCCTAAGCCTAAGCCTAAGCCTAAGCCTAGGCCTAGGCCTAAGCCTAAGCCTAAGCCTAAGCCTAAGCCTAAGCCTAAGCCTAAGCCTAAGCCTAGGCCTAAGCCTAAGCCTAAGCCTAAGCCTAAGCCTAAGCCTAGGCCTAAGCCTAAGCCTAAGCCTAAGCCTAAGCCTAAGCCTAAGCCTAAGCCTAAGCCTAAGCCTAAGCCTAAGCCTAAGCTTAAGCCTAAGCCTAGGCCTAAGCCCAAATCCAAGCCTTCTAAAGCTTTTCACGCCAAATCCACGTGCGTGGAGCATCAGAAGAAATTGTTATAGTGGAGCCACGGGGGTCGCCGCCAGGAATCGCGGCAACTTTTTACGATGACCAGACTCACGGGCCGGATACAGCTGTGTAAACAGAACACCCCGTGGGGTATAAGAGCCATCGAATTCCGGTGACCACACGGTTTTTGAGGATCGGATTCATAAAAGGGTCTATCTCCTAGCTGATCGCTTAAAGGGCCGTTGAAGTCTGGGAATTTGGATGATTTTTTTGTGCTGAATCGCGGTGTCACGTTCCCTTTAGAAACTTCATTTTCCGAGCAACCTTGACTACAAATCAAAATAGATGTTATGGTCCCTTTAAAGGGGATAGACGAAGCAAAAATCAACCCCTCCAGTCGACTGGGTCTTGACAACTACCCACAACTCGCGATGCTGGTTTAACCAAATTATTACTGTCTAAGAAATGTCAGAGATGGTAAATTCATATGGGTTTTCCTGCGTAATTTCGCGTAGCGCGTAGTTTTCGAGACCTAGCAATGCGAGGGTCTATTTTAACGCCTCAGAGGTCCTTTAGAAGACAATCAATCACGAAGATATTTTGCAAAAATTTTAATATATCCAAAAAATTACTTAAGACTCACTGCTAGCTGGCCTTTTAGTCATTTGGGAGTACGTATTGATACGCACTTCCGAATTTCTGATTCCTCCGGAGCAGAAAGCATATTTATGCCTCGAGCCGGCATCCGCCGCTCATGGAATTTTATAGATAAGGATCTTCTACCTGTCTCTCTTTCTCTCTCTCCCTCTCCTCCCTCTCTCGTTCCTCTCTCTCTCTCCTCTCTCTCTATCTCTCTCTCTCTCTCTCTCTTCTGGTGAATAAGCCCGGGAATGAGGCGCCAGGAAAAGATAAAGCTTATCTCACCAAAAATTTTCCTATATAAAGGACCCAAGAAATCAGCCATTCCCACTCACCCCGTCGCGCCTATTTTCTGACTTAATTTTCTGCACAAATTTTTTCCGATTTTTGGGTCCTGCAACAAAAAATTGTGCGTCATTTTATGTCGTTAGGAGTGTCTCGTAATTTGTGCTGGATTTAAGCGGATTAATTAGGAAATAATATATGATTTTTTAGAACATGCCCTCCTCCCTCTTCCTCCCCCCACCCCAGCAGCAGCTCTACGCCAACATGGTCTACCAGCTATTTTTGCAGCAGCAGCTCCAGATGCAGCAACAGCAGAAGATTTTTCAGAGGTAAAATTTATAATTATAATTTACTATATTTTTATAAGCTAAGAATTTAAATTTTAGAAATAAAAAGAGTGTATTCAAAATTCAATTAATACCATTTCAAACAAGGGTATTTAAATTTTAAAAAATTAAGTTAGCCCCAAAATTTATTTACTCATATTATCTAAATCTAACGATCTATTAAAGTAAAAATACCCGATTTTTAGGCAATTCACCATGCCCCAGCCGGTCATCCCGGAATGCGTCCCGACGCCGTCAACCTCTAGCTACCGAGCTATGCTAATTAAAGAAGAGGTAAAAACTACAGAATTATGAAGTCAAAAAGCTTAAGGACCAACCAAAATTAGTATAATTTTTAACCCTAAAAATTTAGCCACAATCTCCGCCGCCACATCAGCATGCCGCGCCAATCGAACCGATCATTGCCGTCCCAAAACCCATCAAAATCCAGGTAATTTTCGAAGCTTTTTATGAAAACCTACGGCCTCTAGGATACGGTAAAAGAGGAGCCGATCAGCCCAGTATTTCGACGAACTATTGAGCTGCTTTTAACCCCGGATGCCACGCCATCACCAGCCCTGGCAGCGCAAAAATTGGAAGGTACGGTAGTTTCCGGGGTATTGTCATTTTTCCCTAATGATCTTTGCCACCTCAGCCCAAGCATAGGCCTAAAGCTAAATCTACGCTAAGCCTAAGCCACGCCTAAGCCAAGCCTAAGTCAAGCAGAAGCCTAAGCCAAAACCCAAGCCCAAGCCTCTCCCCGGAAATTCGAAATTTTCTTTCTACCCCCAACTTCCCTTACCCAAAATCGGATTGCTCTAGCTTTCCTCAATAATCTCGCCTCGCTCCAGAGTCTTAAATTTCGATTAATTCCATTTTCCTCAAAGCGCTCTGCGAATCCACCTCCTCCAAACCCCCCTCAAACAGTGCAGACTACAAAAACGAGACTCTCCCCGTTCCCCCCATTTCGTGGTAGGCTGACAAAAATCACGATAATTCAGTCTCTATTTTATGACCGACTCTACGAGGTGTGACATCACATTGGTCGGGGGCAGAAAAATAGAATTCTTATCAGTTCGCTGGGCTACGAGAATAGACTGTGGACGGGTAGGGGGGGGGGGAGTTTGGGGAGCGCGGGTTTGATCGGAAATGGTCTCAAAAGTCTCGGGGAGTTATCAGAATTGGCTTTAGAGGGCTGGGAAGTAAATACCAGTAAATACCAGTACCCCGGAAATCCTCACTTTTCGGCGTTTTTTAAAATCCAGAAAATGGTCAAAAATGCAAAAATGATCTTTAGAAACCCGCCACTCCTCCAGCCCAACGTCAGAATCGACGCGTCAAAGCAGAGAAGAAGAGGATGAAGATGAACAGGTAGGAATTAGATGGCGTCATCGATCATAGTAATTTTTTAGCTTTTCATTGATGTGGAAGATCTTGAAGACAAGGAGTCCGGAAAGAATAAGCGAAAAGCCCATATCGAGTTCTACCGCAAGGTCAAGCAGTTCAGGAATCGGTGAGTTAGACTAAGCCTTAGTCTAAGCAAAGCAAAGCTAAGCCTGAGCCGCTTCGACCAACAAAATATGCAAATTTCAGCCCGGACAAAACTCTACAATGTGCGACCTGTGAAGAGGAAATCGTGAATAACGATGCTTCCATCACTGAACACGTCCAAACCCACGCCAAGACCATGTCGTTCAGGTAATTTAATGACGTTTCTATTTGAAGCGTAATAATTCTATAAAATACGCTTAAAATCCGTTAATTTCTCAATTTTAGATGCCAAATCTGCGGCGCCGAGGCGACAAACCGGACGCAAATGTACACGCATATGAATGAGAAGCACCCGAAGAAGGTAAGATTTTTAAAGTTGGACTTAAAGTTGTTTGGAAGCTTCATAACCCGCTTCTTTAGCCAACCGCCTTCTCGGACCGCCGCGATATGCTAAAACTGTCCGGCCTAATCTCGGAGTGCTTCCCGAAAACGCAGCCGAAAGTCGTGAAAAGCTCGCTTGTCACCTACATCGACCAGGTGGTTGGGTGAGTTTTTGAGTTGTAGTTAAATAGAGAAGCTTAAGCTAAGCCCAAGCTAAGCCCAAGCTAAGCCTAAGCTAAGCCTAAGCCAAGCCTAAGCCTAAGCCTAAGCCTAAGCGTAAGCCAAGCCCAAGCCTCAGCGTAAGCCAAGCCCAAGCCCAAGCCTAAGCCTAAGCCTAAGCCCAAGCCTAAGCCTAAGCCTAAGCTAAGCCTAAGCCTAAGCCTAAGCCTAAGCCTAAGCCTAAGCCTAAGCCTAAGCCTAAGCCTAAGCCTAAGCCTAGGCTAAGCCCAGGCTAAACCTAAGCTAAGCCTAAGCTAAGCCCAAGCTTAGCCTAAGCTAAGCCTAAGCCTAACCTAAGCCTAAAACGCGAATAAGCCTAAGCCAAGCCTAAGGTAAAACTTACCTTTTACGACTATTAATTTACCTTCAAACCAGGGTTGAAAAGCCGCTTCGCGACTTTTCAACCCTGGCCCCGTCTCGGACCTCATACTATTCGGCCCTTTGCATAATTGTCCTTCATTCAGAAGACCAAAAAAAATGAAAACAACGTTTCTGCCTCTTTATATGGCGACCACCCACTTCCGCCTATGCTAATCATCCCTAACAAAGAGGTTTTTACAAAAACCTAAATTTAATAGCGAAAATGGCTAAATTTAAAAAACCGATATGTGTGCAGTCATCCCTAGACCATTGCGCACCTAATGACGTATCATACGTAGCCTAATACCCGCCCCTTCTTGAGATATCCTCCGGACAGACATCCGGAAGTGGATGCAAAGTGGCACACACACACAGACACTATTTTTTTATATATAGTAGGATTCAAATCACTTCAGATCCCTCGCCCAGAAGAAAATCACCGAGCTAACCTGCCAGATTTGCCAAAAAAAAGTGCCCGGCCAGCGAAGCGCACTAATGAAACACATGCAACTGCACCCGGCCTATAGGTAAGTAATGGAAAAGGATACCTTAATTATAAAAACAAAATGCCATCAAATACATGCTTTTTATGAATTAAATGAAGTTTATCATATAAATTTTAGATGCAAACTCTGCAAATACACCTCGAGCACCACCGGCGAGCAGGAGGACCACAGCCGCTTATTTCACAAGATTACGGTAGCTTTAGTGAATTTTAGCATAAACCGTACAATTTAGGACCCCAAACTACAACAACACTACAACCTGTGCACCGCCCTCGACGTGGTCACCAAAAATTTCCAGCGTTGCTTCGGAGATCTCGCGGCTGTTTGAGCTTTCGATTTTTCTATGATTAATTTTTTTCGTATTTAGATCTTTTTGTGTATTTGTGGTATGTATTTTCAAATTTTTTGCGATTTTTTGCTTTTTTTAACATCCATGTCTTGCCGATTGCAATGTTTTTCTCAGCAAGATCTGCCGGATTTTTCCGATATGTTTGAACTTTTTGTATTTTTTGAGTGTGTATTTTTTGTAGTTTGTAGCTTCTAAACTTTTAATATGCCAAATTATGTGTTTTTAATATGCCAATTTTTGTGGTTCAAAATTATCTCTGACTCGCTCTCATTCTCTCTGCCTCTGACGGGTCTCACTGTTCTCGCGCCCTCACCCCGCCAACCTATCCACGCACAACTTTTCCATTTTTTTAGACTTTTGTATTCGTGTTTTTGCCTATTTCGAGATCATAAAAGCTACATTACGCTACAGACGACAACCTCAAATTAAGACCACAAAATCAAACTGCCAAAACAGTAATAAACGACCGACCTCCAGGTGCTCCGTGCTCGGCAATCTTCGGCGTTTTGGCGGATCGACAGAAGTTCTCCTAAATTGGTTATTTCAATTTCTCATTTTGGGTTCCATATTGCCGCAAAGAAACTCTGCTAGCTCGCCCTTACCCTACGACGCCAGAATTAAATTTTTAGATCATGCTGATTTCGTAACCTGTCCAATTTAAAATTTAAATTTCTCTGAACTTCCCGAAGAATCTCTGCCAGCTAGCCCCTACATTTTTACAGGCACGAAGAATCTCTGCTAGGCTTCCCAAAAACATTCAAATCCCACAAAAATCTATGCTAGTTTTCCTCAAGTCTTTAACCCTTAACCCAAGCTTGAGTTCCTCAGGAATCTACGCCGACTGATTTCGGCAAAATCCTGTTTAGCTCAATGTTTCTACTACATTTCGAATATTTCCTTAATCCTGAAAGGTTTCTGCTAAACGGCCGTTCTCCAAATTCCCAAAAAACCGATTGAATTACCCTAACGAACCTATATTCCGAGTCGGGCGGCAACAACTCGGCCGACGGGTTACGGTGTATCGGTTGTTGGTCTGAATTGTTTATTTAGGATGATAACTAATTTTATTTTCTCACGTCCATCCCGTTCCGCGCGCCCGTATTCGTCAGCTAAAATGAATTCATCTGTATAATTACACCCATTTTCCTTACTGGTATAGGTGAGGATGGGCAAATTCTGGGAATGCGTCGAGCTCTGCTGGCTTAGCGTCTCTTTTTGGACGACGGCTTGGTTACTAAAAATTATTATGAACGTTTAAATACGGCTATAAAGAAACAAAAAAATAGTAAATATGCCCTTAAGAAAAAAATAATTTATACCGAAATTTGTCGACCTGTGTGACACGGGCGATGGTGGGTTGGGTCTGGTAAAGGGCATTCCTGAAAAATTTGAGTATCGGTATTTTTTTGCTGCCTCTCCCCCTCTCCCTTTCTCTCCCCCTCCCTCTCTCTCTTTCTCTCTCTCTCGCTCTCTATCTCTCTCTCTCCCTCCTGCTCTCTCAGTCTCGCTCTCGCTCGCGCTCTCTCTCACCTGAGTGGCAAGGGTAGGGGTCGGCAGGCGGCTGCGGCCTCGGATCTCACGGCGTCCCGCTTCTGCTCCGGCTTACCCGTCCTAAATGAGGTGCGAGGCATCTCTTAATGAACTTTAATTCGTTAAAATATACTTTATTTAATCTAATACTTAATTTTATATACGCTAAAAAACATACGTGGTGAGCGGGGGCCTCTTTTTGAGGCAGAAGCGATAGAAGTAGACGACGGTGATGACGAGCGTCAGCCCCCCGACGACCCCCACCAGGAGGACGAAGATTGTGAACAGCGGGCGGGATGGGTCCTGCAAGGAATGGGTTACAGTGGTGAATAAAAAAGCATTCTTTTGTGTTCACCGACGGATACCGCCATTTTCGAAAAATTGAACTCGCTCAAAAACGAGCTATTTTTGGCTAATATGCCATTTTTTCGTTGATTTTGTCTATTTTTTCCAAGAGCGATGTTCCAGAATAGTCTTGGTTTTTGAAACTCCCCGGGGGAATTATGCTAATTAGCAACACGAGCACCAATTAGGGGTCCAAGACTCGAAAATGGCAAAAGTGACGTGGTCGCAAGAGAGAGCGAGAGAGAGAGAGAGAGAGAGCGAGAGAGAGCGAGAGAGAGCGAGAGCGAGAGAGACTTATCTCATGCAAGTAAGCAGCCTTATAAATCTAGGCCTTTGAACTAGTCTCTAAATAAAGTAAACCTATTCTCGAAATTCACAAAAATCTAAAAAAAATATATAAAATTAACTATGTTAATAAGGCCATTTAAGCGCAAAAATGCCGACTTCGTATTTAGCAAAGCAGCGGCCTATGTAAAGTTCCAAAGATTCGTCCCAGTGCCCCCTGGTTGGCCCATGAAGAGAGAAAAACTGACAACTGGAGATGACACCTCTGCTCCCTCCTCGATGGCCACAATTCAGAATTTCCAAGCGAGATGGGTGCGTTGTTATCGAGTCGATTTAAAAGTTACGGAATAGCGGATCTTATAGGTAACTTAAACCCGGAATCTACCATCTATTTCCGGTAGAATACTACACCCGCTCGGCCCTTTCCGCCCCCAACCTACTCCCCGATTTATGGCCGGCGATTGCTATACATCCCTGATTTTTCTTGTGGTTAGGGAGGTGTTGGCACACTGCCAAATAGTGGGGAAAATTTTTTGTACTGAAGTTTTTAGGGTCGGCCCGCAAAATAAATTTTTTTGAAGCATTTGAGGTGCAAAAAGCTGATCCAGCCCCTCCCAGGGAAATATTGCTGCATCTGGATTTGCTGCCCCTGCCTTGGCTACGCACAAAAATTGTAGCCAACGGCAAAACAAAAAATAGGGATAGCTGGAAATGCGCAAATTTGCAAAAAAATAGGCTGAACGGAAAAGCGTCACCACAGCGTCAGCTCCGCTACGAAACACTACAACTACGCGCGGCTCCTTTTGACGCCTGTATGCGGAGCATGCGTTGTAAATTGCGTTCATAGCTCTTTGAAATCCGCAGACCCGTCTTAAATGGACTAGAAACTGCCAACGTTCAACCCCCATTCGTCGACTGGGTCTCGACGGTTACGCGCGAAGTCAAATTGCTCGGTCAGTCTCGTTATGGTAACACAGTAAAAGTGCTGTTGGAGCAAACGCGCGGTCTAAGCAGCTTTTCCTAGCTGTCAAGGCCCAGTCCAAGGGAAGGGCAGAATTTGACGCTTGCCGAGCCCTTTAAGATGAGGCATGAGAGCCTAGAGCTGCGTGCGGGGTCCTGTCGTGCCTCGACAGATGGAAAAGGGAAGTGAAGAGAGAACAGCCCTAAGAATAGAGGGAAAACGAGACAGGCAATGCGGCCGTAATAACGCTATCTTACGGGATTGGCAAACGCCAGAATCGACCCCTACAGGATGCTGGGTCACGACAATTAACGCCCTGCTACAAATACTGGTGTAAATGAGCTGAAAGTGTGGCTTTTATACAAGATAGAAATAAGCTTGAACGGATTTTTTCCGAATTGTCAGCACCTAGCAACCAGACAAGGTCGAGTTTATCGCTTTCTGACCGCTTGAAAGCTTCTAAAAATACAGCGAACGGCTTTTAACGATACATACCTGTGGCGCCGTGATGTTTATGGTTTGTAGCTTATCTAGCCTTTCCTAAAGCTCGACCACTCGAAGGGCCATCAGCCGAAGACCACCAAGACAAGGAGAAGCACGATCGGGGCAAATGGCACCCCCCGAAAAGCAGCTCCAATTTCAGACATTCCCCCATATTGCTGGTGCTGGTGGTGGTGGAAGGGGACGAATAATTGATGTCAAGTGCCCTTAGCCATATGGCCAATGTGCAATGCGGAGGAAATTCGTAAAAAAACGATCTGCACGCGGATTACAACTAGCCGCCGCATAATTGGGGCGATTTCGCAGAAATTGAGCGTAATTATTCATTGGGCGCATTTTAGAGGGTGGCTGCAGCGGGGGATTGAATTTGTTAATGGCAGATTGCAATTGGGAGAAATTGAGAAAATGAGTGGGTGAAGAAAATTGGGATTTAAAGGGATTGGCAAGGCAGGACTATTTGGAGCATTTCGCTAAACCCATCTTCGCAAAATCTATGACAATTACATTTCATATGAAATTTTAAAAATCAAGAAAATTGAACTATTATCGTTTTTCAAAAATTCGAAACGAAAAAGGAACAGTCCTATGACGGCCATAATTTAATTCACATATGAAGTAATGAAATGGAACGGAGCGTAACGGACTTTCGTATTAACGTTGGGGGGGAGCGCAGCTTTTTTTCCTTAGGATCCAAGTTTTCTACTGTTTCTAACCGTATAATTGTTATCAAAATATGCAAGGAACATTGGCTTTTCGGCGAAAATTGACGGATTTTCGAAAAAAATGCAGACGTTTGAAGACTTTTTTAGAACTACAAGCTCGCCCAGAAAACACCTCCTCCCCCCCGATAATGCGAAAGAACCGCGAAAAAGGGACAAGATATTGTTAGATTTTTCGGATTTGGCAACTCCAAAAAATTCCTATGTCAATACCAATCAGAAATTCAAAAATAAACACAAATTTCACTGCCTTCTAAATTACGGTATGCAAGTTACCGGGAAAGGTATATTTCCGTCACGCTCATTTAAAGTCATCATCGAACGGCCAATAAGAGCATTAAAGTTTATAGTGAAAGAATCTACAAGATTATGCGGAAAATCAGGATCCGGCCAGTTCCTTTAAATTACCATAATCCAGCAGATATCCCTCGAGAAAGACAAAATATTTTGTAACCGAATACCCGGCCCGGTTTTTGCACCATGCAAAGGACAGCCGTAGCAAGAAAAAAACGCAAAAATAAGCGATCATATAACCCGGTTGCATGGGGCAGGTGAAAACTAGATTTTCTGCCGGTTATGGGTGCAAAACGCGTATTAGGGAGAAATGAGGTGATATTTGTAAAAAATAGGATTAGCGAAAATTGGGTTTGGAATCGAGTTTAGCGTCAACTTGGCAATATATCTGGGAGCAGTCCGGATTATACGTGTCAGTGAGGCCGGATTAGTCAGGGGGGGGGGGAGGAAGAGAAGCCCTTTGGGTGGTAGATTAAAAGGTGGGGATTCCGGTCTCATAATCATCGTCATCATGAAATAAATGCGATCAACGATTACTTAGTATTTAATCGATTGAATCGGTTAATGCACAAAAACGCATGTATTGTGTTTTCTAATAGCTGCTTAATTATGCAAATTAGCGTCATTTTAAAGACTCAGAAAATGTATGGAAAAGTTTTGTTTTGAATAAAGTCCTGATAAAATCATTTGCAGCACCGCGACACGCAACGCGCAAGCCCTCGCGGCTGTGAAGGGAGTCCAACCGTGTACGCAATAAAAAATAGCCAACAAATTTTATAAACAAGCCTTGTGCGGTCCTTTAAAATGATGGCAGTATGGTTTTTAACGGAATTTATGCAAATTATAGCGATAGTCCTGGCATTACAACCGCGCTAATTTGCATAGAAATTAATGAAAATCAGTCGAAAGCCTAAGCCGAAGCCAAAGTTTAGCTTAAGCCAAGCCAAACCTAAGCCTAAGCCTAAGCCCAAGCCCTAACCTAAGCCTAAGCCTAAGCCTAAGCCTAAGCCTAAGCCTAAGCCTAAGCCTAAGCCTAAGCATAAGCCTAAGCCTAAGCCTAAGTCTAAGCTAAGGATACACTCAAGCCTGCGAATTTCTAGGGTCGTGACAAGCCTACCGTAACCCCAAAAAATTCCTCGGTTTCAAACCTCTTTCTATCCCCAAAATTCGTAGACAACCCTCGGCCAAGGCATCAACGGTGAAAATCAGGGAGGGCAGGCAAGTGGTGGGGGGAAGAAGCTAGGGGAAGTGTCAGTCCCGGGGTCGCCTTCGCACCCAGCGGAGTGCCTCGGAATGTCCCGTCGACACGTCAGAGTCCCCCGAAATTAGCGAGGAGAGGTGGTGGTGCCCTCATTCGGGGCCATTGCCGCCCGCCATCACCCTTTTTAGGGCCTAATCCCCGAAAACAGGGATTAGCAGATGGAGGAGATTGACAGATGGAGCGACAAAAATCGACACACAAAAATCAAGACGTCAATATAAAAGAAGAAAAAATAATAAAAATGATGACTAGATGTGAACGCGTTGCGGTTGCGTTGCGGTCGGCTAAAGGCGGCACGCGAAGGACATCGATAGGGCCAAAGAAAGCGAGAGAAGGCGAGCGAGGGAGCAGGAGAGAGGAAGCAATAGATAGAGAGCGAGAGAGTGGGCGAGAGAGTGGGAATCAGAGAGAGTGAGAGAGAAAATGATAGAGAGAAAGAGAGAGCGAGTTAGTGAGAGAGAGAGAAAGAGAGAAAGCGAGAGCTAGCTAAAGAGAGTGACAGAGAGTGAGAGAGAGAAAGATAGGGCGAGTTGGCGAGAGAGAGATAGAGAGAGAGAGAGAGAGAGAGAGAGAAATGGAACAATGGACTTTGCAGGTGATTTCCTGTCACAAAGGCACGCCAGATTTAATTTTCTCCAGCTCTAACATGAAATAATATTACCGTACCCTAGTAGTAGATGATCATCCCGAGCAACCCAGCACCACCAACTACGCCATATATCCCGTTTGAAAGATCTTCTCCACCTCCTTCCCCCCCCATGTTTTCCTCATCCCCATCTTCATCCAAAGATGCTCTGGTCAGGCAATAATTGATGAGGATTAGCGGTGGGGGGAGGATGAGGGCCCATTTACATAATTGGAAGAGGCGTCTTCCATGTACACATCAGTCACCCGGGCCTTTTTTAGACGTGTCGGGCGCGTTTTTCTTGTTTTCCGGGGTATCTTGTGGTGAAGAGAGGGAAGGAAGAATTGGTACGTGTGGACGCAAAATTGCGAATTTTCGAAAAACTTAAAAATGAGAAATGCGGCCCAATCCATGAATTTTTGAAGAACTGTACTGGCTAAGCTCAAACCGAGGCCAGCTGAAGCCAAGCCTGATGCTGAGCCTAATCCTAATGCCGAAGCCTAAGCCGATGCCTACGCATAAGCCTCGGCCTAAGCCCAAGCCTAAGCCTAACCTTATTCCCTGCCGTCCCTTTAAAGGGACAGTGACAGCATGCCCCTCACTGTAAAAATCTCAGCCGTCCGCGTTCGAAACCGGAACCTCTATCTAATTCCGGACCACCCGTATCGTCAATCCCCAAAAAGACATTCCCCCAAAAGCCAATTGACATTTTTTGCGTGTGCAGGGATGGGTAAGGGAAATGGAGGACAATTGGCCTAAAGGCGGCAACAACGGTGTCCCCGGGAGCGGTTCGGAATTGCGCTGCTCCCGGGGCACCTTTTTTGAATCCCGTTAATGCGGCGGTGACCCGGAAATGGAGGAGATGATTGGATGGGTGTAAGGAGGATTGTGGTGGAATTTTGAACTCTGCATGCAGTTGCTGGGGTGCAGCAGATCGAAAATTGCGTGAAATGTTGAATTGTGGATCGGGAGCGGGAGGTTTTAAAGGAAAAGGGAAGCTAGAGACGTAAAGCTGTGGTAATCCATTACGCAGTGAAAAGGTCTGTGCGTGCGTTGTGTGGCGCTGGCGTACCCGAATCCTAGAGGCAATCCATAGCGGAAAAACCTTGGCCTTGCCTTTCTCGTCCCTTTAAAAGGAGGTTTCAGTAATTTCCGATTCCAAGACAGCAAAAAAAAAGGTATAATTAATATACCTGTGGCTCCAGCGTACCGGCTACAATAATAGTCCACAAAAAGCAGTCGAAAAATGCAAAATCGGAATTCGTGTGTGCCCGGAAAAATTATGGGACCCCCGGCGCGGGCCATTTGCCAATTTTGTCGCGAGCCAACTACGGGCCGGACAACGGAAACCCGGGGAATCGAGTGGTTTTAGTTTTTGCAGTTTTTGGTACTTATTCGTCCATTCTCTCTCTCTCTCTCACCCGCTCTCCCTCTCTCTCTCTCCTCTCTGTCTCTCTCTCTCTCTCTCTCTCTCTCTCTCACCTCCTCCGCCTTGAACCAAAGCGGCAAGAAGAAGATGAGCATTAGAATCAAAATCAGCAACGACACGAGCACGTGCTCAATCAGGTCAAACATCCAATAGTAGGTCTGGTAGAAACCGTTGATGATCAGCACCGCCATCGCGCACATTTTGTAGGAGTTCAGGAGGTGCAAGATGGTGTTTAGAGAATGAAAGCTGAGCGGAAGAGTATGCAATATTTCCGGCACAATCAGGCTGGAGCTCACAAAATTTTGGGGAGGGAGATGCAAATTGGATAAGGTTCGGGACGCGGTTGGGTAGGTCCGAAAAGCATAACCCCCAAATCGAGACTCACCCAAAAGTCTGAGATCTGGAAGATGTGCGTCGTGTTCATTGTCTGATGATCCTAGAATGGTTAAAAAATGCGGTGCGATTTGGAAACAGAAAAGCAACAAAAACAGAAATTAAAAGCAACGATGAACCAGCAAAAATTGCATAATTATTGCATTGTATGTGCATGAAACATTTGCTGAAATGAAATGTTTAATGCAGGTTTGCATTAAGCAACCTTAACCTTCATGGTATTTCATAAAATAGGCAAAACTAAATAAAACCAAGTTAAATTATTAAAATTAAAGGTATGTGAGATCGAGAAAACCAGGAATATTCCCTGGAACAACCCACAACACCAACCCCCCCCAGCCAAAAAGACGAGTTGGCCCCCCCCCCCCCCCCTCTTTTGTCCCCCCCCCCCCACAAACCCAAAAGAAAAGAAGAGAGAGAGAGAGCGAGAGAGAGAGAGCGACAGAGAGATATATCAATTTATTAGCTATAGATTCATGGCATACCCATCCATTTAATTTCCTAAAAATTTGGCACCTAGAGTCCAATTTGTTGAAAGACTACGGTCAATTCCAGTGTCCTCCCCCGGCTTAAGGCCACCAGAAAACACGAAATGACCCATAACGAATAGTGGAATGACTGGACAGAACTGAGGGGATCGGAGGGCAACTCATTAAAAATTGAGGTCGAAATGAGGAAGAGATCTTTCTCTCTGGATGAGAGGACGAGTCAGAGATGGCGATGCCAATGGGACGACGACGACTCCACGCACACACTTAATTAAAAAGGGGGGAGAAGACCGATGGAAGGGGATGGAGCACGACGGGGAGGAGCTGCAGATGGTGAGGCAGGGAAAAACACAGAAAAGATGTGCTCTTGCTCTCTTGCTCCGGCCATCGGAAGAAGGTCCCCAAAACAACGACCCTTCACCCAATTTGCCCCGGGCCGTCGGCAGGATGACAGGCGAGGACGGCGTCAAGAAGATGGGCGGATCTGGGTGGTGGGGAGGAAATGATTCTCGGGACGAACGGCAAATGGAGAGAAGAAAAAGGCGTCTGGGGTACTGTAATGTTAGAGCCGGTGTGTTGAAGTCATCCACCTAAAAATGAAGCTGCGGATCAGGCTCACTACCTTACCAGGTCGTCAAGAATCAAGAAGTTCGACAAATTATAAAGATTTCAAGGCGAGCGGCACTTTCTAAAGGGACAGTGAAGTCATCTACACAACTCCATTTGTCTCGAAAAATTGACGAGATCTTTTGGAGGTAAGCATCTTCTCTCTCTTCTCTCTCTCTCTCTCTCTCTCTCTCTCTCTCTCTCTCTTCTCTCTCTCACTATCTCTCTCTCGCTCTTGATTCGACCTCAAGAGCACCGTACCGTCAGCAAAATGCTGCAACTCATCGCACTCAATTTGGCTTTACCAATACACTCGACCTCATTTTTGGAGCTCCTCCTTTTCTTGAGCCACCCTTTTCCCACCCGTTAGATCACTCGTTGACCACGAGGAAGGTGGTCCTCCTCCCCGAACCAAATGGACAGAACCAGGTGCCGGGTGCTCTTTCTCACCCTCACTCTCACCCCTTGGCCCCGATCCGATCGTAAACAAGAACATGTGGGCCATTTCCTTCTTCCCCGTTGGGCCCTAGGGCCGCCGCCGGCTGTCCGATTTCTCATTTAAACCTGGACGCCCGGTCGATCGGGATTTCGAATCGGCCCGGTTGAACTTATGTTAGGCTCCGAAAAATCATTTTTGAATGCTTAGAAAATTTCAAGAATTGAACGTCTGGATTTCTTTCCAAATCAATTAAAAAATCTAATTTTCTTTGCTGTTTGCTTATATTCTTTGAAACTTTCACTATTTGCTTTAAAGGTACGATAAAGAATTGGTTGTAGATTATGCTAGCTTTTGCTATCGTAACCGATTATCACGCCATTGGTCGGCTACGCCATGCTACGCGGTACGTTCTTGCGCGTTTCACGCCTGCACTTCGCGATACGTAAAGCAAGGGTCGCAGAAGCGTCGAAAAAGACCGTAATGGAAAGGCAAGAGTGTGCGTAGCGTGTCGCGGGCTCGGCTAGATCTTTAAGGGGGTCTTAACAAATAAATTAAATAAAAAAGCAAGCATTTGATGACCCGTTAAAGTCCTGTATGATTCGACCTACTCACGGTATTGTTTTCCAGGTTTCTTACTGAATGAATCTATCTCAATGACCGGATTTTTTCACGACTTCAGCAGCTTCAAAACCGCAAGCTGACGCCTTGAAATACTGCCAAAAAGTGCAACCTTCTTGCCGGACGCCAGGCCGACCAAGATCAATCAATGCCGCATCATTTCTCCTCCGCTTTTCTCTCCCATTTCTCTCCTCCTCAACCGCGACACATCCTCGGAATATTTGCTTTCTCATTGCCTTTTTGCAGCCAAAAAAACACGTCTTCTTCAAAAACGGCTTAAAATTCAAATTCAGGAATGCTGCGACTTTTGCTCTCGGCATTTCTCATATCTTTGGGCCAAGCCGCGCAGAGTTTCGACCAGATTCCCAGTGAGTTGCGGAGATTTTTGAATCTAGAACGCTAATTTCTGCGCCTAATATCGTAGCCTAATAGCTAAATACCTCTTAATACTGTGTTAATTTTAGATTTTGCCATCAGCAACGATGAATTGCTAAAATTGGCCGATAAATTAAGAGCTGTTGATGATAATAAGGCTTCACGAGGACAGGTAAGATCTACAAAGTTTAAAAAAATTAATTTTTTAGATCGTTGTCAATTTCCAAGGACACACGACAACTCGTGACACCACTGATAATGCTAATGCCAAGTAGGTTTCGAGAAAAAAGGATTTTTACACAATTTATGGATCTACATTTTAATTGAATCAATTTTTATTTCTAAAATTGTGAAACCTAATGTATTTCCAGATTTTTCTCAAAAGTCGACTCGTCACTCCTGCGCAAGCCGACGTATGAGCAATTTTTGTTGCTGAACAACAATTTTGAGCGTCAAACGGGCGTGAAAGAGCCTAAAGTGTCGGCGTCTGAGGTTGGTACACTATAAGTAATATCATCCAAGCTTCTGGTTTCTAAAACTCCGTAAAAATTTCAGGAAAAATCCGAAACCACCAAATTTATCGATCTCATCTTCCAAACGCGACCTTGGAAGACGTTGTACGAGTATATGAACAAAAATAGTAAGTTAAAACCAGTTTTTAATCCTTCTATCTAAATTCCAAAATAATTACGTTCCTAGAGCACCCCTTTGCCTCGGATCCAGCAACTTGGCGATTCTGGATTGCCCAGCTGTGGTTCGTCCATTATTCCCGGTAATTTTTACTAAAAATTCCAACTTTAACAAGTCTAGGGCCCGTGGCCTGCCCGACACCTCGGGCTTCGAGCACGTCTTCATGGGCGAGGCGAAGAATGGTGAAGTCAGCGGCATGCACAATTGGCTTCGAATGTATTATTTGGAAAGGAACGTCACCGAGCAGTTTGACTATAAGGGATTCTTGGTGAAGCGAGGAGTACGTGAAAAGGAAAATAATTCTCGTTTAGCCAAAGACAGTTCGAAATCGAAAAACAGCCAAAAACGTTAAAAAACACTATATTTTATCTGAAGGGCTGCTAGATCGCATAAATAACTAAAATAAAAGCTCTGATTTTTAAAATAAATTCAGCCAAAATATTAGCTCAGATTGGTAGACCTAAAAAAAAATACTATTAAAAAGCATACGTCTATCTTTTTCTTACATTTACAAGGTATAAATGGCTAATCAAACCTTTCAGAACCTAATGGGCGCGTTGAAATTCTCGTGGCAAAGCGAGATGAAGAGATCTGGTTCTTTGTTGATCGGAACGAGCCCCGAGTTCGATATGGCCCTCTACACGATGTGCTTCTTGAGCCGAAGAGGCCGAAAAACCTGTGATGTAAGCGGGGAAATCACTAAAAACATAATTCCTCAGGTTGAAATCGATGGTTGCGACCTACAAATCACCAGCTATGACCTGACGCAACAAGGAAAGGTTGGTCAACAAAAACCCATCAAAAATTCCGTTTTTTTTCTCCAGGTATTCGTCGGCTCCGTCTTTCCAAGCGCCGGCCGAATGACCGACAAATGCCGGCGAATGAACAATTGATGAATGGAACGCGCCCAATGAATACAGAACTAATTGGTGCCCATAAAGCCTCCCCCTCAAATGTACTACAAGATTCCGAACTTACGTTTTATTACGCCTTACAAAACAATAGAAATGTGTACCTGTGGGGTAAGCGAGAACCAGAATTTAGCATCGGACAACAAAATTGCACGAAATACGTCAAAGAATGGTTTCTTAAAGCCGTAAACGTGGGAATAAATGGGGGAGACAAATTTTGGAATGTCGAAAAGTGTAAAGGGGGAGAAAGTAGCGCGACGAAAAGCCACCACGAATTAAGGCTAGCGTTGACACGTGTGTTGCTGGCGGGGATTCATCTCATGGATGTGGAGATCAGCTGAAAATAAAAGGTCAAAAACGTTTTTAAAGATTTAACTACCTCCTAATAGCGACGGACGGCGGTGCCGGCGGGCTGGTAGTAAAAGCATATGTAGATAGCGTGGAGCATTCCTAAAAAATGATCTTTTTAAACGTAAAAATAGCATACCAGGAATACCACCGAGCAGCGTGAACAGAATGTTGATGCAGAAGTTGATGTCGCAACCTCCGTGAATCAGAACGGCCAGCGGCTAAAACACAGAGTTTAAAATCACTTTCGAAAATTCTTACCGGCAAAAGAATGCAGAGAATCAGCAGCAGGCACTGGCCACAGGTGTGGATGCACATCTTATCTGTAAAGAAAGATTTTACAAGTTTTAAAGCCAGACAAATCGAAGCGGAAAACACGAAGAACAAGACAAAGCGGGTGGAGGAGTAAACACGGGGTTGTTTTGCTCCTCCGAATATGGGGGCGTGGCTTGCCTCGTTATTTACGTGAAGCGGCCCCGCAGCGCCCTCGTCTATGCTATTGCGAAAGGCTGCCCTATTCGAGTGGGGGAATCGATTTGTAGGCTTCAGAATCAAAGAGAAGTTTTGAGACATATTTAAAAGCGCAAAAAGGGTTTTTAGAATATCTTTTAAAGTTCTAAAAGTGCTAAGCAAATGAATTAGTGTGATGCATAAAGATCAAAACTACGACATTTCAGTTTGGTGGGGTCTTGGAAAGGACAAGGAATAAAAAGAATCTGGCCAAGCTAAATTGATATCGTCAAATGTGACTCTGGACAGATTTCCAAACCCCGCGTTCACACGTGCCGTGTGTATGTATGTAGATTCGCGCCGCCGACAAAATATGACTCATCGCGTGACCCATCGAATCGTAGTGACGCGGCTGCCAGATGTGTACGAAACATGAACATTAATAGCGAAAAAGGGTCCTGCAACGAATTTAGAGGCGCGTAAAACTGAAAAGCCAACGCGCAAGGGCCGAGCTTGTTGAAAACGGTTACCAGGGAATCGCGCCGACAATTACGTGTAGAAAGGAAAACCTTTTTTGGCTAAAGCTAAAACAATTTTGGCTTCCCCCGCGAGCTTCGGCGTTATCAATGAGGCGATATTCGGACAAATCGCTGAATGCGCAGCCGAGTCACTGTTTGCCAGAAATCGGCTGCGTGTTTGCCAATGTCCAGGCCAAAATCTAGCCTCGAATCGATGAGGGGAAGTGCTTCCAAAAACGTGCCGACTACAGCCGATAAGGCATGGTGTTTACCGGCAACTGGAACTGGGCCACAATATAGAAAAAAGCTCGCTCACAGAACCTATCGGCGATAAAATTAGCTGACAATACCTCACACGCTGTGGCCTGTCAAAAACAGGTGGAAATTCATTTATCACCCGTAAACGCTAAATACATCTGATCACAGGCACAAATTCTCAAAGGTCTGGGAGTATCGCTTAGACATTAATAATTTAGCTGAAAAATGGGGGCCTCGTAAATCACAAGAATCTAGTGTCAATACCATTAGGAGAGGAATTTGCGCCCATAGTAGACGGCCTTTTGCTCAAAGTTGGAGGAGCGAATTGGGGCGTTGAGCTCGTGGAACGGATTCATCGACAGCTTCACAAACGTCTCGTACATTTCCTGAAAAAGGACCCTTGAGAAGGAAAAATTCGTCAAACCTGAAAAAATTGCTTGATGCCATCATCATTTTTGACCGTGTGCAACATCATAAAGCGTATTCTGCTGGCTGTGACGAATGCGGAGACGAACCATTCGTTGAACTTGTCAATTGTCTAAAGGAAAACAGAGGCTAAAGTTTTGGACGCGGTAACGAACCTTCATATACATATTCGTGCTAGACAGTGTATGCTCATCGACGACATCAAGCGCGGCATGGGCGATGAACTGGTTGAGGTGCCGGGTGTCATCACGTTTCTTCTTCTCGCCGCCAACCTATAATCGACCGCAAATTTTTGAGGGGGAAAAGGGCTTACCGGGAAATCGATCTCATACAGTGGTTGATCGTTGTGGCCGACTATCACAAAGTAGTATTCTTTTGACATTAAATGGGTGTTGGAGCTTCGGAAACAACAAAAAACTTTCAAGTTTCGGCGAAAACGAAAATCACAAAGGCCATGTTGGTCGTTGTCAATACCCCACAAAACGTTGGCGTGGATTGTACTGCGGCGTACTTGCAGTGTCGCGCAAAAATATCTCGTTTTCAAAATAATTTCCGTGTAATTTAATAGTTTTCCGACAAAAACAATATTTATAAACCAAAAAAAATTACGGAATGTATCACAAGTGAGGTCAAAAAAATTTAGAAATCCTCATTGAAGGGGAAGTGGGGGTGGTCGCCGTCGCGCTGGGTTAGATCGAGGATTCGCCATTTCTTGTCGAGGTCGTCAATCTTCTTCAGCTCATCGGCGGCTAGTTCGAAGTCAAAAAGAGCGCCATTTTCCTAAAGAAATACATTAACTTCATTTTTATTGGTAGGTTTTACCTTGATCCGGTGCTCACTAGTCGATTTTGGGATGACGACGATGTTGTGCTGGATGGCCCAGCGGAGAGCTACCTGGGCTGGCGTCTGAAATGTTTTATAAATTAAGAAATACCATTATTTTCATAGATTATACAAAGTTATTGTCATTATACTTATAAATTATAACTATGTCTTCCCATACCTTTCCGTATTTCTTAGCAATCTCCGTGACGGTATCATCGGTAAGAATCGAAGGATCGCCGGTCTTAAAATAGTTATATTTTATATTTATGTACTTTAACTACCTTTCTGAATGGATTCGTGGGATTTCCAAGCGGAGAGTAAGCAGTCACAACAATATTGTGCTGCTTGCAGAAGTCGCGCAGCTTCTTCTGTTGGAAGTAGGGGTGGAGCTCGACCTAGATTTTATGATTAGCTTTTTTGGCTCCATTTTTACCTGTAAAACTGCCGGCTTGATGTGCGAGTTGGCGACGATGCGCTCGATTTGCTTGTGGTTGAAGTTGGAGAGGCCGATGGACTTGATTTTTCCCTCCTTGACGGCTTCTTCGAGGGCTTTCCACGTGTCGAGGTAGTCCTCCTTGGAATAGCGCATCTTCGTGCCGTCGGCGGTCTAGAGTAGGTTTTTTATTTGAGTTTTCGAAACAAACCTTTGGGAAGATCTCGGCTCCCTCCTCATATCCCATCGGCCAGTGGATGAGCATCAGGTCGACGTATTCTACAAGTTCGAGTTTCAGGAGTTCATCTACAATTGAACTCACCCAATTCCAACTCGGCCAAAATCAAGTCGATGGCCTCCTTGGCCTTTTGGTACGAGTGGAAGGTGTTCCAGACTTTTGAAGTGACGAAGACATCTTCACGCTAAATTACATGATTTCTATACTCTGTTAACAAATCTCATACCGGAATCTCTCCGGAAAACACCCTCTTGAAGACGGCGCCGATTTCCTGCTGGTTTTGGTAGGCCTGGGCGCAGTCGATGTGCCGGTAGCCAGCCTTCAGGGCCAGATCGACGGCTTGGCCAACCTTAAATTGGTATTACTATGTGTTAAAGGGACATTGAAGGCAGAAATCTAGCGGGTCGAAAGTTTTAGATATTTCTTACCTCGCCAGGCTTCGACAGCCAAGTTCCGAGGCCAAGGATCGGGATCGAGTGACCGGAGGAGAGGGGTAGCGTCGGGGTGGCCATTCTAAAATTACACAGATTTATAGGATACCTTAACTATCCGTGAGTTAGATCCGTTAAATGAGTCAAATCCGTTACTTTTTAAATATAAGGGAATTTGCCGAGAAATTGGTCGAAAAAGTGTAATGCTAGGGGAATGGTGCCGTCTGAGGGGTATGGCTAGCCGATGCGGGAAATGATAAGAGATCGATTTTCACAGAAAATGGTGCGCCATAAAAGCATGGTCGCAGATGGGAGTTTAGAGGTTGAAAACTTATACATTAATGATATTTAATGATAGTGATAGTCTTAAATTAGTGGAATTCAATAGTTATTGGACTTTTAATCCACTGGATGGACTGAATTTTTTTTGCTGATTGGCTTGCGTAGCGAATCAGGCCAAAAATACCGACATCGAGACCCAGCAGACAATTTTGAGGCTAATTGTCAGAATTTTTGCTGTCGAGATTCTGGCTTGTCGGCATTTTGGTGTTTTCCCCATGTCCACTTACCTTACAAATTCGTCTCTTTTCGGATACAACACCCGCAGCACATAATTATAGGAATTTCTCCTTAGCGGCTGTGGCACGCGACGCTCAATAAACTCGGGCGGTATCGCCTGCATCGCGAATATCAGTGGGTCTTCCATTTTCATGAAGTGGTGGGCTTTAAGCTCGTAAGCTTCGCCTTCCCGGATCTCGCCCGCGCTTTTAAAGGGACGGTGAAGGGCGGGAGGGGATAAACAGACAAACGTCTTCCAGCCCACCTCCACCTTTCGATTTGCGCAATCACCTTTCCGCCCCACGCCTCGAGCCTCAGAGGGTCTTGAAATTCCCGGAAAACACCGGAAGTCGAGGCTTGTTTTGGCAGCCTTTTGCCAGAGGCGGCCTCGGCTTGACCGCAGGGCCTCTGGGAGCCATTTTTGGGGTTTTCCTGAGCTTAAAATACCCACAAATTGACGTTGTGGACAAAATATTTGCAGCTGGGGTTGAGTCAGAGATTGGCCTATTCAAAAAGTACGCCGATTTTTGGGGTCAGGAGTTGGAGGATGGACTTTTAGAGGGCAAGGCAACGAAAGGTGCTCCGAAAATGACGAAGACCATGAAAAATGAAGCTTAATAATGTTAAAATTTCAAGAACATTTAGGAATTTCTTGCTGAGACCTAAGCTAAGCCCAAAATCGATCTAATCCTAAACATAAGCCCAACCCTAAGCTAAGCTAGGGCTAAGCCTAAGCCTCAGCCTAAGCCTAAGCCTAAGCCTAAGTCGAAGCCGAAGCTAAGCCAAGCCTAATCCCAAGCTTAAGCTAAGCCTAAGTTAGGTCTAAGTCTAAGCCTAAGCTAAGCCTAAGCTAAGCCTTAGCTAAGCCTAAGCTAAGCCTAGGCTAAGTCTAAGCTAAGTTTAAGCTATGCCTAAGCTAAGCTTAAGCTAAGCCTAAGCTAAGCCTAAGCTAAGCCTAAGCTAAGCCTAAGCTAAGCCTAAGCTAAGCCTAAGCTAAGCCTAAGCTAAGCCTAAGCTAAGCCTAAGCTAAGCCTAAGCTAAGCCTAAGCTAGGCCCAAGCTAAGCCTAAGTCTAAGCTAAGCCTACCTAGCCTAGCAAGGTAAGTTTATTAAAGCGATTTTAGCAAAATGTCGAAACTTTTTAATAAATACCATTTTATAGCATTAAAATCACGAAAAATTAGCGACTTCTAGCCGAAAACTGAACGCCCGTAAACAGATATTGTTGCCCTCGCAGTGGTACCAGCGGGGAATCGATCCCCCGCGAGAGGAAGCAGAGAGCAAAAAAACGCATCTATTTTTTTGCGGTCGCCGTTGGCTCGATATGTCAAGGTCATCCGAGATTTTTGCGGCGATTAATTGTGTATTGTGATAAATCCTTCATAAAATTGTAAAATTTAATTTTTAGTTTTTTGCTATATTTTATGCTGATGAATTCCTAAACGGTCTCTGCAAATCTTCCGGCAGCCTCATGAACGCCCTGCGGGCTTGCAGAGATAATTGTGGAATTATTCAGTGTCTCTTCCGTATCTTAAAGAAAAATATTTATTCGACTACAAAGAATACAACCCGCATAAACATACGAGGAATACAAGAAGCTACCCGAAGACCTGTTCAAAACGATAGAATTGTGAGTAGAGGAGGGCAGTCACGGAAGTGGCATCGTCGATTCCAACCGTTTTTCTGGGGTATTTGCATACGAGGACAGGTGTGAAGAGGAACAGGGTTTGGTCACGTAGCCACGAAGTTAGAGGGCTAAATGGGTCGTGTAAAAATTAATTAAATGTCATATTCTATCGCATCGTTGCGTCGCTGAAGCCTATACCCAATATAAGCATGAGCCTGAGCCTAAGCATAAGCCTATGCTCAAGCCTAGGTCAAGCCTAAGCCCAAGCATAAGCCTATGCCCAAGCCTGAGCTAAGCCTAAGCCCAAGCCTATGTCTAAGCCTAAGCTTAAAACTAAGCCTAAGCCAAAGCTAAGCCTAAGCCCAATCCTAAGCCCACATTTCAGCCTCAAACAAAAGCTCATTGTCCCATCCCTCAATGACCACCGATCACCTCCCAGCAAGTAGCCCGAGATTTCGCACATATTTCCCCATTTTTCAGCTAGTGCACAATCGAAGGCACCCAAGCAGACTTCCTCAAAAACGTGTCCCCCACCACAAGCACTTACTGATGATGGTCGAATTGGTAGAACTTTTGCAGCGAGCTGTCTAGCAGGAAGGACTGGGCCGTTCGGCTTTCGAGGAGGTCGGAGTTGGCCTGAAATTTTGAATCAGGGGGACGAGGAAGTGGATTCTGATTATATGCCTAAAGATTGCGTCGCGCGGGCCAAGGCGATTGCCGACACTTTCACAGCGTAATGAATTTCGACAACTTCAAGCCGTTCAAGCGGTGGGTGATTTTTCTATGCGTTAAACCACCTCAACGTTTTCGCCTCCACATGCCAATCTTCCGGCCAATCTGGCACCGCCGGCAAGTCCTGCAGCCAGGTTTGACCAATCGTTTCCGACAGAAGCCTGCGAATTTTGTGATTCAGCAATTTTCTTAAAGCTCCTACCACGACATGAAAAGTCAAGCAGGTGAAGTGCACTCGAGAAAGTCGCTTCAATCGATCTTCCGGTTCCGTGATGTTCCTGGGTTTTCCGTAGCTTGTCAGCAGCCAATTTACCATATCCACTACCTAGAAAACGATAAATTTGCGCTCTTTCGCCGCTTTATCGGGTTTCCGCAATGCTCTTTGCTAGCTTGCCCTGCGAAAAACTCCTAAAATGCAAACCTTATGCGCATGAAGCGCTCCTCCAGCCACGGGATATTCGTTCGGATGGGGGCCACCACCAACCTGAATCGGCACAATGCATTACGAGGTTTTAAAGGGGGCGACAAGGTATCATACGGTAGACTCACCGCCGCCAATAGAGCCAACTGTTGCTCGGTCAATGTGAGAGAGTCGACGTATGGGACAACCTGAATCGAGAATTACTTTGGATTTCTATAAACGGACCCGTTCCAGGACGTCCTTTGCGAATTCTCGATCACCACCGAGACCGCCGAGCTTCAGGTGGATTGGTACCTCAAATTATTTGGTTGACACCGAGGTAAATGAAGCTTAAGTCTAGGCACAAGCTTAAGCTTATGCTTAAGTCTAGACTTAGACCTAAGCTGAAGGATAAGCCTAAGCCTATGCCTAAGAAACTTAAACCTAAGCCGAAGCATAAGCCTAAGCCCAAACGAACCTTTGCGTCGATTTGCACGATATTCCTTTTGACCAGTCTCAACTTCTCGAGTCGAATATCGGCTTGCTAAACCCCGGATTAATTTTTATAAATTATTTTCATACCTGAAATTCCAGCAGATGTACACCGGTTATAATCACCAAATCCGGCTGCATCGTGGCGATCGCTTTGAAAAACATTTCAATGAGGATTGTGCTGCTACTGAAACGTTACATATCGTTATTTTTCAGTTGAATTTCGTGAACCTGTACAAATCGTGTGATGTGATGAATCGAGAGCTCCCTAGCGCAACATGGTCTCCAAAGACCTCGCCCTGCTTGTACTCGAGGATTACGTGGATTTCGTCCTAAAATAGAATGATGACTAGTTTTAAAGGACCTAGTAAGTAGGGTTGTTTCTCGGAACAGACCGAGATTCGGAACTTTCGGAACAAAGACTGGTCGGAACGTTCCGAGATTCGCGTGTTCCGGCTGTTCCGAGATTCGGAACATTCCGAGATTCAAATATTGCGGTTGTTCCGAGATTCATAGTGTTCCGACTGTTCCGAGATTCGGAAGGTTCCGAGATTTGGCTGTTCCGGCTGTTCCGAGATTCGGAACATTCCGAGATTCAAATATTGCGGTTGTTCCGAGATTCATAGTGTTCCGACTGTTCCGAGATTCGGAAGGTTCCGAGATTTGGCTGTTCCGGCTGTTCCGAGATTCGGAACAGTCCGAGATTGAGCTGTTCCGAGATTCAAATTTTTTCGCATGTAAATTTCGATTTCATGTAAATCGTGTAGATTGCATGTAAATGTTTCGATTTGGCCGTCCCACGGCAGTGGGGGCGCAACTGAACACTTAATTTCGTCGATGGTTAGATATCAAATCTGGAAATTAAGGAAATCAGAACGAATTGGGGCTCGAATCGAATCCAAATTCAGTCATGTTTGGAAATTTACATGCGAAAAAATTTGAATCTCGGAACAGCTCAATCTCGGACTGTTCCGAATCTCGGAACAGTCGGAACAGCCAAATCTCGGAACGTTCCGAATCTCGGAACAGTCGGAACACTTTGAATCTCGGAACAACCGCAACATTTGAATCTCGGAATGTTCCGAATCTCGGAACAGCCGGAACACGCGAATCTCGGAACGTTCCGACATTCGGAACAGTCGGAACGGTTGCTGTTCCGAATGTTCCGAATCTCGGCCTGTTCCGAGAAACAACCCTTCTAGTAAGGCAAAAATCGACCCTTTCACGACTAGGTCTAGACAGCTTACTTTAGTAATTCTCGTCGAGTTGCTTCGTTTTATGGATGGGTGGAGAAGGGCTTGACTTCGTGGTCCGATCGGGCCGACAAGATGCACCTGGATCAAAAATTTACGTCAAAATTGCTAATTTCCATACCTCGGTCCAAGGAAAAGCCGTAGCTATTCGGGTAGCTGATAATGCGGCGTTGCCTCCGATGTGATACTAAATTTTTTAGCTGTTTCTCTTGGCAGGTCTCTCTCTCGCTCTCTCTCTCTCTCTCTCTCTCTCTCGCTCTCTCTCACCTGTGCCCTCGGCATCTTCTCCGCTACTTGAACCATCTTCTTAAAGTCCTGCTCGTTGGACATGAACCTAAGAAAATTATTTTAAAGTTTTTTTAGGATCCCGATACCTTTCCGCTGCAGCCCCCTTTTGGAACATGAAGTGAAAAGCCTCGGCAAGTTCTTTGAGGTTGCTCAACTAAAAAAAAATAAGACGTTAAAAAGAAAATTTATACTTACGGAATCGTGATCAGCCACAGAATTGACGATGGAGATGTTAAGCGCATCCATAAGTCGAACACCAGGGACTATCAAGTCGACGTCACAGTTGAAGCTAAAGCTCATGATTTTTAGCCGGACTTGGTGGACAACTAAGCCTAAGTTAAGCCTCAACTAAGCCTAGACTAAGCCTAAGCGAAGCCTAAGCTAAGCCAAACTTATGCTGAACTTACCCTACAACCGCCTTCCTAAACGGTGAACTTGGCTGGGATATCGCGCGGTCAAAAGCTGATAACATTGCCTCTTCCACGGAATCCGTTAACATTCTAAAAAATCGATCAAACTTTTGTTAAAATAATTTTTCTAACCGAAAAACCTCCACTTACCTTTTCTGCTCATTAAAATAGCTGTAAAAATACGGCAGTGCAAAGCATATAATAGCATAATGCAATAGTCTATGCCTTTCGGCCAGTGGATTCAATGTAAATCCATCTGACGGATCGTGCGGCATTTTCAGAGCTTTTTTAGGACATTAAAATTTAGGTTTCGTTGGAGGAATTGGGGGGTAAAAACATGGCCTGGAATCAATGGAGTGGGCCTCGCTGCAACACGTAAACAACCCCCTGTTTTTCTCTTTGAGCTCTTTCTCCTCTTTCCTCCCCCTTTTGCGTGTCTAAAACGGGAAAACAACAACCAAGCGTCTGGCGCTGGGGAACGCGTAAAAAATGCAATTTTCGACTTGAAGACGAAAAATTGTTACGTTATTTGAAGGAATTGATTTACTGACTTTACCGCTATATAAAAATACTCGTTCAAATGGTTTAAAAACCGAAAAATAAACAAGAAACAAGAAGGATAATGCGTGGGACTTTTTGCGCGCTCTCGAGTCTTCTTAGCGATTCAAGATGCTATTTTTATGCCACGATTTCCAAACTGATCACTTTTTGCTCAGAGTTTTGCAACAGCGCAAGAACCCGCTGTGAAATCAGTTTTCAGACAATTTTTTAGAAAGCGAGAGAAACGAGACACAACGCGAGATTGACCCTAATGTGTTTTTTACAAGGAGAGAGAGAGCGGAGTGATATCGCGCTAAGGTTTTTAGCATGTGTTTTCGTCGTATTGCCCAGGCGCGATTTAAAGAGCTTTTGTGGAGGCTGCGTTTTATGCAATCTTCCAATCCTCCTGCTTCATATATCCTATATAACTTAATTTATTCTTTTTAGAATTTCTTTCGAACCCCCACGACCTCGTCGCCAAAAATATCGCCATGTGCCGGTCCTCCTCGCGCTAACGAGTTGATGCTGCAAGTGTTGGTTGATGTGCGTCACACCCTAGAATCGTCATATCCCCTCGGGAGGTCTTGAAGCGACGATTCAACCGGGAACTCCGCACCGCTCCCTTTGACGGCCTGCAAAAATTGGGAACAAGCGCTCGTTGACTAGCTGAAGTTTGTCTGCACGACAGTCGGGTGATTTCGAAGGGCCAAAAATAGCAATGGTATACTGGAGTTGCAGTTGAAAAATGTTTGGAATTTGAACGCCTTACCGCACTAGAATTTTTCGTGAATGGACAACTCGCCGACATTCGACTCGCCGACAGCCAGCTCGCCGACAGCCAACTCGCCGACAAGCCAACTCGCCGACAGCCAATTCGCCGACAAGCCAACTCGCCGACAGCCAACTCGCCGACAAGCCAACTCGCCGACAGCCAACTCGCCGACAAGCCAACTCGCCGACAGCCAACTCGCCGACAGCCAAGTGGCCGACATTTTCATGTATTTTATGAGTCGACAGAAATATCTTGCTACATGCAAATTTTGGGGTCAAAATGAGCCGTAGTCAATCATTTTAGGGAGGTGGTTCCGGGAATTCGAAATTAGCATGAAAGTTTGGATCAGGATCCTGCAATCTGGCATAGCGTACTCTGCGCTTCATAACCCGCCTCCACCTGCCGTCTTCCGTTCCTGCCTTGGCCTAGTGGTGTAAAGCGCTTGCTTCAGGCTAGCCATGCGGGTTCGATTTTGCGCGACCTTTAGCACCTACCCTAAAATTGCATTTAAAGTGTGAAAGCAAATCAGTGAAAACTTGGTGTAGTCAAAGTTCTGTCGACCCTAGGATACTTGAAAATGTCGGCGAGTTGGCTGTCGGCGAGTCAAAATGTCGGCGAGTTGGCTGTCGGCGAGTGGAAGTGTCAGCGAGTTGGCTGTCGGCGGGTTGACTTGTCGGCGAGTTGGCTGTCGGCGAGTGGAAGTGTCAGCGAGTTGGCTGTCGGCGGGTTGACTTGTCGGCGAGTTGGCTGTCGGCGAGTCGGCTGTCGGCGGGTTGGCTGTCGGCGAGTCGAATGTCGGCGAGTTGGCCGGAAATCAAAAGTAGATAAATTTAAGATAGCTTTAAATACAAAAGATTTCTTTAATATAGTAATTACCAGGTGAAACGAGCTACCGTAACCCAAATTCAGGGTAAGGAAATAGTTAGATATCCTTATAGCAAAAAAAAACCTAGTCAAAAATCTGTTTGCTAAATATCAGCTAGTTCAATAGTTCATAGTTCAATTAATCGTAAAAATTAATTAGATGCCTTTAAAACCTGCAAAAAAATACGTTAAACATGGCAATGAGCTACGGTATCCTTTTTTGAAAATAATTAGATCTTTCAAAGTCCATAAAAGAATATGTAAAAATTGCGAGAATTACCGTATCTTTTGGAAATAATCAAGCTTTAACAACCTCCTAAAAAATATGTAAAAATTGCAACGAGTTATCATATCCTTCTTTCGAACTTAATTAGATACCTTTTAAGGAATATACCAAAAATTCCGTTCGGTACGTTGCGAAAAACTACGGTACCCTAATTAGGTGAAAAAATCGTGGATACCCTTTGGATCAAAATACTTCCCAATTACCTATTTTTGGTCTCTCAAATTGGTGGAAACTCCTCCTGATAAATATTTCCCTGGTATGCATGCGGTGAGGAGGGAAGAAATTGCATGCACTCTCCGAGTAAATAGCCCTCATCACTGGGCCTAAAATGGTAAATTTTCGGTCAAGAATTGCACTTTTTAGGATGTGATGCACTATGGATTATCAAACGCTTTTTTCCTAGACTGATAGAAAGAATTTGGACGTGTTTAGAGGACTGGGAAGCGCGAAAATTGCGTAAAAATGGATTTTGCGACTTCATTGTTTCTTTAAAACGTGACTGTGCCAAAAACTGTGATACCACGCGCCAAAAGGAATAGGGAGCTTCCTAAGCCTAAACCTAAGCATACGCCTAATTCTAAGCCTTAGCCTGAGTCTAAGCCTAAGCCTAACTTAAGCCTAAGCCTAAGTCCCACTTAAGTCTCAGCCTAAGCCTAACAAGTGTTTGCTTGTTACCTTTGCGTAATAATTTTGTCTGTCCGTTATGCAATGCTAAATCTTGGCCCCACTACAGTATCCTTTCCCGAATTTCCATTCTTTTTGGCCCCCCGAAGGGAGCGCTTTCCAAAAATTATGCCCATTCGGGTGTTTTCCCAGGTGGTGGGGCGTGTAAGGCACTTGGTTTGAGCATGAGAATCATCACCGAGAGTGGCGCAGCTCAGAGAAGGCACTCTTGGGAGATATGTAGTTTTGCAACGTTTGTACTGTATGGTGCAAGGACCATCAATGCTCTATGAACCACCGTGGGACCCGTCAAGTAATATGTACAAGGGCTCTCGAAGCGGGAGAGGGGGCTGGCAATAAGGGGGCCCCGGGTGGCCCAGATGGGTGGCGAGTCAGGGGTGGGGGGTGACTGCCTGATTTGCCAGTAGCTTTTCGTGTAGTTTTGCCCCTAAAGGTATCGGCAAGGCATGCTTATGGATTTCGTTTAGTTGGAAATGCCGAACGCGCCCTTGAATTCTATTGTGTAATGGATTATGGTAGCTTTAAGGACGCAATTCGTTTCGATCGTGGCTGCGCCTAGACCGTTAGGAAAACCTAGGAAAAACCTCTTCAGAAATCGCTAGAATCGACTCCCTGAATCGATTAGATCTCGACAACTACACGCCATTCCTAAGAACGTTTCAGCTTTTTCGTGTCGAAATCTAGTGGCGGAAAGGAATCGATTTTGGTGCTTCCGAACACCTTTAAAGGCGGTAGCACAACGCGGTCGTAGATTACAAATTCAATTAGATTTGAACCGATGCCCACGCCTCGGCCTACGCCAAGCCAAGCCAAGTCAACCCAAGCCAAGCCAAGCCAAACCAAGCCAAACCAGGCCAAGTTTAATTCAGGCCTGAGCCGATCCTCAGCAAACCCTAAGCGTAGCTTAAGGAAAGCCTAAGCCTAAGCCTAAGCCTAAGCCTAAGCCTAAGCCTGAGCCTAAGCCTAAGCCGAAACCTAGGCTAAAGCCTAAGCCTAAGCCTAAGCCCAAGCCTAAGCCTAAGCCTAAGCCTAAGCCTAAGCCTAGGCTAAAGCCTAAGCCTAAGCCTAAGTCCAAGCCTAAGCCTAAGCCTAAGCCTAAGCCTAAGCCTAAGCCTAAGCCTAAGCCTAAGCATAAGCCTAAGCCTAAGCCTAAGCCTAAGCCTAAGCCTAAGCCTAAGCCTAAACCAATGCCTAATTCTAAGCCCAAGCCAAAGCCTTATTACAAGCGTGAATAATCCACCTAAATACCTAACAATTTTCCAAAATAAATTCCCGCCCCGAAATAATTTACATTTTCAACCCGATCACCATCAATTTCACTATCAATTCCCCTGCTGCCAACATGTTTATGTTGTGCAGCGCGTCGTGGTGATGGAAATGGCAGCGGCAAGGCTGGCTTTCTCTCACCTGTTCAGGCTTGTCACTGCGCCTAAGAAATGGCAGGACAATGGCTGTGCATTTCGGCCGGGAGCTCGGCCATCATTCCACGGATTCCATAGGCAATATATCCTCATCAACACATCAAAAACCGGGAGTAAAATACTGGAAATGCTTAAAAAACCAAGCCTTCCCCCTCACTCTCTCTCTCTCCCTTTCCCTCTCTTTGTCTCTCTCACTCTCTTTGTCTCTCTCTCTCTTTGTCTCTCTTTCTCTCTTTCTCTCTCTCATCTCTCTCCCTTTCCCTCTCTTTGTCTCTCTTTCTCTCTCTCCTTTCTCTCTCTTTCGCTCTCTCTCATCTTGCCCAAATTCCAGTTTTATACTCAAAATGCGTAGCGTATCGTCGCGTACCTATCTATAGTCTACCGTATTTACCTCCAGGCTACCGTACCCAATACGCATGGCCGCCGGGCTAGAGCCTGGCGACGTCATAATCCGCCACGAGGCCTTCTCCTTATCCCAGCCTCACCCAGATTTAATTCGCATTTGCGGGGAGGGGTTCGGCGAGAAGGGGGACGAAGCAGGCTACAGGCCACACAGTTCACCACTCACTTTTCAGCAGGGTTGAAGGTTCGAAACGTAGAGGGTTTTGTTAGCTTATCATATGCAAAAAAAAGCAATTTCACGACCAGCAAAACCGCATTGTCATAAATATTTAATGGGGCAGTCGAGGGTAGTTTGTGGCTTTTGTG